ATTTGATGTCCGTGACGCGGTGGATTCCATTGTAGCTGGACTCAATGTTGAAACCAAGATCCGATTCGCGCTTCTTCAAAGTCACAAGATTCAGTGACGCCGGCTGCAACACCATCGGATCCGATATGTCCTGTATAATGAAATTCGCCAGACGCTCCAGCCGCTCCGCCGTCGCCTTGATCTGAGCTACTGGCCGCTCCGCAAAGCGATCCCTATGCGCTATCGTCGCCAACTCCAGGCCGCAGCGCAGCACATTTCCACAATACTCCCGGTACATGTCCTGGTTGCGGAACGGCGAACGCTCCAAATTCCCAATCAGCGGCTTCAGCGTCGCAATGGTGCGCGTAATGTCATGCAGCGTCCGTGTGTCAATCTTCGTGCTGTCCGCGTGATTCTTGGCCAGCTCACGATGCAAATTCCGTGCCGCCGTGCCAACATGCAGCGCCATAAACTGCAGGTTATCATTCTTCAGGTGATAGTGCTAAAATGGATAAGGACAATGGATAAAAGCAATCCAAGCTGAACCGCTGCACAATGGATAAAATCTTGATCTAGCGGCAAATTGAATTTTCTTTAACTAAGAAATATAATGTATAGAATCAAATCTATATTTTCACGTATTCTTTTGCCCAATATTAAATGGAAAATACGAATTAATTGCCGCTAGAATTTTATTTGATGCCATTGGGGATGCACTTACAAAGTTACGCAGGTTTTCGACGGCCTCAAGGACAATTTCCTGACGGCCTATGGCCTTCATGCCCAAATTTTCCAACTCATATGGCCGTATATTGAGCAGGGCCCGTCCGCCGATTTCATGTTTCGAAAATTCGTACAAATAGCCTTTCATGGACTCGTCGAGACCTTTGCACAAGTAAACAAATATGAGAATTTATTTCAAAATTGGATGTGAAAGGAATGTTGCTGTTGTTGTTTTTGCTGTGTGACTGTTGCTGCTGCTGCACTTTTCCTTGACCTGTTAAGAGAGCCGTAGATTTACCTCGGATCCAGTCTGTAACTTGGTCGGGCGTCCATTCTGCTATATTTATATAGGCCATACTAATTGATAGAAGCACCAGCCAAGCACACAACTACTCCATATTAATTTCAGCACAACATAAACAATTGATTAAAATAAAAGTTTTTGTTCCAGAGCCAGGGCTGGCAATTCACGTAGATATCTGATATTGTTGCGTCCGCTAGCTGCACTAGAGATGGCCGATTTTTGGTAACTGCTATCTATCGGCAGGCTCCCAAGTTACCGTGCTTATGAAATATTCAAACTGAATGCAACATTTTCGCAGGGAGTTGCATTGGCTTACTAAGTCATAAGTCGCTCATCTCTAGCATGCATAGGCTGCACTAGAACTGTTGTGTTGTAAAACAGTGCAATGTAAAACTATGGCACTACAATTTATTTCCCAGTCGCCACAATCAACAGCTGGTCTGTGTAGTGTTGATAAATATTATTGTATTTGCATATTGTTCACTTTAGAAACAGCTGAGCAATAAAAAAAATACCGAGTTTGTGTATGCCACAAATTTCAATTCCTAGTCAAGCTGGAATATTTGGTCTTTTATTGATGCATAAATGATTTACTTTATTACTTTTCATACATCACATTCAGGTTATCGTGACGTTTAATTCAAAACCAGATTTAAAAGAAAAACAACGCAACTGCGCACATATTTCGTTTGCCTATGTACACGTTCAATGATTCGAGTGAGACAGAAAGCGAGTGAAAGAGAGCCGAAAAAGTAATCACCTCGTGGTTCTAAACGTTCTTTACGCAGTGCAATTGCAGCTGCTGATAAAATTAGGGAAACATGTCTGCGACCCAGACAAAACAAATCAAATTTTACAATCCAGCGAGTTCCGCAAGTTCCGACAGGTAACAAATATATAAAGTGGCGCTAATAGTGATACGTGAAAATCCACCCAAAACTCATTCATCACCAAGAAGCCTCCTAAGCAGTTGAGCACGCAATAAATAATACGTCAAATCGCAAAGATACTCACATGCATGTTTAAATGAATAAACATATATACATATGTTTACATATAATTATATACATAGAGCGTGTGATATAGCGTGGCTCTGTTAGATACCTAACATACATGTAAATACATACATACAAATTATGTACATGCACACATACATATGATAAATTAAATATCATTCGCTACTGAAATTCGACGTCAACGACGTCGCGGCTCTCGACGTTGCAGCAGAATGAAAAAAAACGTTTTTTTTGTACAAACAACAAGCACAAGCACAGTTATAACGCAACGAAGCAGCAGATACAACAACAGCAGCACAACAGCAGGCAACAAAAAAGTGGCTGCTCTACCTTTCGGCTGTACCTTCGCCATCGTCGACGTCGTTAGTTGCTTTTAACCTTAGCTCTGCGAATCGACAGACACTGAAATAGACAGCGGCCGATTGCGATTTCTTCACACATTCACGTTTTAGTCATTCTCCAACGCGACTGCTGCACGTTGCTTGTTTTTTGACCGGCGCCGGTAGCTGACAACTGCGTGCACTGACATCTAACAACGATTTCCCAGCGCAAATACAACAACAACAATAAATAATAATTAATAATAATAACAATATCAGCAACAACAATTAAGTTCATAAGCACGCTACTCCTTAGCGCCGTCAGTAAATCGCATCACATGCGCAAGGCGTCGGGCTCGTCGCCTTCGGCCACATTGTGCAAACATTTGAGTGTGGGAGTGTGCGTGTGCTGTGTGTCTGTGTCTGATTCTGTGCCTGTGCTTGTGTTTGTGTGAGCGAGTGATTGACCCATTTAGCTGCTATATACTGATATACTTAACGCATACGCTACGTCGGATTCTGGCATTGGCTCATTGTCTAAAATGAGTAGCAGTATCACGTTTTTGTGCAACAAAACTAACACTAATAGCAATAACAACAATAAAGATGCGGCAGCCAAAGGAAAATCAGCTACAGCTTCTTCAGTATATGCTTCAGCCGGCTTACTAACAACAACAGCAGCAACAACAACAGCAACGCACCAACAACAACATCAGGCACAAGCACTGCTACAGCTGCACAACCCGTTGAAGAAGGTTAAGGCTGCAGCCAAAACCAACGGTCACAGTCACATGTAAATCATTTGCATTTTTATTCACATTTTATTTAACATTCAATATACATGTATACATACATACACATGCTACATGCATATGTATATGTGTGAAAGTATGTATGTATAAGTATATCCAACTCTATGGGTTTGTTTGTTGTATCATTTGTTTTTGTTCTCTTTTTCCATTTTCGCCACATATACACACAACACATACACGTGTGCATACGCATACACATGCATCTGCATATATACTTGCCTGCATATGTATGCGTATACACAAGCTCTAATTGTTTTGTTGTTACTCCCTGTATTTGTTTCTGTGTTTAATTAACGTTTTTTTTTTCAATATCGTTTATCGTGTCGCTGAGTCAACTATCAGCCGCTGTCGGGTTGGCATCGCAAATAAAAAAACCAGCGTCAGCGTCTGCGTCTGCTTCTGCTGCTGCTATTTGTTTCAATATGGCTGCGATCAAGCCACGTCCACGTCTCCGCCTCTTCGCTCTAATTAAGGGCCCTTCCAGGAATTTTCTTTTCCTTCTCTACCTCTCTCTCTCTCCCTTTGTGCCCTTAGTGCCTACCAACCTGTTGGTCTTAGCACGTGCAACCAGCACGTAACCTTCCGCTTACCCCACTCAATTTTTCACCACGCACATTGTGCTTCATCAATGCTAAATGTAACGTTATGTAGACTTACGTACCCACACAAAGACATGTATAGCTATGCGTGTGTAGTTCAACTATAAATAACAAGGAAAATTGACGCAAAGGCAGCAGCAGCAGCAACAGCCTGAACATTGCGAACATTTCTAGGGAAAATACTGTGAAATTTGTATGGCACCCACAATGAGAGCAATGAACGGTACACGCTATCGTAATGGCGTACATACACACACACACATACATGCATAAGTGGATGTATAGATTTGTGCATATGATGTACTAGTTGGCACAGCATCCGAAATTCGTAAGTTGAGCGTCGCAGTGTCTGGCTGGATAGATACTTAGCTATGTGCAGAATTTCGCCGCATGCGTTATGTGAGGTTGCCTTATTGACGACATTTGCCGCAGGCCTTCTGGCGCATTGGAATGTCTGTGAAGTTAGTAGATAGTTGGGGTGTTGCTGTCGGGAAGGCTAGACATATTAATACCCTGTAGTTAGTCAAGCAGAGACAGGCCTACCCTTCAAGTTGTTCGATGCCCAAGAGCTTTTCGCGTCATCTGTCATCTGATGCCATTTTTAAATCTAATTTGAAAATGTATTTATTTTCATTCATAAGCAGAAGGTACTTTTAGATATATTCAATATTAAATGATCAATCAAGTCAGGAACTAATTAAATAACCCCTTACTGCTCCTACAGGGTATTGGTTACCTATATATGCCTATAAAAGAGGAATAACGGCGTTTTCGACTTGGATACGATTTTATCGGGTTTTGCAGAAGCCTTATCTAATTCCCTAATGCTTCAACACACATACACACACACACACACACACACACACACACACACACACACACATACACACACACACTTACACATAGGCATATGTGTGTATGCACGCCCCATGCTTCGTTTCGCAAACAACGCCTGTGCCTTTATCCGTTTATCCGTTCCGTCTGGATATTCCTAATAAAAATGTTATTTTTGTAACTTGAACAAATTTGGAATATTACACCGAGCCATTAAACTACTACATTATATATTTACATGAAAAATCTGTTTATATTGTTTATGTAAATATATATATATATATATATATATATATATATATATATATATATATATATATATATATATATATATATATACTGTATTTGCATATGCATATGTTAGGGTAATTGTAGGATCGTGTTTTGAGGGGAACTCTGAAGATTTCTATTACTTTGGTGTATGCCAGCAATGTGTGTCTGAAATAATTTGCCATGAATGCAATTCTTTGTTTTTGTGCATTGTCTAGACTTGAATATTGAATAATAAATAAATACACACAAATATAAACACGGCTGCTTGGTGATAAATCTGTTTAGAAGATCCTCAAGTCTATTTCTGGCCATAAATATATATATTTACTACATTCATAGTTGAACCTTTGGGAAGACAAAAGGAAGAGAGTTTAATATTTTTCATTTAAACTAAAAAATATGGTTTTATTCCTTTGTTGCAATTGATTTAGCGGCATTCTATTAATTATTATATATTCAACCCGGTTAACTCCGGGTAATATCTTCTGGAATTATGTACAACCTATTGTATTGAAAGATTTGAGAGCGTTCCCTGAACTTAATACAATCTGTATAAACTCTATCTGCAGGCTATTTAGAGAGCTTTCATCATATGCCCAAATGAACGGACATAACATAAATATACAGTTCACATTTTATACAAATATGCAGACAACATGCTAGTCATTGTTTATCAAAGATTGCCGCAGTGTTGCGCATTGTCCAAGCTGTATTTTGTAGAGGGTATTCGAATTTATTGAAGCGATATGTAACGCTTGGCAGGATTCATCTCTGGACCCACAAATATCTGCTCTTCTTCGACTCGATAGCCATGAGCTGCCATAAACCCAATCGGTTGACTTAGTATTGAATCACTTGACATGTGTCTGGAAGGGTATTTAATCAACGGTTTGTTGTTCTTCCTCTGGCGATAATTTTCTGCAATCGTTTTGCGCTTTGTATGTTTGGAACGTGAGTTTTTTTAGCCGCGTGCCAAGGAATCTTATCTGGCTAATTCGCGGGGGATGGCCAATACATTTTTATTACGTGGTACTTGAGACACGTATATTTAACGAAATGTTGTCCATATGTGAAAGTAATTGTTTAGATTTTATTTGCGACTAAGGTTGGTTTCATGAATCTATTGACTTTGCAGCGACGATCGCTCGGATGTAACTGAACCGCTCTTCATTGATCCCGGCGTTGCGGGCAGCGAGCGCAACTGCTGCCCGGCTTCGCCCACTACGGTGCCAGCCAAGTCGGTCTTGGAGTCGCCCATGCGGCGCGCGGGACGACGCCAGCGCACAACCTCGATTGGTAACCAGACGACCACTGCCAATCCGTCCGAGTGCATAATACGTTCAAATAATCGCACCATTTACACGGCCGGAAGACCGCCGTGGTACAACTGCGCCGGCCAGCAGGTGGAACCCTTTGTCATAGGTGCGTATACGCTGCTCAGCCTGTGTTTGGCTTATCGAGAATTCCATATGCAGGCATTTGCGGAGGCAGCGCATCCGGCAAGACGACCGTCGCAGAGAAAATCATAGAAAGCCTAGACGTGCCTTGGGTCACCCTCCTGTCCATGGACTGCTTCTACAAGGTAGGCGCCGTCCCACGACGCGACGCCAATAGAATTTTCCGCAGTACATGCTAAGCTCTAAACTCATCCGCAGATCCTAAACGAGAAGCAACATGAGCTGGCGCTCATCAACGAATACAACTTTGATCATCCGGATGCATTTGACATTGACCTGCTCGTCGATGTGCTGACCAAACTGAAGGAGGGCAGGAAAGTTGAAGTCCCAGTCTACAATTTTGTGACCCACGGTCGCGAGAGCCAGACGGTAAGTAACATAGCTCAAACCTGTCATGAGAAAATGATATCACTATTTTGCTATTTGTAAAAGTGTCAGAGAACGAGGCTTCTCCGACCACATTCTCGCATAGTATGATAAGACAATTGCTATAAATTAATATTAATCACTTTCTTTTTCTTTTAGAAAACCATGTACGGTGCTAACGTCATAATATTTGAGGGTATACTTACCTTCCACAGTCCCGAGGTGCTCAAGATGCTCGACATGAAGATATTCGTTGACACAGATCCAGACATACGTCTGGCCAGGAGACTTAAGCGGTAAGAGAAGATACTTCTGATTATCATTTGACATTTCATTAATATTCAACGCACACTTACAGTGATATCTCGCAGCGTGGACGGGACTTAAAGGGCGTGCTGAAGCAATACCTAAACATGGTGAAGCCCTCCTATGCAAATTATATAGCGCCCACGATGGCCCATGCGGACATCATAGTGCCACGCGGCGGCGAGAACAAAGTGGCAATAGCTCTGATAGTGCAGCACGTGCATACACAGCTGCAGCTGGTAAGCGAGGAGCAGCAAGCGGTTGATCCATTGAGTAAACTTTGTTAAATGATTATTGCAGCGTGGCTTTAAGCTACGCGAGACTTTGGCCAATTCGTATAAGGACCAGCCGATGCCAGATTCGTTGCATTTACTGCATCCAACGCCACAGATTAAGGGTCTGCACACATTCATACGGTGCAAGAACACTTCGCGGGATGAATTCATCTTTTATTCGAAGCGGCTTATACGGCTGGTCATTGAGTACGCGTTGAGCCTGTTCCCCTTCAAAGAGACGTGCGTGGAGACGCCACAAGGCGTTCTGTATGAGGGAAAGCGCATGGAGTCGCGCAAAATATGCGGTGTGTCCATACTGCGAGCAGGGGAAACCATGGAGCAGGCCGTGTGTGATGTATGTAAGGACATACGCATTGGCAAGATTCTTATACAGACAAATTTGAAGACTGGCGAGCCCGAGCTTTACTATCTGAGGCTGCCCAAAGACATTAAAGACTATAAAGTGATACTTATGGATGCCACCGTTGCAACAGGCGCCGCAGCCATGATGGCCATACGAGTGCTGCTCGATCACGATGTGCCCGAGCAGAACATCATTCTTGCCTCGTTGCTGATGGCCGAGATCGGTGTGCATTCGATCGCCTATGCCTTTCCCATGGTGAGTAAACTATTTCCACGGATGCATTTGAATCCAAATCTCATCATCGTCTTTGGCAGGTTAAAATTGTTACTTCCGCTCTGGACCCGGAGATAAATAGCAAGTTCTATGTTATACCCGGCATTGGCAACTTCGGCGATCGCTACTTTGGCACTGAGCCCTCCGACGAGTACTAGGGCCAACTAACTGCGAACCAAGTTTCTTAATTACTATACCTAGGATTAAATGAAATCGTTACTTAAATTATCAATTCAAGAACTGCCTTGCCTTTTATTTTTACTGAGATAAAAATCGGAGCAGCAGCTGCAGTACAAATGCTACAGCGCCCACGATTAAAGCGATGCCCACATAGCGCTGTCCTCGACTACTGCTGGTGCTCGTCTTGGGCTGCGTCTGTTTGCTGTAGTCACAGCGCGTCCAGTCGCTCTCCTCGTCCAGTATCTCGGCCATCATGCTGAATTTGCTGGTGCCTGTGATGCGGACACGCACTCGAGTGCCCAGCAGATTGTCGCGCATCGGGAGCAGCACCTGCTCGTAGCTCTTGTTGTGGCCCACATAGTGCAGCTTGTCGTGGGATATTTCCGTAACCAGCACCGTATACAGTTGGCCTTCGCGACCCGCATACGGCTCGTAGCTGTAGAAAAGGTCAGTCAGCCGTTTGGTACGCTTCTTTACCAGATTCGCTGGTATGCGCTCCATTTTAGCTGCCGGCGTGCCCGGACGCGGAAAGAACTGATTGATAAATAGACTGGGAAAACGATATTTCTCGCACAGCGTCATGGTTTCCTCAAAGTCCTGCTCCGTCTCTGTGGGAAAGCCACAAATAATGTCGGTGGCAATTGTCAGACCGGGCACACGAGACCGTAAGAAATCTATCACGTGCTCGAAGTCCTTGCGACAATATTCCCGCTTCATTTCGCCCAGCACCGAGTCGCTTCCACTCTAATAAGAAAGAATATTGAGAGATTTAATAAAGTATTGATTAAAACTTGCGATGTAATTGCTTACTTGTACGGGCACATGGAGAAAGGCGTAAACGCGTGGATGCTGAAGCACCTTGGCCACCTCCTCGAGGTGTTCCAGGATGTAGGGCGGATTGGTCATACCGACACGTAGCATACAGTGCTCAGGTATGACCTCGACAAGCTGCCAGAGCAGCTCTGGCAACGAACTGCCAATGTCACGACCGTAGGCGCCAGTGTCCTCCGAAGTCAGCCATATTTCGCAGCAACCCTCGTCGAAGGATTGGCGCGCACGCTCCACTATTTCATTGGGTGGATAGCTGGCCAAATCGCCGCGTGCATGCTTCGTTTTGCAGTAGGTGCATTGATTTAGGCATCCGCTGTTGATGGATATGATCTCAATTAGCGGATTCTTGCGCACCTTTGGCAGGGACAAGGCAGCGCCGGCCACACGACGACCATGCACCTTCTTGTTCTGCAGCAGCCGCACGCTATGACCCTTGAGCGTCTCCTCGACCACCTCCACGACCCGATCGATTTGCTGCACCCCAATTACCGAAAGACCACGCAGATAGTCGGACTTTGGTGCGCCTTGAGGCACGCAACCGGCCACTACGACGTGCTTGCCATTGCGCATGCCCGACTCGATCTCATTGCGAAACGTATCCTCCGAGGGATTCTTTACGGTGCAGCTGTTCAGCAGCCACAAATCAGCCTCATCCTTGCCGCTCAGGTTATATCCATACGCAGCCAGCTGGCCGGCCATGTACTCAGAGTCAGAATTGTTGTGTGCGCAGCCCCATGTCTTCACATACACCTTTTGTGTTCCTGGCACAACACTCTCGTAAATGGTTTTCTGAGCCTGAAGCGGCGCCTCTGTGTCCGCATCGCCTAATGTTGGTTTGATTTGTGCTCGTTTCTTTGCGCGCACTGTAACGCTCTTTTTGTTTTCATAACGCTCGCGGGGCTTTATGTCTTCGGCCGATATTAGGTCTTCGATATCATCTATATCGTTACCCGGCAAGTCCACCTCAAGTCCCATTATTAGTTTTCTTCGTAATCCCGGCGGTGCACATGTGCTTGCCTTTGCTCAGCTGTTTACATTTGTCTTCTTCTTGCATAAAAAAATGTGACCAGAGTATGCACAGTGTTGGAAAACAAGTTTTTATTCGAGATAACTGTACGAACTTTAAAGCTTGAGTTGTAACGAATATACAGTTCCTTACTATTCAAATGATTGTGGCAAATAATTTGTTATAACATAAGAAAAAAATGTGTTCTACGAGATGTGTGATTGCTTGTTGATGTTATTGTATTGCTTAAGTTAATAATATAAATACATTATTCAATAAATTTGTATGCTTGGTAGAAGCAACATGACACACTCCACTTAAAAATGAATATGCCCTACATTTTCAGCTGCGCTGCACTTTTGACATCTTATCATCAACAACGCTATCAGCGCGGAAACAGCGACAGTTCCTCAGCACATTTTAATCCGTTTGCAACCGTCTTTGAGAATGATACACATCAAATGTAAAGACACCAATCTTGATCCCATTCCAGTCAAGGTGAGAAGGGGCATAGTTCCTCACATCTGTATACACATGCTTACACGCACACATATATATATATATATATGTATATTCCTTTGCAATTTTGTATAAGCGCAGATTGGGATTATTGGCGGCTCTGGGCTGGATGATCCAGATATCTTGGAGCAGCGTCAGGAGAAGGTAATTGAGACGCCATACGGTTCTCCATCGGATGCGCTGATTGAAGGCGAAATCGGAGGTGTACAGTGTGTGTTATTGGCCCGTCATGGTCGCAAACATGATATAATGCCATCCAATGTTAACTATCGCGCCAACATTTGGGCTCTGCGTCAGGTGGGCTGCACACATCTCATAGTGTCGACGGCTTGCGGCTCGCTCAGAGAGTCCATTCAGCCGGGCAACTTGGTGGTGCCACACGACTTTATAGATCGCACCACGAAGCGAATGCAGACCTTCTACGATGGCGAGCACGCCGGAGTGAATGGTGTCTGTCATTTGCCCATGTATCCGGCCTTTTGTGAGCGAACGCGCAAGGTGCTGCTCGATGCGGCAAAGGAGTTAGAATATGCAGCGCACGATAAGGCCACGATTGTTACCATAGAGGGCCCGCGCTTCTCCTCCCGTTCCGAGAGCAATATGTTCAGACAGTGGGGCGGTGATCTTATCAACATGACAACCTGCCCAGAAGTTGTGCTGGCCAAGGAAGCGGGTCTGTTGTACGGCTCGGTCGCAATTGCCACCGATTACGATTGCTGGCGCATGGGCTGCGAAGGTGTCAACGTGCAGGACGTGCTCAAGACCTTTTCCGAGAACGTGGTTAAAGTGAAGCAGATTCTAGTGAATGCCGTTGGACGCATCGCCAAGGAGGACTGGTCCGAGGATATCCTAAATGCCAAGGTAGGTACAGCTCAACAACTCAGGACATTCTTTAATTGGTTCCCCTTTTGCAGCAATGCGTCTGCAACAACACCATGTCCGGTACCATGTGACGCCTTTTAAAGCTCTGCACCGAAATAACCCGAGATACCATCAGGCGCAGAAAGCCTCTCGTGATGCCGGGTTATTATAAGAACTCGAAGAAGCGCGAGCCAAAACTTCACTCCATTTCCATTGCCTATGAACTAGAGCCGGGCAGCGGACGACGAGAATTTACCATCAAACCAGAAAATCAAGCCCATACTCCGTCAGCTCAATCCTAAACATAAACATTTCCGCACAACGAATAATTTTAATAATCTAAAGCTTTTGGCATGTGATGTTTTAGCATTTATCTGGAAAAGTCTAATAAACTAAACACATTTCATCGAACTTAAGAGTTTAAGCTGTAACTAGTGTGAAAAATAGCGTAGAATGTAATTATATTTCCTAATAATGGAAGTTTTTTCATAACAGCTGGCATATTATATTTTAAATGGTTCTTTATAACTTCAATAATTTATAATCGACTGCTTTCTGAAGTTGTTAATTATCGAGTTAAATATGAAACAATTAGTTAGTCAGAAGTTGTCCTGCGATAAATTGCTAAAGAATACAAACTACAATTTTTGGAAATATAATTAATACAAGTACATTTATCGGACCTGGTAATATAACCTTTGCAGGCCAGTTGACAAAGTAGCCCAGTCGGTTAGGTGCGCATTAAATAGTTGACATATAAAATCATATCATCGTACAGGCTTTACAATTAAAATTGTACTAGCTTTACAATTAAAATTGGAATTCGTTCGATTGACAGAGCTGCACTTAGGGGCACTTGCGCTCCACTTGGCTCTTGCCAGCCTCCTCGTACTCCTGCGATGATATCCACATCTGCTGAAATGTGCCAATGCTGGCCAGTATGGAGCCACCAATCCAGGCGCCAAACCTTCGCTCGACACTGCCATTGGCCGATATCATTTTTAAGCGCGTGTTCGAGGGTGCGCGCAATTGCAGATCTCGATTGAGACGTTCCGGAAAGCCTTGCAGCAGTGTGTTGCCACCTTAGGAAACAACAATAATTAAGTCTTTGGCAATGATTAAATAAAATCCTAAACTACCTGTAACCACAACGGAACCGAACAGCGATAACCGAACATCGGCATCGCACATGCCGACGCTGGTAGACGAAAGTTGACCCGCTCCAAGCATTGCGTTGTCGAAGAGGCTTTCCGCAATTTTAAAGCGCTCTGAGCCAAAATCTTGATGGTAGCCGTTGGGGAACTCATAATGGACCATGGGTATTTGGGAAGCGACGCGCTCGTCGTAGGGATTCTCCAGCACCTGGAGCACATTCATTTGAAAGTCCTGCATCATAAGCTGCACCATATAGTTTTGCCACGACTGTGTGAGATTCTCAGGCAGTTTACGCACAGTGAAGCGTGCGTTGTCGCGCTCTTTAACCACATCCTTCGAGGCAATTTTATATACGGGCGACAAGTCTATGTTGAGTTTTTCCAGATGCTGCCTGCACTGCCGAGACAGAAAATCGCCGCCGAGCGGTGACTTGACCACTGCCTGCGAGAGCACGTAGCCCTCGTGCACGGGCACAGCCGATGTGTGTGTGGCGCCGCTGTCTACTACAAGTGCCGTGGCACGTCCGCTGGAGAACGCCGCCAGCACAGCGTTCTTGACCAGAAAGAAGGCCGGCACATTGTATTTCTCGAACATAAGCTCGGTTAGCTTTTCCCGGTTGTTGCGCACGTTCCAAGATGCCTCTGAGAAAAGCACTGGATGATACTCTGGCTCCGATTGTATGACATTTGCGTATGCATAGTCGATGACTTTTTCGAACAGCTCCCAGTTGTCAATCATGCCGTCCTTCATATATGTTTGCACCTCCATCTGCGACCGAGGCACATTGACGTAGTTTGTGTCCACATAGAACTTCCGCCCGTCGCTATCTATTGTGGATAATGCAAGGGGGTTGGAGTCGTGGTGGGTGCAATATATGAAAACAATATATGCTCTACTTACTGTTTGGCGTAACGTTATTGTCTGTTTTTGTCTCAGGATCCAGATTGGTGTCTGGCGCGCTGCTGCCAATTCCCACAACAGAGGGTATTTCTGCCTTGGGTGAATCTTCCTGAGCGTATCCCACGCGTAGCGAATGGTGGCCCGGGTCGAAAACTAACGCACCAATCTCATCGCCACCATACAGCATAGTTCCGCCACTCATCTCGGCGTTTTGTTTGCAACTTTCTACTTAATTACCACAATAAAATAATCTGTAAAATGTGTGTATATTGTGTACACGGGTGCCTCAAATCACCGGCAGATGCTTACAAAATAGTGTTGGAAAGCGCATGAAAAGAAGCAAAACAAAAAGACTACCCCCAAATGAACGAACTAATTCTTTTTGGGATATTGAACTTTGTTAACCTACTAGTAAATTTTTTTTAATAAGACATATGAAAACTAACAAAGATTCTTTGGCACAAGATTGCTCTAGAAAAACCATTAGTAATGGAAAAAGACAGACACAGAATGAACCAAATTAACAAATAAGAACAAGTTCTTAAAAGTAGGCAGTGTTAAGTAATAATAAATATCGTATGTTTCAATATGTTAGTGGCGCCAAAATATCGACATATACACATTAGGAGTATTCAGGCTTCATATAGTAAGAATGTTAATGAACCAATTTTTTATAAATCAAAAGTATGAGGATTGATAATACAATTAGGGTTGTGAATCGGATAGTTTTCTAAGTAAAAAATGGTCTCTATTCCAAATTGTAATCAATAAACTTAGTTTTGATCATACCACTATTAGGAAACTACACTATTTCACAAAATGTGTGATAATATTCCTTTAATGCTGATGCTGCGAACGGAGGAGGACGTACACAAGACCTATTGTCGGTATGAGAATGTATTGACGGGCAAATCAATTATTATATTATATATATATTTCTTATGAGTCTGTAATTGTTTCCAATACTCTTTGAAATTTTTGTTACCAATTTACTTAGTATTTTTAAAGAAAATACCTACGCTTCTACATTACAGTTTCTATTTTTCTCAATAATTGCACTACAAATGCAACCATCTAAGATCAGGGTTGCTTTTTACAATGAAGATTGTCAGTTCGGCAATTAGGGATGGGACAAGTCGAAGCACCTCTAGTTCCACTTACAAGCGATAACAAAATGCAATTATTATCGATAGTTTTGCCTGCCTACTGTTTTATTTATTTTATTCCTTATTCCTAAGATAAGCTTATCATAAAATACAATGGATGGCTTGGAAGATGCATCCCAAATGGAAATCAACCTCTCCAATACGAACGCGAACTCCCAAATAGTGTTAAACGATCTTCGACTTCTCGAACTAATCTATATGTATCCGTTTCTATTCAGCAAAGCGGTGCGTCCCCAGAATGACAAAGACTATGAGGAATGGGGCTGGGGGGAAATAGTGAAGGCATTCAATTTAAGCTATGAGGGCTTAGAGCTGTCCGCGCCCTTTTCCGTTGAGGAGCTCCAGTGGCGATGGGACATCCTGCGGCCCATATGCCCGACGCTCGGTAAAGCGTGCGGCCAAATACCGAGTGCACTTCGGGATATAGTTAGCAAAATAAACCAATTGATGAACGTGAAACCGCCGGCAAACATCAAGGGCTTGACTTCAACGCAACAGTTTTTACTCGATCAGCTGCCGTTTATCGAGCAGCTGTCGACGGCGCACCAAAGGCAGCTGGAGGTCGAGGTACTGGATGCCATATTCAAGGAAGAGCGCAAGGTTCGTTTAGTTTGCAAGGGCCTCGGTAAAAAGGAGCTGGCCATTGTGCTAAACGAGTACGATGCTTTCCTAAAGGCGATACGCGTCAAAGAGCTGCCCGTGCAGGTCAGCTCTCGCAGGAGCTCCGTCAGCAGCAACCCCGGCAGCAAACCGGACAGTTCTGCAGCTGCGACAAATGTTGTCAATGCTCGTTCCAGCAATCTCGTCATTAGCGATGTACGCGGTCACAGCAAACCGCAGCCTGAGCCAGCAAACCCGCCCACATCAGCGCTGGTCATAAAGGAAGAGCCACCAAACCAGCTTGAGGTAGAGCTGCAGCCGGAGTCAAAACAGTCGCCAGTCAAAGAAGCTGATCTAAGTCTGCGATATGTGCCGCTCAAGAGCGCCAAGTACTATGTGAAAAAGGTGCAAGTGAGACTGAAGCGCCTGGACTTCGCCGACTATATGCCGCTGTCGTATGTGAGGAAGACCCGCAACAGGAGCTCCTGACTGCGTTCGGGAGCTATTCAGTTAAGTTAGTTTTATATCAAATGCACAATAAGTTTATTTAAAAAATACATTACTATAAATTACAACTTAGAGCTATTGTTTAAACTGATTTGATTTTGTTGCAATCACTAAACAAACAGTTTCCGAAACAGATGGGGCCGGCGACATGCATCTAGCCGAGCTGTTGGCTGGCTGCCCGGCGGAGCGACTGCAGCAGTCCCAGCGCCTGGAGGGCACAGTTGCCCATATGGGATGTGGCCTCGGGCGCTGAGGAACTTGGCTACTTGTACATTACATTTTGTTCTACATTTTTGTAATCGCATTTGTGTTTATTATTAACAAGAGTCACAAGAACGTAATTCAACATGTCTACAAAATACAGTCCATGGTAAAAAAAAGCGCAGCACTAACAAGACTAACTAACAAACAACAAAGCCACAATCCAGCAGTCAGTCGGTTGATGCGGATGTGGCATACTTTCATCGGGTGCACGCACGGTTCAGTTCCAGTGCCAGTCACACTCTAAAACAGCTGATCCGCCAGATTCCCAATGAACGTGGCCAGGTTCATTGAGGAGCCCTCCTTGAATTTCAGTCCAATCGTTTTCCCATACGCCTGTATGAATATGGCCCGAACCGCGTTCAACCGTTGCTTGCGTCTGCAAAATTCGGAAATGTAAGAGAATGTTTGTTGATGAGAATGCTCGGAATCAGTCTTGGATTGTTTTCAGATATAATAGATATAAGAATGGATTATCTTCCAATGTATTAAAACTTAAAATGCTTTTTTTATCGCAAGCCTGCCCCTCGTAATATGGGAACTACCGAGTTATCGTTGCTCCTATCTAAAAATCGATAATTATCGATTTCGGATTGGGCCAAAGATAATTTAAGCATATAATACTCCTCCCTTTCACTTATGGAATATATATAATTGTGTATATCAAAATATTATTAATAATTAGATGCAACTTCTTTTTATCCAGCTATTAAATTTAAAATATTAAAAATAGAATTCAATGGGAAGATAGGGAAAGAACGGGCTAGCTTAAATTCTAAGAAAACCCATTAAATTTAATTTAACCCATGGATAAAAAACATTACTCTGATTTCGCCTTGGACGTTTTTTTGCTGTGGCTCTATAAAATTCAAGTTCCTATACTCTATAGATAGACATTTTGATTCGACTCAGTGCACTTACAGATTGATGGATTGCTTGGAAGCGGCTGCGCTGGCGCTGCCCGCCTCCTTGGAGGAACCATTAATGAAACCGTGCGTGTTGCTGCTGCTGTTGCTGTTGCTATTGCTGTTGTTGCTGCTGCCGCTGGCGCTGGGATAGCCGCTGGGGTAGGCGCTGGGCGTGTTGGTGCTGCAGTGATAGCCATTGCCGCCGTTGCACATTGGAATGTTGTCTGTCTGCTGATGCTGTTGGGCCACAAAGCGCATCATGTAGCTGCCGTTCATCATGGAGTCTATGGAGCCGGTGTCGGTGACCACCTGCCAGCTGCCGTTCGACGAGGTTGACTCCTGGCGCTGGCGCGCATTCGAGCCGGGCACTGAAATGGGGCTGGTACGGGATCTGTGACCCAGAAGAACCAAGCATGTTAAATCCACTCAAAGTCAATTCAAATTGCTTCACTTACCGCTTTGGATTGGGCGATCGACTGGTGAGCGGATTGACGAGCGCTGGAGGTGCAGTTGCCGCCGTGGCTGCTGCTGCTGCTGATGTTGTTGTTGTTGTTGTGGCAAAGAAGTTATCTGTTATGGACATATCACAGTTGGAACAGTTTGAGTAGCTATCGTTGCTATCTTGATCGAAGGCCAAAATGTAGTCTCTGCAAGAGTAAAGCACAAGTTCGGGTAAGTCCCTAAATAGTTCTCATGTTCATGCCTAGACTAATTCTGTCTAGCATTTTATGCGGCTTCACTTACTCCTTGAGCGGCTCGTCGTCGCAGCAGTCGGACTTGATGACAATGACGCTGCTGCCGCTGCTGCTGGAGGTCTTGGTGCGCTTGCGGTGCTCCACAATGCTGAACTCCTCGTCGGTGATGAACTTGAGCACGTGAAAGCAGAAGAACATGATGTCCTCGCCGCGCTTAAGGCGATCGGGCAGCTGGTGGCCAAACAAGTACCAGTCGTAGGCTAGCGTAAAGTACGCCATTTGCAGTGCGTTGAGTGACTGGTGGATGAGGCCGTCGGCCCAGAGCGACAGCCGCACCAGGGAGACGAAGAGGGGCGTGCGGTCCCAGCCACTGATGCAGTGTATCAGCAGACCAGAGTTATCCTCCTGTATATACTTAAGCGTGGCGCGCAGATAGTTCTGTGTAATGGAGACCAAATCCCAGTCCCGATACTCCGGCCAGATGATGTCGATGTCGGCGGCGGGTCCCAGATTGGGTATGTTGATGTTGGCATCGTTGAACGACTGTTTCCAGTTGTAGTGCAGATTCTTGGCCATGTAGTTGTTGTCCCGGAACTTCTTGAAGAACTCACAGCCCGGATACGGCAGCGATAGCAGATTAAAGCTCTTGTAGTGCTTGTTAGGATCGGCCTTCTCCGACGAGGAGACGCTGTAAAAGTGCATTTGTGAGTAGCCCGAGAAGATTGTCAATATATTCAATTGCGGACTTACGCCATGAAGTATTTGATTTTGCGATTCTCCACCATGAGATCCACAATCGTGGACACGTTCAGCGTGTGCAGCAGCTGGATGTCGCTCTTGATGACCTCGTCGTAGCTGAACTGCGACTGCGCCTGGTCGTTAATGTGGTTGATCAGCGACTCGTCCGTGGTGTCCGACTCGTTCTCCTCGCCATTGGGCGCGGCATAGTTGGTGCCGCTGAGGCAATCGTATGCATAGTCCACCACCTTTCGGCCGTACGTCTCCGGCATCACGGAGAGCGTGGCCGAGCGGCAAATGTATTTGCCCCGATACATTATGACGGGCACGGCGAAGCGCTGCCTGCAGCGCGCATACTTCGCCATCGTCACCAGCTCCCGCATGCGCTGTATATCATACTGATCCTCGTAGATGGTGTTCTGCTGCGGCTGCTGGTGCGACTGCGGCACCGACTGCTGCGGATGTTGCGTCTGCAGCGGATTGGCAAAGGTCACAAAGGCTTGGATGCCGATGCCAGCTGTGCTTCCGTTGCTGCAGTTGCTGCCAACGCTGCTGTTCAGCGGCGTCGCTGTCGCCGTTGTGCCCGATGAGCCTCCTCCTCCGCCTAATCCTCCTGCTACGCCCAACCCGTTGCTGGGTATAAGCGTCTTGGCCATGTGCCCATGCTCGTATTCCGGTATGAGTATGCGTCCAGGATACCTCGGACTCAGCAGCCCGTTCGTATTGTCCAGCTCAATGAGGCTGTAGTCGAGCTTGAACAGAAATTCGCATTTTTTTGAGATGCCATACTCCTGTGACGAAAATAAGAAAAGGCGGATATTTACATTAATACATTTATAGATCCATTATATATATATACTAGAGGGTGTAGCCCAGACTTGCCCCTGACAAGGCATACCCTGGAATTGGCCTGATGGTTCTCCCTAAGCTCACACATACATTAGATACTCAGTAGCTTTTGCTGTCCCCATCAAATTGGGAATAAATCTGACTAGAGACCCGAAATTTCCTCATGAAGTCCCCATATACGTAGCTTCAATACAGATTCCGACTCTTTTGAATACAAGGTATTATAGAAGACTCTTGTTGTTTTTGAAATAGTTGACACTAGCTTTCTCCGTAGTATTATACATTTTGTAATCTCTTTTCAAATTGCAGCAATAAAATAATTTCCTTGTTTTGGTTTTGGCATGGTATTGAATCTCCCCTTGACGGTTCACATTCATGATAACCTTTCGCTGCATCCACAACATTTACTTTGATCTTTAAATAAAGTCTCGCCTATAGACATTTTGAATATTGTTTAAATGAGACGAATAATTTGGAATCCCATTGAACAGCTGCGTGGCACGCGTTTCAAATTAAACATACGATAATCCCCAGAGTCTCGGACCCCGCTGGGGGTTATCGTCCATATAAAGAGTCGAGTAACCGTGAAATTCTGAATTCCTGTTTTCAATTTCAATTAGCAAATTCCACAAATATATTAAAGCTATAAATTACAATATAAAGAGTTAAAGGCGTCTATCCCAATTTAAAGTATAATGCAAATTGGGTAGAGAATAGATTCACAAGTAATATTCAAATTTCGCAGGTATTTTAAAGTTACCTAACTTAGCTTTTTGATAGTATATCAAAACCTTCCTGGCTAATAAAATGTCTAACCTAGCTATAAATGGGATTACATAACTGGGATTACATCTGGGAAGAACCTAAACGTTGTTTATACCTTAAGAATAGATCGTAAACATTCTATCGAAAGCGGAGCTGCCGGCCTGCCATCTGTCCCAGACAACGGATGGCTTATCAAAAGGAACGATAGCTACCAAACCTTGGCAGAAATGGAAGCCGTGTTGTCTGAACAGGTTTTTAGCACAACAAAAGCGAGCGATAAACATAGCAAAGCGAAATGCGAATAAATAGAAACGTTAAAGTAAACTGCGCAAAAAGGCTAAGCGAAATAGCGAACCACATACCAAAACAAACGTGGCAAAAAAGACAAACACACCCACACACAAATGCGTTCATATACACATGAAGCGCACACATGTGCAGGCAAGAGAAAACTATGCGGAGCGAAACAAACGAGCAAAACAACTAAAACGCAATTACCGCTGTGCGCTTGCTAGTGTGTGCGTGGGGTGAGAGTTTATGGTGGGCGGGTGAGTGTATTCAGGTTGTGGTGAGAAAGTTTTTGACGAAAGGCGGCAAACGACTAAAAGGGGTTTTGAGTGGGCAGCGAAACGAACGATATAAGTAACGGTTCAGTTGACAGCTTGAGCAATAAACAGGGAAGCTGTAGAAGTGAAAATAAATATATTTACATATATGTATAAGACATTCGTGTAAACACAAGATATTTGAAATATCTACATATGCATGTGTAATTAGTAAATAGCTTGCAAAAGGGGTACAATAGTTTGTTGTTGTTTACATCAGCGAATTCATCGTCATTATCTTTAACAGCACCCCTCTCTCTCCCCCTCACACACACACACACACACGCACAAAGGCAGATGCGGCGCTGTAACCGCTGCTCTCCGACGCATGCACAAGTTTTAGCTGGCGTGAAAGAGACGGATGCAAAGAATGTCCATACTTTGTGCGTGTGTGTGTGTGTGTGTTTCGTTGAGAAACCAAAAATCTTGGCGTTTTTATCGGCAACTTGTTCGCTGTGTCGCCGCAAGTGTGAGCGAGACAGTGAACATGTAGCTGCTACATGTTGTAGTTGTAGTCGCGCTGCTGTTGTTACAAGCGCACACAAGGAGCCGATTGTCTTGCGTGTGCGTGTGTGTGTGTGTGTATTGAACTGCTTGCTTGTTGTTGCACTTTTGTACTTCTGTACTGTTGTACTGTTGTGCTGTTGTACTGCTGGCTGTTGTTGTTATTGTTGTTGTTGTTGTTGTTGCTGACGTGTAGTGCACATATTTATTTTCTTTGTAAGCGCGGCGCACACAGCATGCAGTTGACTGTGCTTTTTTCGCTGCGCGCCTGTTAATAAGGCGCTGTAAAACTTAAAAACAACAAACAGACGCGCGCGAAAGCAAAATAGTTTTGCAGACTTGTGTTGTTGTCGCTGTCGTTTTGCGATTACAGACACCGACACAGACACAGACAGACGCCAATGCAATAGTTTTGCTGCCGCTGGCGCTGCTAGCAGCGATCAGCATCAGCAGCAGCTGCTGCCCTGACCCAAAAAAACAAATTTAAGACGAAGGCTGTTGCTGCTAAGCAGCTTACATGGTCTCCTCCAACTGAATCTCGGTCTTCCTCTCGCTGTCTCCTTCTCGCTAGGCGCTTGGCTCAGCGCAATGCAGTTTTCTTGCAAACCCGGATTTTGAAGACTTTACCAGTACTGGGCAAGCAGAAACCGTCGCTGCAGCCGCAACAATAACACACAGCTGCACAGTTAGTTTACAGCTGCGCTTTCTGCAAACGAGCGGCCAATCAAGAAAAGAAACTAACACCAGCGACAGCAACACCGACGCCATGACACACCAAGACCAGGCCAACAGCAGCAGCAGCAGCAGCAGAAGCAGCAGCCACAGCAGAAAAGAAAATAAGAGAAAACGACAAACAGAAAATAAAAGACAGCACAACATGTAAATAAACGTTCGTCTGACATCGCTGGCATTTTGGCAAGGCTTATCACGGACATCACGCGAGTCCACATGTATACATACATATACATATGTATGTATGTATGTTTTAACATATTTATTCATGCATATTCATCGATCGCCCAACACGGAAAATTGCTTTTCTTGAATGAATTATTCAGGGCGAGCGACACTGGAAACAAGTTCACGTCAGGCCCGACACGGCTCGGGCCACTGACCACACCTCGAACATGCATTCTGTTAAGTTCCGTTTTTGTTGTTTACAGAAATGAGTTTTTGTTTTTGTTTCTGTTTTTTTTTTTTTTTTTGTGTTTTTACTGCGTTCAAAGACCCCAAGCGAACACGTTTTCGATAAATGCCCAGCTATCGACAGACAAGTAATCGGGCGCAACAGCTATTCAGTTTTTTTTTTTTTAGCCAACCTTTATCATGCCAACTATGTTAATGTGCAATAATAACCAGGTTTTGATATGCAGTTTGACAAGGTCATTCTGAATTTCCAACATATGTGTTTGATGGGCAACAACATTTGCATATCTCGACGGTTGGCAACTTTTTAAAGCTTCAACTTACAACAACAACAAAATACTCGTTTAGCCGGAAACTGTGCACAAAGTTTTCAGAGAGAGGGAGAGAGAGAGAGAGAGAGAGAGAGAGAGAGAGAGAGAGAGAGAGAGAGAGAGAGAGAGAGAGAGAGAGAGAGAGAGCGAGGCATGAGCTTTTAATTGCCTGACATCAATTGGAGGCCTTTGCAATCAGGAAGAGCTTTATTCCATCCGCCTGCCAAGCACACAGCACAGCATTTTCTTCAAGTTAAGTAACAGGGGCTTGCCTTCGATCACCAACTGTTTAACATGTTCGCCTGTCAAACAGTTCATCTAAAAGTCTCTTAGGGGTCAATGTTATCGATTCCATTGACGTGGCAAAGGACACATTAACATATAAGTAAATAAAAATGTATATGGGCGGAAAACTCACCAAACACTTTTTAAAACTTATTCGCGGAACTAGTTCCAAAGCAAGATGATGGACTATATGCACAACGCGGTTGTCTCGCATGCATGCCTGACCAACTTGCACCCACAACTTTTTGCATCGTGCCACAATCTGTTGCCACGCAACAATCGCTGCCATATGCAGCCGCCATTTCAATTATTATCGATTTTATCTGCTCGTCAGCAGGCAATCATAAAGTGGCAGCAGGCTGCAGCAGCAGCAGGAGCATCCGGAGCAGCAGCAGGAGCCGCCCCTAATCAGGATATGTACGTGTGTGTCCTTTGCGCACATCATGCGAACCTAGTTTTGACGTTGCCTGGTTCGAATATCATAATGCCGTGTGGCGAATCCGACGACAGACGTCGCCAGCTCCTGGAATTGGCAGACGCATTGGAACTTCAATTGCGCTGCGCTGGCATCTAATCGAAACGCACTCGCTGCGTCTCCCGAGGCCACTCTCCCGGACATGCGCCCGGGCAGCAGCTGCGGTCCCGCCCGCGGTTTCTATATGCATCCGTTCACGTATTCTGCGCACCTGTGCCAAGTGTCTGTGGTTCGTCCCACGCTAAAACGCCAAACAGCTGCCAGCCAAATGCAGAACAAAAGCAACAACCAGCTAAGTAAATCCAAGGACAGGGAATGTGCAGCGCTTCAACTGTTCAAGTTCGACGCGCAACAGGCAAACATAAACACAAGGTGCCCAGCGTGTCGTCTTTCGCACAGTGGACACAGGTATATTCTATAAGTGTTTGGTTCTCTAAGAACTCTACGACAAAAGGAACCAGGACTTTCAATATTGTTCTTCTTATAAACGGAACTAGTTACTTAAAGATCAGCTCAATCTTAACCCTGAACTCCAAGCATTTTCATTTTAATTCAACTTTGACCTTGTCTTAAGAGCATACTATACTCCTGAGTTATTTCGACTAATCTATATTTAATTAGAGTTTTTATATAAGCAAAATGCAAAAAATATGCTCTAGTTTTTTAATTTTTGTTTTTGCTTTCATTCAGGTGTTTTAAAAATAAATGAATCATTAAAAATTCCATTTTAAATTACATGTGAGTAATAATTTAAATATAATTAACTTTAAATCATCAACTCTGATGACATGGAACTTATTGAGTTTGATCGTCACCAGAAATATGTTTTCGTTCATATGAATCCGGTTCCGGTTTAATTTGTGTTTTTGGACTTGCGAACTTGAAGTTCGTATTAAAATGAACTAAATGAAAATTGAATATATCCAAAGTATACTCCGATTACCGATTTTGAACCTTGCCCATTCAGCCCCAGCCTCGTCTCGAGGTAACATTTTTATATTTATCAATATCAATATCCCAGCTAATTTTTCGAGCATTTTTTTGGGTGATTTGCTCCACTGTGCGCCGTCATTTGCTGCAACAGCCACGGCGCTGGAATTAGCCGCAGCTGGTCGGCATCTTTGATTTATGCGCGCCTGTTTCCCGTATTCGGAAGCGCCCACACAACTATGCGATACAGTGGACAGAAGAGTCAAGCGACGAACAACGCGGCACCCACACAGGCGCTGCCAGACGGCACAGGCGCACAGGAAAGAGCGCAGCAGTGCAGAGCGGCTGCAGCCGGAGCCAGATAGATGGCGTTGGCGTCCTGCGCAGTCGGCACCAATTGGAGACAGCTTCGGCATAGCCAGGCAACACTGTGCCGGCTGCATGCAACCCCCAAAATAAAGTGCAACTGCGTGGGCGTACAGAGTTTGTGCAGCCTGGAAGCGTTTTGGATACGAGCTGCTGCCAGGCGAGATACATAAAACACACGGAAGGAAACGCAGCTGCAGCTGCAGTCGCAGTCGCCGTCGCCGTCGCAGTAGCAATCGCATCCACAACCTGGCCTGGGCAGGCTGCAGCCAGGCCAATCGAATTTTGAGTGCGCAGAGTAAATGAAATAATTATTTGTTGCAAGTGCTGTGAAAAAAAATACATCTGCATGGAGCTCGTGCTGGAGGATCATCTATTCCTGGCCTCCCTCAGCCTGCTGGCCCTGGAATTCTATTGCCTGGTCCGTTTGCTGGTCATCATCTACCATATACTCGACTGCGTTCTGGCCACCATCAACACTTGGCTACACACCAATTAGCCAGACGACAGCAGCAGCAACTAGGCCACACAAATAGTATTATTAACAACAACAGCAGCAGCAGCAGCAGCAACAACAACAACAACAACAACAGGTGGGCTAATATATTGTAAAATCTTGTTGAAAGTGAAATATTTATACACTTATATATGTATATATAGTTGCATATTTATGTGTATGTTTGTTCTATTTTTATTTGCTGCCCCGAGCAGCAGTATATGATTTTTTTTGGCGCCCACACTTGCACACACACACACACACGCACACACTCGCACCTTGTTGCAGTTGTGCTCGGGCTATGCCAATGTCATTGGGCAAGGTTTGTTATAAATAAAACAAATGCAAACAAAACAAAAACATTATAAAAAGCAGCAGTCAAATTTGTTGCTCATTTTCATGATAAGTTCGTAAGCTAAATACGTAGGCACTTAGCCAGTACAGTGTTTCCTCCTTAGGGCGAAACAAACTGTTTCCAGACGAATTGAAATTGTTTAGCCCATTAAATCGAATGCAAATATTTCTATGCAAACAAATCTGTTTTAAATCTGTTTTTTTTATTGTGCCTCATGGCCCATAAAATCTAATGAAATTATTTACATGCTAACAAAGCGCTTTAAAAAACCAGGGCTGCAAATGCAAAAAAAATGCATTACTGGTTCGGTTTACGGTTCAAAACAAGTGGTTCACATTTGCTTACTTTGAGCCCTGGTTCGTCATATTTTCTTAAGTTTTCATGATTATTTCCTATCAAATAGTTCCAAAATAATCGTTGGCATTTCATTTAAATACTTTTTTTTTCTGATTTTCGTTTCGGTTCAGGCTATCGAGCAACCACTGTACTTGATTTTGCGCACTTTTTGCTTTTCGTGCAATTTTTTAATGTGCATTTGAAGTTCAGCTTTTAATCAGGTGTCGCCATGACAACAGATTAAACCTGATTATAAACAATTCTAGTGTTATTATTTGAATTTAATTGTATGAATAATATGTTTGACGGCAATAGTTCTATACCCTATAAACAATACATATGTGGTATGTTCGTTTATTTCGAAAATGTTTTCTTATGAATTTCTATTTCTATTTTACTTGAAACGAACATTTTTATTGCATTTAACATATTATTTTGATATATTGAAATGAAAAACTATTTTCCAATTTCTCAAAACGAATTTCAATGAATCAGCTAATGTAATAAATTTGATCTATAATGAATTAATTGAACCTGGATTCACAGATGTGGAAAATCATAAAATTAACTTTTCCTTATTGGCTTGGTTAAAGTTTAGAAAGTTTTTGGAAATAAGTGTTCTTTAAAATCCCTATACAAGTATCTAAATAATGAATTGCGATCATCTAAACTTTTGACACCTTTCCTTTAAAAATGTCATTGTTTAGCGATCTCCTACGGAAGTGCATAATTGTCTGAGATGGCGGCGGGCAGCAATCAGAGAACTGGTTGGTCGCATCGCATGAAGAGCTTTCAGTCCAAGCAGGCGGACATAAATCGTTTGATAATGAAATATCTGGTGGCAGGTGCGTATTAAATGATATCCTGTGAACATTTCAACAAAGTTAATTGTCCACTGACAGAGGGCTATTTGGATGTGGCGCAGGGATTCGAGGCGGTGGCCAGGCTGGAATCGGGCGCGCAGGCGGATCCCGTCGAGTATCAGGAGCGCATACGGCAGGCGGTGCGAACGGCCCAGGTGCAGTACGCCATTGACATGGCCAAGAGGCTGTACCCCAAGTTGTTCGAGAGCGAGAACTACATGTACTTCCACATGCAGCAGCTGCGCCTCATCGAGCTGATTCGGGAACGGAATCTGGAGCGCAGCTCCGGCAGCGGCGTCTCCCTTGAAACGGAACGATCCGCGGAGAGCTCGCTTGGAAACGATCTCCTGCAGCACAGCTGCAGGCAGCGGGTGAGCCACGAGCTGGAATCGACCCTGCTCAAGTACGAGCAGACGGCGAGCATGGAACCCAAAATGATGTTCCTCGTCAAGCTGATACTCTGGGCACAGAGCACGCTCGACAAAGATGGCTGTGCCGGCCGCTGTCAGCTGGATCTCGATGCCGCCGACTTTGAAGTGGAGCTGAAGCGCGCTTTGCAAAACGATTAGAATGCCGCTCAGCATGCTCAAAGGGCGAATCCGGTGTCTACTGCTACTATACAGATCTATAAATCTATATTTATATATGTGTATAAATACAATTTTTTTTTTTTTAGATGTGCTTAAATACAATGTTCAAATATCTTGATGTGCAACAGCTACACTTGCTTTTATTCAGCTCTGCTTCAGATCAAGGAAATCTCCATTTATATAATCTCTATAATAACTGAATTGCGATCAACTCACAGACAAAACAGTAAGAGCTAGGCAATTGAAATTATTACCGACGATGATTCCACTCTCAAGTGTGAAAAAATAGTGGAAAACGATTGCTGAAACTTATTTGTTTCGGCCTCAAAAATATTTTCAAAGTTATTTTAGGAGAATTTATTAGTAAAAAGTGAATGGAAAATAACTTGTTGAATGCCTGTTTCAGCGTTTTGATATTTCCACCTGCAGCAGTGGAAGACTGGCGATTCGCAAATGAAAGTTTTGTGATTTTCTCCGATCGACTTTTAACTAATTTGAAAATTGAAAATTTTGTCTAATTATCTTCAAAATTATTTACATAAGTCTAGATGAAAACTTTATACATTTAGAAATTCCACCCACATGTGAGGAAATTTGGTGGAAAATCGGTTATTCAACCGATCGGCCTCAAACTTATCTCCAAATAATCTTTGCGTAAATTCATTTGGCACGTGTTTCACACTCTACGAACAGTCCACCCCTCCCGTCAAAAAAATGCAGGTCAAAGGTTGAATTATTTTATTTTTGGTTTAATGCTTCACGCGACTAAAATGAGTTGAAAAATGTTGATCCAACTTGAATCTAACTAGAGATAGCATGAATATATTCTAAATTTCCACAAGCGGGAAAAAGATAAAAAAAGTGATATCTAAAATTTGAAGCACAAAACCACAATGTCAGAGAATTTCCGCTAGTCAAAAAAAAATAGTTCAAACTGGGTAAATGATTGGTGTTCAACGCAGAGTTTAACCGCAAGAACTAAAATTATTACTAAGTATCGTAAAATCCTGCAAATGTGAACTCATTTGTAAAACCGTCCATTAATATATTCTCTTTCTTCCCAGCTATAAAAGTTCATGTTTGTGTTTAAAGAAGTGTTTTGTATTATTCAAAACGAGTATATTCCGAGTCGACATGTCTTGTAAAAAGAAGTCCCTGATCGCTGGCTTTTAAAATTGTCATTTCCCACATTGTTCACATATCTCGTGTTCCTTCTGTAATAACTCCTGGCAGGATCGCATTGTGACAAAGTGTCACAATGTATTAACGGATTGTTATACCCTTTGATTTATGATAATGGTAGGGTAGATATGCTACACTTCATTAATCTGTGTTAAGATTAGTATTTACATTCGCTTATGTAATTGCCCGGAATGAAACTTTGCCCCGATGCACAGATCTGGCTCGTTGTGGCGCCTGTTCAAAATAATCTGAAACGCAAATTGCTTGGTCACGTGCCAGCATCAAAGCTATAAATAATCTTTCCCCAATAACAAAACAAAAAAAAACATTAAAATAAGAAACTAAAAAAAAAAAAACAGCAACAGCAGTTAAGTAAATAACTTTGAACAAAGAAAAAGGTTGAGCAATAGAAACCCATAAAAAAAAAAACAAAAACAAACCCGCACTTATCGAGGTGCAGTTCAAAGATAAGAAACTCGGTTAGTATACTAAGTTACAGTATTCATGCGGGTCTAATCACTTTCTAAGGTCCCTTGACTGATTGGACGAGTTCATATAAAGCAAGCGAGATTAAGTCAACCTTTAAATCTAAGGGGCGTAACCCCATAATTTTACTATAAACAAGCATACATTGCCAGTTTGAAGTAACTCGAACAAGAAGTTATATAAAAGCCTTAAGCTAAACTTTTATCAATTGAAAACAATAAATTTATAAGCAAAAGGCAATTGATTTGCCTTCTTCTATAAAAAAGGAAGAGTAGGTAAAAAGACAAACGAGTTTATAAAATGTGCTTTGTTTCAACAGTTAATCGGAAACAAATTCGCTCAAACTCACGGAGCTCACGTACAGATCGTACGTGTTTAAGTGATTTTATCGAAAAGAATGAAATTTCATGTCACAGCAACCGAACAATATTCAAATATGGTCTATGTATAAAAAGTGGCGTAGGACCGAAAAGTATTCAAGTTTCATGTGATTCACGAAATGATTAAGTTACGCCACGCCAAAGAAAATACTCTTACAAAACATAGTTTTTCAATAGAGCTATATAGTAGTAAGAAGATCTTGAGATTATTCAAGTTTACCAATAATTTTAATGTCAAGAATGGATATCCTTTGTATCTGAGATGTTCTATTTGCATTTCTTGACATAATAATAATATTCTCTAAACAAAAGTAAATCAAGCACGAACCCATTTGATCGATCATATTCGACGGACAATGACAACCAGTTCCTTGCTAGAAATCGTGGGAAGAGCATTCAGTATTTTATTTGTTTTGCACTTGTCATTGTTGTGCTTTGACAATGTTGCCAGATAGTGAAAAGCCTGCGCTCGACGCTGATAACAGCAAATGTTTGATAAACGAATAGATAATATACACAACATTCCCGAGTTTAGAAACTGCAACAATGCAACAGGCAGGGGCAAACATTATTTAAAAGTGCATTTGGCTTCTATTCATTTCAATTGATTGCAAAGCATTCGCGTTTATCAGCTGCAGCTGCACTGCATGAGGGGGGCGCGGGCTGTTACGTGCCAAGTTTTGTAATACGCGGGCCATACACGTATGTCCCCGACGAAGGTATTTGTTGTTTCACTGTTGCCAACTGTTTGCGGTTTTCATTTACATATACAAATACATGCACTCTTTCTTTTGCACACACACACACACACACACACTCATGCACACGCACAGATGCTCCCATACAAAACCATTTGATGTTATTGTTGCCGGCTAACGCTAAGCGGCCTGTTAACATTGACAGTATGCTAACAGAAAATGTTCAAGATGCAACAGCGATGGCAAAACGAGCAAATCAAACTAAATTGTATAGCCTTTTCTTTCTTAAAAAGGCGCTTATTTGATCAATATCAGACATACATTTATATCGATATATGTAGCACACTGTTTTCTAGTTATTTATATTAAGTCAATAGGTCGAAAATAATCTGATATGGTTTAGTGGACACGCTTTGTTGTCCACTTTCCAGCCCCAAATAAATACATATTGAAGACTATGCGTGACAGGGAGGCATTGGGCCTACTAAAGAAATTAGCCTAGTGCGTGTAAACAGTTTGTTGTAAAAGTCGTAAATGTTGTAGCTGCACTTCGACTAGTCACAAACATAACCGTAACATGAAACGAGGGCAGAAAGAAGAGAAAAGAAGAAGCAGAAAAGCAGGCGAGCATACATACATACATACATACATGTGCAAGTATTTGTTGTTGGGCGAATCTTAAGACGCGCCTATCGATTTCTTTTGATTGGAGTTGAAGAGGAGTTAGATGGTAAAGGGAAAAAGTTAATTTGGGACAGACTTCAGCATCGCTCTTTTGGGCGCGGCCACCTGATGGGAAGGGAAGCAATGGATGTGCCAGTTGCGCTGCCACCCAATCCAGTCTGCAGCCCTGTTACTGTCATTGGTAATGTTACAGCACGTGCACGTGCTTTAAGTGGATTTGTGTCACAGGCTTTTTCTGTTAGTGGAAGGCTGTTCAGGTGAACTGGACTTACCGTTGTGCCTTCCTCAAAGGCCACCGCCTCGAATGATTTTTTTTCGAAAATTTCTAATAGATCGTGTAAATCCTGCTGTGTCACGTTGACCATTTCGTTTAGCTTTATGTTGCTCATTTTTGCGGCGCTGCATTTACCGTACGTTTTGTGTGGGTGTCGCGTTCGTATGTAAATTCTATTTCTGCTACGCACACTTGAACACTGTTATTTTGCAAAGGCACACAGACGCACAGACTCACAGACACAGTGACACGAGTAAATGTGGCCGAATAGCGCTGGAACGATGGTTATTTATTAAATAACTTCTAGGTCGGCTTCTGCTTTGCCTATTTACGTATAGGACCGAATTATATTTTGTTGTTGTTTTGCTTTTATATCTGCTGCTGCTTAGCCGTTTTGCGTTCCGTTTTGAAGTTTGTTTTGTCAACGCCTTTTTAGGCTCAAGCGCGACGTCACCAACTCTTGCCGCGACGTCAGTATTGGCTTTCGCGTCACCGCACGCTCAACAAAAAACAACTTGCACACCTTTGAGTAAATTTGTACAAATTTGATTAATTAATTACGCGCTAGTTTTTTTGAGTTTACTTTAATTACGACGTAAATAGCACACGGACCGAACACAACAAAACTCTGCGTGCGTATGTGTGTTTGGCTTACCTCCCGTTCGGTTGTCTGCTAAATTAACATTTTATTAACATGTTATTAACAGCGCAACCAATTTTTTTTTTGAATAAATGATATTGCAATTCAATAAGAAACACATTTACTAACACTTTAATAATTACAATTTTCTTCTCTTGTCATAAAAAGAACAAACATGATTAATAACAGATCCATAGCAGAGCTAATGCAATGTCTCAACATGGCCACATGTCAAAATACTACTTGGGACACATTCGATACCAATTTCGATAATCTTGCAACAGTCTGTTAATGTACTGTTAACGCACGAATAAGTTTATGTTATCGCAAAAGTGGCGCAAAGTGGAGTCCGATACTCTATGCAAATTGAATATTTCAAAATTGCATCTGCACTGTTACCTAAGAATACCAATAAGAATATTTATTAATTTTGTTTTCTGAAATAACTGTAATTAACAAAACAAATATTAAATTTGTTTAATGGTTTCACGAAATTAACAGATTTTTCAGCCTAGACAATCAGATTTGTATACAAATATATTTATTTTTTATTATTTCGCTGCATTTTGAACAACAATTACAGTTATTTTAACGTCTGGCACTAACATAACTTCATGAGTTTTAGTTCGTACTCTTAGCATCAAGAATTCATCGGTGGGATCAATTTTCTCCATACCTCGCTCAAATCGTCCTCGTAGTTCTTGAAAATGGCCAACAAATTTGACAGAGGTGTCAAATTCCATTGTGCTTTTAACAGGAATTCCAAGCTCATTTATAATAATAATGTCGCGAATATTTTTCTTTTCCTGAATTTGTCTAAATGCTTCATCGACATATCGACGTGTTCGTGGTGGCTGTAGATACATAAGCAATACTTCGTAAATAGTTCAATTAATATAAAATAAGTTGTACTTTTTCTGGAGGACTTTTAAACATATTTCACTATATCATTCAATCACTTTCTCCCATACAATGTGTACATTCAAACATTGTTTTTTTTCTTCATGGTTGTCAAGACAGTTTCTAGAGGTAACGGCTGTTATATAGGTCTGCGGGTCAAATGCCAGTATCCAGTGTGACCAGTGCGTGCTTGTATTCTTTTAAAGGAATTGCTATACACTTTATTAAAAATACCACTCTATTAGTATTTTTATACGCTAAAAATAATACTTTTAGCTTACTGCCAGCTGGTCACACTGCGGTATCGAGCAAACAAAAGTTTATTTTCTTTCTAATGAAACATTAGTTTTGCAACAGATTAAGCTAAATTCAGAGTTAACATGGTAAGTAAAGTGTACAATATTTTCAAAATAATTTACATTCGATTTTATTGACAGTCGCAAGAAGTCGAAGAAACGTTGAAACGAATCCAAAGCCATAAAGGGGTCGTCGGAACGATTGTCGTCAACAATGAAGGTGGGTAAATACGCATGAATATATTCTGACCATTTGGGCTGCCTTAGTAACGCAGAGTTGGCTTATTAGGTATTCCAGTTAAGTCGACTCTCGACAACACGACGACCGTTCAATACGCGGGCCTGATGAGTCAACTAGCCGACAAAGCTCGCAGTGTGGTGCGCGATCTGGACCCATCCAACGATATGACATTCCTTCGAGTACGCTCCAAAAAACACGAAATCATGGTCGCTCCCGACAAGGATTTTATTCTAATTGTTATTCAAAATCCAACCGATTAAATGCTCATAGGCGAAATTAATTGCGAACATTGTGATATGTGGTTTTATTATCTGTCTCCCAAGGGTTGAAACGAAGAAATGTAAATACATAATTTTTTTTGAATTAATATCTTCATGTATAACTAAATTATTCGCATGTTGTGATCTCATAGGGAAGCATAACAGTTGTTTCTATAACACTTGCAATTTACTTTTAACAGCTGGCTGAAGAAGAAAGCAATATGTTAACATTACGTCAATAGAGCACAGCTGCTAAATTAAAAAGGTGACGATAGTTCTTATTTCTAAAAAATTAAAAGAGCCCATAAGAAATCGATTACTCTGATAATCATTTACTTATAAGAACTTATGTGTTTTCCATAATATTTAAGTGCTTAAGTTAATTTATAAACAAAATATAAGGGTTTCGTAAAACACTAGTGATTGATGATTCAGATTAATATCGATATTTTTAATCAATAAGCTTGAAGTCTTCTGTTAACGTAAAAATAAATTAACATTAACAGTAGGTTAAGTTAATCAATCTTTGTCGAATATATTCTCGAAAAAGCCCAGATTGGACGACATAAAAATTGTTTTAAATTTGATATATAAACACTCAAATTCAGATTTTGTAATATCGATGTATCGTTATAAGTCAGCCCGATAGTAAAAATATCGTAACTAGTGAGGTATCGAGACATTACCATCTCCCTAACCTCAGCGAGTCTGTCGACAAGTCGTGCGTGTGGTAGTGGTGAAAACTTATAAGTTTTAACAAATGCATTTAAAAATTCGTTAAAGGAAAAAATATAGCCAATAGTAATATAAAAAATAAACACTTCGAATAAAACGGTCACACAGTGTACGCGTGTGCAAAGAAACAGATTCCAAATTTAACAAAAAGGTAAATGTGAAATTGGGCGTGCAAGAGTAAAGAAAATGGCGTAATCACGCACTCAAACCAACAAACGGCAACGCAAACGGAATCTACGCTCCCCAATCAGCCAGTCAGCATTTAATGGTCGTTCGTTCTTTCAATATTTGATTAAAAAACCAGAAATACATGTATACTTACGTACATATGTGTACATATATATATAATTGGTGTGAATGTGAAAAGTTTTAATAAGCTTTAATGTGAGCAGCGTAAGCGTTTTCAACGCTACTTTTTGTGCAGCCATATTTGTTCCGTGAAAAATGAAAATGATATGTACATACATGCATACATACATATTCATGTATGTATGTATTTAAAAGATACGTATGTATGTACATGCATACGTATAAAGAATTAACTGAAAAAAGAATCACTTCGTATCAGATCGTCGTCCCGTTGTTCGCAAACCCAAGCAATTTTCAACGATTCGTACAAAGCAACGTCGATACGTCGTATTATGTACAAATGTATAAATGTTCGTACATACATACTTTCAATATCGACGATGGCATCACACAAGAGCGCACACGCACACGAACACAGGCAAACCTCATGCACGCACGTACTACGTAGAGACAATGTGTATGTACATACATACGTATGTCTCGCCAGCCGCTGCTGCTGGTACATAACAGAGTTGAACACATAAGGGCTGGCTGAATTTATAAATAAGAGGCGAAGCATGTGCTGCGCAGCAACTGCGCTGTCTGCTACGACTGCATTGCAGCGCAAGGGATTTTATTACGTACAGCTCGAGCGGACAGCAGCTTGTTGTTTTTGTTGTTGTTGGTGCCGTTGTCGTTGGGTTCGTTTATATTTTTGGATATTTACATGTGCATGTGTTTATATGCGTGTGCGTGTGAGTGTGTGTGTGTGTTTGTGCAACTAGGAGAGCTCTCGTTTAATGCATATGTTCAACGTAAAACGCGACGCTATACAAAACAACGTAACTGTTGGAACGGTTCAGTCCCCACCCGCAACGCGTAATCCTCGTATGTTTTGTGGCATTCCATTTGCACACGCACACACACACAGAGCTTTTGCAACAACAACAAATAAAAAGTGTCCTAAAACTTCAGTTACAAATGTGTTATACGCATCTCTAATAGATAAAATAATAATTCATTTGACATGGTGCGAAAATCAATAATCAATCCGATTGTGAACAGTGAAATTTTAATTACGAATTGTCAAGTGTGAATCACATGGTAAATGGAAAAAACAAAATACACTTGCAAAAGTCAGCAGCAAATAACAGAACTGTAACTGTTTCCTCGAATCATATGGGAGATAACGTGACTCAAAAGACGTGTGTTTTGTTGTTGTTTTATTTATATACATTTTCTTAGTCAGCATTGAGCAAATATCAAACGATTCAAAATTACTTTTGCCAATGGATCCAGATTGTGGAGCCTTTAATTGCATATGCTAAAAGAGAGTTTGTTTTAGTTTAAAGTCCAATAATCAGATAATATAACTAACGTTGTTTCGCATCAACATCTTATCGCATCAGGTGTACATAACAAGACACACATAACACGCGACAAATTCGAAAAATATCAATCAGAGTCAAAGAGTGTGCGTGAGTGTGTGTGTGAGGCTTATAGAAATACGGAGCAATTCTGCAAGTCGAAAACTAAACTAAAAACGCAATTTAATCGTAAATATAAAATACAAAAAAATATATCTAGAATTTGTTGCTATTCAAAAAATCAATTGCAATTTCTATTTAACATTATTATTTTTAACAATTATCATGTTATACTTGAAATCTTTGTGTATTTCGAAATGTTTCAATACATTTTAAGATTGTTGCCTCTGGTTTTTTAGGGGGTCTCTGAACTTTTGGCCAGCTGCTGCACTCGCTTCGATCAAAAGTGACCGACAGGCGACCGACTTATGCAGCAGCAGAACAACCCCAAACAGATACACACACACACGCACACAAAGGCGAATGGACCGGCAGCAGCAGCTTTCTTCCCTTACTCTACTTTTTGGGCAGCAAACTGGTTTTCATCCCCGTTGCGCAGACTTGGTTTTCATTTGATTATAACTGTGAAAACTCTGGAGCAATGGGAAACTCATACCGTTTAGGCATTGACTCCCACCTTTAAATGGCCAACACATACAAACTAATCAAATTTATGAGCTAATTGGCGACGGGGCGAGGGTGGTTGAGGGGGTGAGGGGGGGAAATCCGCTGTAATATAAAGATTGGAGCTTGTGCGTGCCCGTACCCGTGCCCGTGCTCGTGTCTATCGAAGCGTTGTCAGATGATAAAGCTCGGAACAACACGTAGAAACATTGGCCTATGTGTATACCATATTTATTTCGTATTTTCGTACACATATTTATTTATATGCATGAGTTTGTGTAATGCATATATTAAACGCCGTCGCGTTATCGCAAAACAACAAATCAAACCAGCAACAACAACAACAATTACAACAAATACCTCGAAAAAAAAAAACAAATTTTTTGTTGGCTTCGTTTTGCTTAAAGCACACGCAACAAAATTTGAACAAAAATAACCGAATGTCTATAGGGCACATTTTGGCCAAATATACCAGGGATGCAGTCTCGATCTGTGGCTTAAATCTTAAAACTGTTTCTGATTTCTGTTCAATTAAAAAAGGGCTAAGAAATAATCATACTAGATAATTCACATAATAATATGTTTCAAATTGTTTGGTAAATAAACTCGGCTTAAATATGTCCCTAGATTTATATACAGATATAGAGAGTTTTTCATTTTAAAAATATTGCAACATTATTTTTACGTTACAAAAAAAAGAAGAAGACAGAATGGGGTCAGTTTTACCTGAAACGTAGACTTGGGTATTTTGAAAATGTGCTGTGGTTTTTTCTGTTTGTTTTTATTTGGACTTTGTCGTTTTTAGTTTAGTTTCTTTTAGTTGAGAGCAAACCAGTTTTCGTCCCTCGCATGTTGAATCGGCCCAAACATGTTTCATAGCAGCTGGATAGTGATTATGTTAAGGACTGAACTGAGATACAACACCTGCCAAAAAAAAAAACCAACTACCTGCGCTTGAGAAATCTCTCTCCTTGGCCGGTTGAACTTTGACCCAACAAGCAGCAGCTGCATCTTCGCTGACGAAACACACAGAGAAACCAAAATAGACGCGCACAACGATCTGCAAAGTGAAATTTGCAAAATTCCCAAAAGTGTTAAAATCTCCAAAATACCAAATGCAACTGCACTTGTCCGTGTGTGTGTGTGTGTGTCTCTGTGTGTGCGTGTGTCTCTCTGTGTGTGTGTGCTCTCATTTTGAAAGAAACGACCAACAGCGACGCTGCTGCTGCCGCTGACGTTGACGTTGACGACAGAGAGACGACCTTTTATTTACTTTGGCATATTTTGGCATAGGAAAACGGGGACCTGAAATCTGAGTACGTTGAACATCTGTTCCCAAATGTTTTCTTTTTTATTCGGGCACAAAGAAGATTTCACCAAGAAATTATTGGAATACATGTTTCGGCTGATGCACACAATCAACTCTTAAAGTACACACACACTTATATATGCGAGCGTACATGCATGTATGTGCATTTGGGTGCATTTATATAAGTGTCTCGACTGTGCGTGTGTGTGTGTGTTTACTGCATATATTGTATGAGAAACACAATGCAAAGTGTGAAACAAGACTCTTTCTCACATACGTACCTGCTTTATTTCATTCCAGGTAAATCGACGTCGACGACAACTGAATACCTAAAAGCAGCAATACAACAACAGCAAGGGGCAACATCGAAGCAGCGGCACGCAGAATAAAGAAACAAGGAAACATTTGCACAGCAACCAGCCGACAAAAACAACAGCAACAGCAACAACAACAACAGCAACTACAACGGCACAGCAACCGACAAGAAAAACCACTTCAACAAAAGAGGATAACATATTGAAAGAGCTCCGCACACACACACACACACACACGCACGCAGTCACAGACTGGCACAACAAACGCCAACGGAGCTGCCAACTCACACGTATGTACGTGGGAAAGTAAACCGACATCTTTTTACGACGTCGTCGGGTTTTGCAATCGGGCAAGAGAGAGAGGAGAGAGCGAGTCACTGAGTTTTGAAGCTCACAGTTCGACAAGCAAGCACAGGGCCAGGGCCAGCCCTTTAGTAACGCACTCATCCACACACACACAAGCATACGCACGCACGTACGCCCACAGAGCAGCGCTGGCAGTCGCGATCAACCAAAAGAGCGGACGAAGCTGGACATCGCGAGAGCGAAAGAGAGCACGCGAGAGCGAGTGCACGTGAGAGAGTGTTTGTTGGGTTGGCGTTCGTTCGGCTCTCGTTCGGTTGCTTAACAAACGCATTTGGAAATCTCAGCAGCGGCGCATTCGTGAAAGTGCGTCGTCGTCGTCGTTGTGCGTGAGCGTGATCAACTTGGAGCCGCGCACTCGACTGCATTTACGAAACACACCAGTGTTGCCACATTGCTGAAAGCTGATCGGGCACATGAAAGCTTAAAGTGACCAGACCAGTAAAATACACATATAAAAAGAACAACAACAAGAGGAAGAACAAGCGGCAGGAAAAGACGCCAGACTTCAAATGAAAACGCTCGTGCTCAGTCCAGACGATCTGCAGAACTTTAACAAGTTCATCTACGATCCCAAATCGGCAGCCCAGCTGGCCGCCAGTGCGGGCGCCATAGCGGCAGCCGCCCATGGACATCCCGGAGGCGTGCAGCTAGTGGCAAACGGCACAGCAGTACCTGTCTCCGCCGTAACAACAGTGAGCGGCGCGCCCGCAGGCGCCGCCGGCACAGTCAACAGCGCCAACAAGCTAATGGCGCTGCACTACTATCTGAACCATCAGGGCAACTATGTGGGCGCCCAGCCCGTAAATGGTGGCAGCACGGCGGCGGCTGCTCATGCGCAGCAGCAGCAGCAGCAACAGCTGCTGGCACAGTCGCAGACGCAGCTGAAGCAGCTGCAGCTGAAGCAGCCGACAATACACCAGCACCAGCAGCACATTAGCTACCATCATCATCATCCCTACTATCAGCAGCAGACGCAGCAACTCAGCCACAGCCTTCCAGCAGCGCATCATGCCCAGCACAAGGTGCAGGTGCAGGTACAGGTGCAACAGCAGCAGCAGCAGCAGATCCAGGCCAGCCATCAGCAGCAGCAGCAGCAGCAACAAAGTCATTTGCCTGTGCATGCGCTTAACCAGAACTCCAATTTCTCGGCGGCCAGTTCGAGCACGGGCGGCACCGCCTCCAGCCATGCGCCGACGCAGCAATCGAACGGCTCCAGCGTATCACCCACAATCATCAGTCACCAGCCGCGCGGCGGCGTCGTCGCCGTCGGCGGCGGCAGCAACAGCAATATAGCGGCCGCTGCGAATGCGCTGCTGCGCGCAACGGCTGCGGCTGGGGCGGCGCCGATATCGTCAGCGTCGTCCTCGTCATCGTCGTCAGCGTCCTCGTCATCCTCTACAGGGTCGTCCGCCTCGTCAACATCCACGTCCGGCTCGACGTCCGGCTCCGCCAATTGTGCCAAGAAACTGAAAACCGAGCCGCTTCTCTCGCAATACAATCAAACGGAACGGCTGAACTTTGCTAACACGTATATCGTGTGGAGCGAGGAGCACTGGCGGCGTGTCATCTTCCATGATGAGCGGCGCTTCAATTTGGACGGCCCGGATGGCTTCTCCTACTACTTTCACGATCTGCGCAACTATGAGCGCACGCTGTCGCAGCGGCCGCGCGGCAACTCCGTCTACATCTACCTGATGATCTGCGTCGGCGGCGCCGTCCACCTGGAGGTCTCGTCCGCCAAGCAGCGGCCCGAGTCCTGCATTGAGGCGATCATGCGCGAACGGCCCAATATTGTCAGCAAACTGGGCGGCAATACGGAGTTTGTGCTGCAGGATCACAATTGGATGTCGCACGCGCTGCCCACCGCCCAGGAGCTCCTGAATGCTGAGGGCCTGAAGACGCAAAAGTGGCCGACAATTGCCCACGATCTGAACATCATGGAGAACATTTGGGGTTGGCTAATACGCGAAGTGTTCGACGGCGGGCGCAAGTTCTCCCGCAAGGACGACTTGATATTCCGCATCAAGGAGGCGTGGTCGCGCCTGCCGCTCGACCTGATCACCAACCTGTACAGCACGCTGCCCGAGCGCATCACCGAGCTGTATTACACTCAAGGCGTCTACACGAATTGTTGACAACCGACGCCGCAAGACGCTGGATGCGAAGATGACAGTGATGCTGCCAGATGTGAACGGGAACGGGAAGGGGGAGGGAAACGGGAGCGGGATGGACATGACAGAGGCTTCCTCTCACCCACTTGGCAGCTGCTTACACGGATTACGTTCTAAGTGGCGGCTCCTCCCAATTACGCTGGCTCCTCCCCTCCAGGACATTGGCGATTGCAAATCTTTTCGTACATTTAACTTGACATTTTTTGTGTATAGCTTTAAGAAGTGTGTGTGTGTGTGTGCATGCGTGCGTGTGTGAACGGGTGTGTGTGAAGGGAGCAACTGAATCCGAATCTGAATACGTATTTGTGTCTGTGTCCGTGTATCCGTATCCGTATCTGACGACTGGTATCTGTATTTGTATCTGCCACTGCCCGCATTGAACTCTCGAAATGCGAGATTCCCGCACGCCACGTGTGGCAACACTGGCCAAACACATGCTAACCTCACCACCACAGCCAGTGTTGCCATGTCGCTTTGTAATTAGTGTTTTATGCAAAAACTCCCGATCTTAAGAATGTAAGACCTACGTTTAGTTATCGTTTTTAATTAACACCTCTCCCCCACGCAAATTAGTTACAAGAGGATTATTTTATTTGCACTTAACTCATTTTGTTGATTGTTTTTAGTTATGCAAACAAAGGAGGAAGAATAAGAAGAGGAAGAGAAAGGCGAACAAAATTAATGCAAAGCGAGAAAAATAAAAAAAATGTAACTAAAGTATTATTTTAAGGCATAGTTTTTTGTTGTAGCAAAATACACACACAAAACAAAACAAAACAAAAGAAAACAAAACAAAACAAAACAAAAAGAAAAACAAAAACAAAACTAAAATCCTATCATGTAAAGTTTGTTTACAAGCAGATATAAATAATTATCAATGTAATTAATACTTATTAAATTTAACGAAACGAAAAGAAAAGAGAGTAAAAGGAGAAAGCTAGAGCAAAAATTAGCGTTAATCTAAGATCAAAATCAACTAATTGGTAAAACTGAAGAGAAATAAAAAACAAAACAAAAAGAACACATCTGAACATAGAAATCATGCTGAACAAACCATAATAATTCAAAACTTAACTCATTTAACTTGATCCATAGACAAAGCAGACGTGATCCTTCAGATCCTGCCGGTCTCTGCTGATGACGATCCTTCGTTGTTTTTTGTTTTTTTGATAATCTTTTAATAGCCGGCTCATTAAAGGATCGAGACATACCTACTTATATGGCTGGTGTTGACGGATACCCTATAAATATGTAGAGAGAGTACACGCAGACATATAGATACACTATTATACACACTTGGCACACGCGACGAACTGAACAAATGCAAATGCAGGTGCATTTGCAGGCAACTAATCGCAACTATTCGAAAGTATCCTGGGAGCAAGCAACTCCCGAGTTCTGTAATTCAGCAAATTATGTGATTTTCCTTTTGTTTCGCTTTTTGCAATCAACTCAAAATGTCAGACAAAAACAAAATAAACTTAAAATAAAAATAAAAAAAATCAACAATCTTTATACATACACATAATACATATAAAAAGTGGAAATATTATGATTAATTAATAATGAAATGCAATTACCAATAAAAACTACCAGCAAATACGTAAAAATAATTCAAAATAAACGCATATTATTTACTTTAATCTGTTGTTTATAGACCAAAGAAATATCTCTGACCCTATATAGTCGGACCAACAAGCGAGTAGTCGCCCTTTCAACTCCAAAGCAAAATGCATTAGTAACTCCTTAACACAACAAGCACAGGGAACAGAAAAGCGCGTCGAAATTCATATGAAAATGGTATCCTCAAATATGCTATATGGACATAGGTCAAAATTTCCCACCCCCATAACTCGGTCAAAACTCAACCGATTTCCACGAGGTTCGGCTTTTTATTCATGGTTTGACCTCTAGATAAATTTGGCATCAAAATCTGGCAACACTATTTTTGGTCAAAATTCAAGTCAAAATAGTATCCTCAAATATGCTATATGAACATAGGTCAAAATTTCCCACCCCCATAACTCGGTCAAAACTCAACCGATTTCCACGAGGTTCGGCTTTTTATTCATGGTTTGACCTCTAGATAAATTTGGCATCAAAATCTGGCAACACTATTTTTGGTCAAAATTCAAGTCAAAATAGTATCCTCAAATATGCTATATGGACATAGGTCAAAGTTTCCCACCCCCATAACTCGGTCAAAACTCAACCGATTTCCACGAGGTTCGGCTTTTTATTCATGGTTTGACCTCTAGATAAATTTGGCATCAAAATCTGGCAACACTATTTTTGGTCAAAATTCAAGTCAAAATAGTATCCTCAAATATGCTATATGGACATAGGTCAAAATTTCCCACCCCCATAACTCGGTCAAAACTCAACCGATTTCCACGAGGTTCGGCTTTTTATTCATGGTTTGACCTCTAGATAAATTTGGCATCAAAATCTGGCAACACTATTTTTGGTCAAAATTCAAGTCAAAATAGTATCCTCAAATATGCTATATGGACATAGGTCAAAATTTCCCACCCCCATAACTCGGTCAAAACTCAACCGATTTCCACGAGGTTCGGCTTTTTATTCATGGTTTGACCTCTAGATAAATTTGGCATCAAAATCTGGCAACACTATTTTTGGTCAAAATTCAAGTCAAAATAGTATCCTCAAATATGCTATATGGACATAGGTCAAAACTTCCCACCCCATAACTCGGTCAAAACTCAACCGATTTCCACGAGGTTCGGCTTTTTATTCATGGTTTGACCTCTAGATAAATTTGGCATCAAAATCTGGCAACACTATTTTTGGTCAAAATTCAAGTCAAAATAGTATCCTCAATTATGCTATATGAACATAGGTCAAAACTTCCCACCCCCATAACTCGGTCAAAACTCAACCGATTTCCACGAGGTTCGGCTTTTTATTCATGGTTTGACCTCTAGATAAATTTGGCATCAAAATCTGGCAACACTATTTTTGGTCAAAATTCAAGTCAAAATAGTATCCTCAATTATGCTATATGAACATAGGTCAAAACTTCCCACCCCCATAACTCGGTCAAAACTCAACCGATTTCCACGAGGTTCGGCTTTTTATTCATGGTTTGACCTCTAGATAAATTTGGCATCAAAATCTGGCAACACTATTTTTGGTCAAAATTCAAGTCAAAATAGTATCCTCAAATATGCTATATGGACATAGGTCAAAACTTCCCACCCCCATAACTCGGTCAAAACTCAACCGATTTCCACGAGGTTCGGCTTTTTATTCATGGTTTGACCTCTAGATAAATTTGGCATCAAAATCTGGCAACACTATTTTTGGTCAAAATTCAAGTCAAAATAGTATCCTCAAATATGCTATATGAACATAGGTCAAAATTTCCCACCCCCATAACTCGGTCAAAACTCAACCGATTTCCACGAGGTTCGGCTTTTTATTCATGGTTTGACCTCTAGATAAATTTGGCATCAAAATCTGGCAACACTATTTTTGGTCAAAATTCAAGTCAAAATAGTATCCTCAATTATGCTATATGAACATAGGTCAAAACTTCCCACCCCCATAACTCGGTCAAAACTCAACCGATTTCCACGAGGTTCGGCTTTTTATTCATGGTTTGGCCTCTAGATAAATTTGGCATCAAAATCTGGCAACACTATTTTTGGTCAAAATTCAAGTCAAAATAGTATCCTCAAATATGCTATATGGACATAGGTCAAAATTTCCCACCCCCATAACTCGGTCAAAACTCAACCGATTTCCACGAGGTTCGGCTTTTTATTCATGGTTTGACCTCTAGATAAATTTGGCATCAAAATCTGGCAACACAATTTTTGGTCAAAATTCAAGTCAAAATAGTATCCTCAAATATGCTATATGGACATAGGTCAAAATTTCCCACCCCCATAACTCGGTAAAAACTCAACCGATTTCCACGAGGTTCGGCTTTTTATTCATGGTTTGACCTCTAGATAAATTTGGCATCAAAATCTGGCAACACTATTTTTGGTCAAAATTCAAGTCAAAATAGTATCCTCAATTATGCTATATGAACATAGGTCAAAACTTCCCACCCCCATAACTCGGTCAAAACTCAACCGATTTCCACGAGGTTCGGCTTTTTATTCATGGTTTGACCTCTAGATAAATTTGGCATCAAAATCTGGCAACACTATTTTTGGTCAAAATTCAAGTCAAAATAGTATCCTCAAATATGCTATATGAACATAGGTCAAAATTTCCCACCCCCATAACTCGGTCAAAACTCAACCGATTTCCACGAGGTTCGGCTTTTTATTCATGGTTTGACCTCTAGATAAATTTGGCATCAAAATCTGGCAACACTATTTTTGGTCAAAATTCAAGTCAAAATAGTATCCTCAAATATGCTATATGGACATAGGTCAAAATTTCCCACCCCCATAACTCGGTCAAAACTCAACCGATTTCCACGAGGTTCGGCTTTTTATTCATGGTTTGACCTCTAGATAAATTTGGCATCAAAATCTGGCAACACTATTTTTGGTCAAAATTCAAGTCAAAATAGTATCCTCAAATATGCTATATGGACATAGGTCAAAGTTTCCCACCCCCATAACTCGGTCAAAACTCAACCGATTTCCACGAGGTTCGGCTTTTTATTCATGGTTTGACCTCTAGATAAATTTGGCATCAAAATCTGGCAACACTATTTTTGGTCAAAATTCAAGTCAAAATAGTATCCTCAAATATGCTATATGGACATAGGTCAAAATTTCCCACCCCCATAACTCGGTCAAAACTCAACCGATTTCCACGAGGTTCGGCTTTTTATTCATGGTTTGACCTCTAGATAAATTTGGCATCAAAATCTGGCAACACTATTTTTGGTCAAAATTCAAGTCAAAATAGTATCCTCAATTATGCTATATGAACATAGGTCAAAACTTCCCACCCCCATAACTCGGTCAAAACTCAACCGATTTCCACGAGGTTCGGCTTTTTATTCATGGTTTGACCTCTAGATAAATTTGGCATCAAAATCTGGCAACACTATTTTTGGTCAAAATTCAAGTCAAAATAGTATCCTCAATTATGCTATATGAACATAGGTCAAAACTTCCCACCCCCATAACTCGGTCAAAACTCAACCGATTTCCACGAGGTTCGGCTTTTTATTCATGGTTTGACCTCTAGATAAATTTGGCATCAAAATCTGGCAACACTATTTTTGGTCAAAATTCAAGTCAAAATAGTATTCTCAATTATGCTATATGAACATAGGTCAAAACTTCCCACCCCCATAACTCGGTCAAAACTCAACCGATTTCCACGAGGTTCGGCTTTTTATTCATGGTTTGACCTCTAGATAAATTTGGCATCAAAATCTGGCAACACTATTTTTGGTCAAAATTCAAGTCAAAATAGTATCCTCAAATATGCTATATGGACATAGGTCAAAACTTCCCACCCCCATAACTCGGTCAAAACTCAACCGATTTCCACGAGGTTCGGCTTTTTATTCATGGTTTGACCTCTAGATAAATTTGGCATCAAAATCTGGCAACACTATTTTTGGTCAAAATTCAAGTCAAAATAGTATCCTCAAATATGCTATATGAACATAGGTCAAAATTTCCCACCCCCATAACTCGGTCAAAACTCAACCGATTTCCACGAGGTTCGGCTTTTTATTCATGGTTTGACCTCTAGATAAATTTGGCATCAAAATCTGGCAACACTATTTTTGGTCAAAATTCAAGTCAAAATAGTATCCTCAATTATGCTATATGAACATAGGTCAAAACTTCCCACCCCCATAACTCGGTCAAAACTCAACCGATTTCCACGAGGTTCGGCTTTTTATTCATGGTTTGACCTCTAGATAAATTTGGCATCAAAATCTGGTAACACTATTTTTGGTCAAAATTCAAGTCAAAATAGTATCCTCAATTATGCTATATGAACATAGGTCAAAACTTCCCACCCCCATAACTCGGTCAAAACTCAACCGATTTCCACGAGGTTCGGCTTTTTATTCATGGTTTGGCCTCTAGATAAATTTGGCATCAAAATCTGGCAACACTATTTTTGGTCAAAATTCAAGTCAAAATAGTATCCTCAAATATGCTATATGGACATAGGTCAAAATTTCCCACCCCCATAACTCGGTCAAAACTCAACCGATTTCCACGAGGTTCGGCTTTTTATTCATGGTTTGACCTCTAGATAAATTTGGCATCAAAATCTGGCAACACAATTTTTGGTCAAAATTCAAGTCAAAATAGTATCCTCAAATATGCTATATGGACATAGGTCAAAATTTCCCACCCCCATAACTCGGTAAAAACTCAACCGATTTCCACGAGGTTCGGCTTTTTATTCATGGTTTGACCTCTAGATAAATTTGGCATCAAAATCTGGCAACACTATTTTTGGTCAAAATTCAAGTCAAAATAGTATCCTCAAATATGCTATATGAACATAGGTCAAAATTTCCCACCCCCATAACTCGGTCAAAACTCAACCGATTTCCACGAGGTTCGGCTTTTTATTCATGGTTTGACCTCTAGATAAATTTGGCATCAAAATCTGGCAACACTATTTTTGGTCAAAATTCAAGTCAAAATAGTATCCTCAATTATGCTATATGAACATAGGTCAAAACTTCCCACCCCCATAACTCGGTCAAAACTCAACCGATTTCCACGAGGTTCGGCTTTTTATTCATGGTTTGACCTCTAGATAAATTTGGCATCAAAATCTGGTAACACTATTTTTGGTCAAAATTCAAGTCAAAATAGTATCCTCAATTATGCTATATGAACATAGGTCAAAACTTCCCACCCCCATAACTCGGTCAAAACTCAACCGATTTCCACGAGGTTCGGCTTTTTATTCATGGTTTGACCTCTAGATAAATTTGGCATCAAAATCTGGCAACACTATTTTTGGTCAAAATTCAAGTCAAAATAGTATCCTCAAATATGCTATATGGACATAGGTCAAAATTTCCCACCCCCATAACTCGGTCAAAACTCAACCGATTTCCACGAGGTTCGGCTTTTTATTCATGGTTTGACCTCTAGATAAATTTGGCATCAAAATCTGGCAACACAATTTTTGGTCAAAATTCAAGTCAAAATAGTATCCTCAAATATGCTATATGGACATAGGTCAAAATTTCCCACCCCCATAACTCGGTAAAAACTCAACCGATTTCCACGAGGTTCGGCTTTTTATTCATGGTTTGACCTCTAGATAAATTTGGCATCAAAATCTGGCAACACTATTTTTGGTCAAAATTCAAGTCAAAATAGTATCCTCAATTATGCTATATGAACATAGGTCAAAACTTCCCACCCCCATAACTCGGTCAAAACTCAACCGATTTCCACGAGGTTCGGCTTTTTATTCATGGTTTGACCTCTAGATAAATTTGGCATCAAAATCTGGCAACACTATTTTTGGTCAAAATTCAAGTCAAAATAGTATCCTCAAATATGCTATATGGACATAGGTCAAAATTTCCCACCCCCATAACTCGGTCAAAACTCAACCGATTTCCACGAGGTTCGGCTTTTTATTCATGGTTTGACCTCTAGATAAATTTGGCTTCAAAATCTGGTAACACTATTTTTGGTCAAAATTCAAGTCAAAATAGTATCCTCAATTATGCTATATGAACATAGGTCAAAATTTCCCACCCCCATAACTCGGTCAAAACTCAACCGATTTCCACGAGGTTCGGCTTTTTATTCATGGTTTGACCTCTAGATAAATTTGGCATCAAAATCTGGCAACACTATTTTTGGTCAAAATTCAAGTCAAAATAGTATCCTCAATTATGCTATATGAACATAGGTCAAAACTTCCCACCCCCATAACTCGGTCAAAACTCAACCGATTTCCACGAGGTTCGGCTTTTTATTCATGGTTTGACCTCTAGATAAATTTGGCATCAAAATCTGGCAACACTATTTTTGGTCAAAATTCAAGTCAAAATAGTATCCTCAAATATGCTATATGGACATAGGTCAAAATTTCCCACCCCCATAACTCGGTCAAAACTCAACCGATTTCCACGAGGTTCGGCTTTTTATTCATGGTTTGACCTCTAGATAAATTTGGCATCAAAATCTGGCAACACAATTTTTGGTCAAAATTCAAGTCAAAATAGTATCCTCAAATATGCTATATGGACATAGGTCAAAATTTCCCACCCCCATAACTCGGTCAAAACTCAACCGATTTCCACGAGGTTCGGCTTTTTATTCATGGTTTGACCTCTAGATAAATTTGGCATCAAAATCTGGCAACACTATTTTTGGTCAAAATTCAAGTCAAAATAGTATCCTCAAATATGCTATATGGACATAGGTCAAAGTTTCCCACCCCCATAACTCGGTCAAAACTCAACCGATTTCCACGAGGTTCGGCTTTTTATTCATGGTTTGACCTCTAGATAAATTTGGCATCAAAATCTGGTAACACTATTTTTGGTCAAAATTCAAGTCAAAATAGTATCCTCAATTATGCTATATGAACATAGGTCAAAACTTCCCACCCCCATAACTCGGTCAAAACTCAACCGATTTCCACGAGGTTCGGCTTTTTATTCATGGTTTGACCTCTAGATAAATTTGGCATCAAAATCTGGCAACACTATTTTTGGTCAAAATTCAAGTCAAAATAGTATCCTCAATTATGCTATATGAACATAGGTCAAAACTTCCCACCCCCATAACTCGGTCAAAACTCAACCGATTTCCACGAGGTTCGGCTTTTTATTCATGGTTTGACCTCTAGATAAATTTGGCATCAAAATCTGGCAACACTATTTTTGGTCAAAATTCAAGTCAAAATAGTATCCTCAAATATGCTATATGGACATAGGTCAAAATTTCCCACCCCCATAACTCGGTCAAAACTCAACCGATTTCCACGAGGTTCGGCTTTTTATTCACGGTTTGACCTCTAGATAAATTTGGCATCAAAATCTGGCAACACTATTTTTGGTCAAAATTCAAGTCAAAATAGTATCCTCAAATATGCTATATAGACATAGGTCAAAATTTCCCATACCCATAACTCGGTCAAAACTCAACCGATTTCCACGAGGTTCGGCTTTTTATTCATGGTTTGACCTCTAGATAAATTTGGCATCAAAATCTGGCAACACTATTTTTGGTCAAAATTCAAGACAAAATAGTATCCTCAAATATGCTATATGGACATAGGTCAAAATTTCCCTTTCCCATAATCTGAATTAAAGTATTGAACTTTGACTTAAAAAGGGCTTTAAGAAAAATTCAAAACAATCGAAGAAGTCTTTTTAAATGAGCTTAAAATGTTAATGGATCTAAAGAATCAGAAATGTATTATTTCAAATGGAAAATGATATTTTATTTTAGATTCATCGGACTTTTTGCGGTACGTTTCCTCAGTTCAACTTCCCAAGAAAAAGTACGCAAGCAGCACGATCGACAAGTTTCCGAGAATTTCCCGAACAATGTGACACATGTTTTATTTAAAACTTTTATTGTGTAAAGTGCATTATAAAAATGTTATAAAAAAACCTGTATGCGTAATAATCTTTATAATGTGCATACTCAGTTACATATGTGTGTAAATACGTTCCATAAGAGACTATTGGCACGGCTAACAAGCGTGTGTGGAGTGTATATATCGTACTATATATATGTATGTATATAAATATATGTCTAGGCACTTTAAATACATGTAATTGGAGTTCAACCTCGTAATTGTGCACAGTTGCATGGCTAGTGGATACGCTAATCTAGGCATAGAAGTGTCTAATCTGCGTCTGATCAGTTTTTTTTGTGCGTATTCGAAATACTGTTTGGATTGGTTCAGTTCCGGTTTAGGCTGGAATAATGCTGCGCACACAGGCGGGACTGCAGAAGGGCATGTCCTGCTTGACGCAGAAGCGGCCGCCAATCAGGGACTTGGCGCACTCGGCACCGGCGCACACGAAGCACGGTCCGTGCCAGTGGATGTCGCCCCAGGCGACGCCCTGATCGGCTGGCCCGATGGGCAGCTGGCAGCGCTTGCAGGTGCCGGCATAGAACTTGTCGTAGCACTGCAGGCAGAGCGGCATGTTTGACTTCTCGTCGGGTATGTACTGCTGCCCGGCCAGCGGCTCGTCGCACTGCAGGCAGCAGAAGTGCTTGATGTGATACGTGGCGCCCTCGGCGGCGGTGTACTCCTTGGTGAAGATCAGCTCGTCGCAGGCCTTGCAGCGCGGTATCTTCAGCTTGATGGCCAGATCGCGGCCGCAGTAAACCTGTCCGTGATGGAAGAAGTACACCAAGTCGGCCAGCAGTTCGCGGCAGGTGTGGCACTTGAAACAGCCCGGATGCCAGGCAATCTCCTTGCCCGCTCGCTCCGCCTTGACGGCCACCTCGCCCAGCTCAATGGCTAGACCGCAATCGCGGCAGCTGATGTGGGGTAAAGCTGCTGCTCCTGCGCCTGTGCAATTAAGTATATCAATAGTATAATGAGGAACATTCTGCTGAAAGCTACTCACCTCTCGGCGGGCTGTCGTCGCCCAGCTGCAGCTGCTGGAACTGCTCCGGCATGCCCGCACACTGGGGATACATGTTCATATGCTCAATGCCCGGAATGCTGGTGAATTTGCCCAGGCTGGCGTTGATGTCTTCGGCCGCGTGTCCAGGCGTCGATGGCTTCGAGCAGAAGCCGGAGTCATGGCTGGCCGAGTTGGTCAGCGTCTCGTTGCCGTAGCTGATGTCGCCGCCCGCTGCATTGGCCATGTTGGCGAACAGCTTGTCGATGTCGTCGAGCAGCTGCTCGTCGTTCAGCAGCCAGTCGTTCATCTGCTTGAGCGGCTCCAGCAGCTGGCACTGGTCATGCCGGATGCCCTTGTCCTGCAGCGTCTGGAAGAGGCGACTGTAGTAGGGCGCGTTGGCCGCCGCCGATTGCAGCATATGCTTGTCCACGCCCACGCGCTGCAGCTGGGCTTTGGTAACGGGCGCCAGGCCCTCCAGCTGCTGCAGATTATCGGTGGCCACGGGCGCCGCGGCAATGATCACCGACGGAGCAGTGCGCCCGGAGCGCGCCTCCTGCAGTGCCTGCTTTAGCGGCTCCGCCTGCACAATCTGAGCAAAGACCGGATCGCGCTCGTAGTCAATGTGGGCGGGCAGTCCACAGTCGTACAGAATGGTGGACACGCCGCCGAACTTGACGCGCCGCATGGGCGTGTCCTGCCGCATCTGGGCGCCAAAGCGAGCCTGCACCGGATTCTTGAGCGGCAGCGGCGAGTGAAACGGCGTACCCGGCGACGATTTCAGCGGAGTTGTCGCCAACGCAGGCGGCGCACAGACAGTATTAATCTCTGCCCTAAACTGGGGATTGCTCGCATATTCCTTGCGAAACTCCGAGATCGGGCCCAGCCTGGCATCCCGCGATATATTCAGGTTCTTCTCCTGCAAGTGGACAATTTTTTTACTTTCGGAATTATATAAAATGTTTTATAATTCACTTTCGTAATTCGATACGTTTGAGACGGAATTCACCTCTCAATGGGCGGAAAATGGTGAAAACCTGCTATTAGAAACCCGTATTTGTGAGAAATACAACACGAGTTGTATATACACCCATTCTTATAAGAATTTGCATACGCGGACTCAAGCTGACGACTGCCTGCTATGATATTTTACACTGCGGATGACAAAAGCTGCATGATATTTCGCATAAAACAAAACAAACTTAGGAAACTGCAAGATCTAACTGTTCAAAGTCGAAGACTGTTCTACTGTTATTTTAGAGATATAGCGCCATCTAGTTGACGAAGGCGGAACTTACCTGCAGCAAGCCGAGGAGCTTGTCATAGACGACGCCGTGGGTGACGAGGCTTTGCATGGACGGCTTGCTGATGCCCAAGAGTTTGACCTTGGTCTCGGCACGCAGTGCGGGATGTGCATCGAACTCGGTTGTGGAGTCGCTCAGCGGCTCCGAAAAGGCCACCAGCAGCTTGGGCTGCGCATGCGCTCCTTGTTGCGAGAGGGCATGCGCCAGCTTCTGATTGGACAGCAGCTCGTTCAGCGTGGCATCGAGAACGGGCGGCAGGCCGAGCGAATGGAACAGCTTGCGGGCAGCCTCCGGCAAGGCTGTCGTCGGCTGGGCCGGCACAATGTGCTCCACATGGCCGTGCGCCAGACGGCCCACGCGCACCACGATGCCTTGGCCGACGCACTGATCGCGCAGCTTTTGCACATATTGCTGTAGCTGCTGGGCCTCCGTTTCGGTGAGATTGTCGCAGAGCGCGGCGTCCAGGTCATGTGGCGGCACCTGAAACTCCAGCTGCTGCTTGCGCTTGTTGGCCGCGTCGCTGCCGGCGACGGGTATTTGAGCAGCGCCCAGCTTCTCCATGTAGTCCGTGACGACGTCGGGTGCTGCGTTCGGTGGCACCCATTCCACCTGCACCGGCTGGCTGGCGAATGCCTTGATCTTGATGTCTGTCGGACGGATACTCATAAAGTCATATGAATCTGGATCTGTGGTTGATCTTGCACTTACATGCGGGCTTTGCTCGGATCTGGCCGAGGATCTCGAATTGCGCCCAGCCGGTGGCGTCGTCATCCGTGCACAAGTGCTGATCCTTGCGGCACATGCAATTGCGGCAGACCTTGCGCCAGAAGTGCAGATCCAGCCCGGGACACTTGTCCTGGCACTCGCCACAAGGTGCTCCGGCGCCGGATTCGTGGCCAAGTTTCGAACGCTTCAGCAATTCCCGTCTGCTTTCCAGCTTGGACAGCCACTCGGGTGCCGTGGGCGTCTCCACGCAGGAGTTGGTGTTAGCATTGTTAGTCGCAGTGTTTGCCATTTTGTTAATGACTCATACCTTGGACACCGGTCATTAATTTTAATTGTTAAAATTAAATAAAAGGCCAAATAAATGAAATTTCGCAAAGGCAAAGACAAAGCACAAAGCAGTGTGACCAGACACCACAAGCACTAAAATGTCCAATCCAATGTGTAGCTAGTTTCGTTAAGTTTGCTCCACAATTCGTTTAGCCTGGACACCAACACTTTTAGCGAGTGCAAAAAGTTACACTCAGCTGATTTGCGAACTTCGAATAATAGTTAAGTTGGCTGCAGCACTTTCCGTGCATTGTATTTCGCGAACGTGCAGCCCTGGCCAACAACCAAAACTAAATTGCCAGCCATTGCATAAAAAAACATACATATTCCGTGCAAAGACGTTAGAAATACTTTAGTAAACGGTATAACGGCGGAATGCGAAGAAATTGAGCAATACGCTAGCGAAAAACTGTCAAACATTATATACGCGAGCAGCGTTCACGCAGAATTCGCGAAACATAAAAGAAAATGCAATAAATGTATGTGTATGTAGGTGGAAACAACTGCGTCCCACTGAAAAGTGAAAGTGCAGCAGGACGGACGAACGGACGGACGGAAGAGCTTGGCTGCAGCTAAAAAGTGGCCAAGAAACTGGCAAAGATAATCGCTTACAACTACAGCTGCAATTGTAATTGAAAATTGTTTTAATGTGCGCTTTTACCGGTCTCGTACCATTCGACAACAAATTGACTTTGAATTTCGCATGGTGGTTGTTTTTGGTTTGCTCTCGTTTCTGCTTGCGTGTGCGTGTGTGTGTGTGTGAGTGTTTGTGTATGCGTGTGACTCCATTGGTAAGAGGGTGGGGGGGAGCTGCATTTGAATTTGAGTGCGTTTATAAAAAAGTGATTTAAATGTTGCTCCGTCAAGGGGTTGACTATACACACACATGTATTCACATTTTGCAATTGATCATTTTAGCTGCTGTGAGGGTCATTGAATATCCATTAGCCAAATCAAACGCGGATTGCTGCCTCTTGAAACACCCGTAAACATGACCGAAAAGTACGACGGCAACGGGGACTACTCCTCGTACAATGAGGAAGACAGCAATGAGTATGGCGGAGGCGGCGGCAGCGGAGGCGGAGGCAAGCCGCGCAAAAGTGTGGGCAGTGGCGGCGCCCACAATGGCGACAGCGGTGTCCACGATCATCATGGCGGCCCCGAGGGCAGCGCCAATGTGCAGCTGAATGAGAAGGCCAGCGAATACATACGCGACTGCATGGCCGAGAAGAATCGCATGGACAGAAAGTTTCCAATTGCCGAGAAGCTGTTGGAGGGCGGTAAGCGGCAGTCAAATTCACACATTTCTTCTTTTCACCTGTTTCAATATCCTTTTTGCAGAGATTGAAAAGGTGCAGACCACCGGACGCATACCGTCGCGGGAGCAAAAGTACGCCGACATCTATCGCGAGAAGCCGTTGCGCATATCGCAGCGGGTTTTGGTTCCCATACGCGAGCATCCCAAGGTATAACTAGTACATAGGCCTACAAGTATTTTCTCCAGCAATCAAGCCAAATATTTCAAATGTGCGCCTGTAGCTTCAAAATGGACATTATCGTATACATGTGTAGCTGACATTACAACAATATTTAAGAATGTATATAGAGTGGGCACTAGGAATTTTAGTTGCATTGGTTATCTTCCCTTTACTTTACAATATTGACTACGATTGCCCTAAACTGTTTAATTAATTTTACTTACGAGCAGATTTCTTAAGTGTAAAGGGGTAATATTTAAACTAAAATGTTTGCTATGGTTTAAAATATGTACGACATCCTTTGCCTGTCTATTGTTCTAATGGACAACAATATCCGAGGGTAGTTTATGTAATAGGAATTATCAATCGAAAATTTATTGTTTGCTTTGAATAACTAATTTTGTACACAGATAACTGCAAATGGAGCTTAAGTTTCAGTCAAATCAGTTAAATCAATAATTGTTTTTAAACCTTGTTACTTTAAAATAAGCTTTTTAATCACTTTAGTTTATTCATGTTTATTAACCTTATTGTTGCAGTTCAACTTTGTGGGCAAGCTGCTTGGACCCAAGGGCAACTCGTTGCGTCGCCTGCAAGAGGAAACGCTGTGCAAGATGACTGTGCTTGGCCGCAACTCGATGAGGGATCGCGCCAAGGAAGAGGAGCTGCGCAGCTCCAAGGATCCCAAGTACGCGCATTTGAACAGCGACCTGCACGTCGAAATATCAACAATTGCCCCACCCGCAGAGGCATATGCGCGCATTGCGTATGCCATGGCCGAGCTGCGCAAGTATTTGATACCGGACAGCAACGACATCATACGGCAGGAGCAGCTGCGCGAGCTAATGGACAGCACCAGCCTCAACGACAACGACAACACCAACACCAAGAACAGCTACAAGAAGATGCCGCACATGCAAAACGCCAGCGTTGGTGCCAATGCCATAACTGGATCTGGGCCTGGGCCGGGCAACGCTGGAGGTGGCGGCGTGGGCATACCCAAAAATGTAGCCCATCACAGTTACAGGTGAGCCCTTAAGATACGCAGGCGTTGGTCAACCTAACTCGATCGATTCCCACAAGCAGAGGCTCCCAGCAGACATCGTTTAGCAAAAATGTATTGGCCCCCAAGCAAAAGGTTATGTCGATTCTCGAAAAGGCCCGAACAGCAATGGACGAAACCTACGGGTGAGTTTTACGCTCCGTAACTACTATTTTTATACTAATGTGGCCCCTTCTTACAGCCGGGGTTATGACGACGGTATTGCCTATGATCCACATCAGTCCTACGACGCCTACAGCTATGCATCTCATAGCGGACACGGACACGGGCCCCACGGGCCGCCCAACAACATCTTGGGCGGCGTTGGCAACATCAGTGGCGTCGGTGGCGGAGCACGCGGTGGCCACTACGAAACTCAAGATTATGAAACGGACTACGCAAGACGGGACTACTACCAGCACTCGCCCGGATATGCAGGTACTTAAGATAGGTTTTCACATAGATGAGGCTGGTAAGCTAAGAGGAAAGATCCTCAAATTAGCAACTAAATGTTTGTTTGAATTAGTAAGTACAATGTTTAATACTTTGCAGCTGGCGGCTCGGCGGCGCAATCAAACCCAAACAACTCAACAGGCCTAAATTCAAATCATAATCGCAGTCATGTTAATAGGTGAAATTTGCTGGGGTCTAGCAACGCCAGCCGCGATGGAGATGGTGTGAGAGGCACAGACAGTGCGACAAGTCCTATACCGAAAACCCACAATCTGATCAGGAAAGCCCAATTTGGTAACATCAGCAAAAGCAAAAACAACAAACACAACAGCAGCAACACGTTCGTGCCAAGCTATGATAAACATGAACACAAGCATAACAACAACAGTAGCGGCTGCTTACAGGTAACGAGAAATAAAATTCGGCTGATCTGCAGAGCAACAATTTTGAATTAAAAATCTTTGATATTAATCACGAGTATTTTATGCCGCAGCAGCAGCAACAACAACAGACACAACAACATGCCCCACAACAATCGATGGTACAGCAACAACATTCACAGAGAATATACCCACCGCACAACAGTTACAACAACAAAAACAGCAACAATAACTACAATCACTTGAGTAGGAAAAATTATAACAATTCCATCGATGCAACAACGACGACGTTATCAATAGCTTCTTGTACACTAAACCAAATGGATCAGGCGAATGGCCAAACGAATGCTGCAGTTGGCAGCAATCTCACCATCCACAACAACAACAACAACAACAACCACAGCAGCAGCAACAACAACAACATTCACACATTAGGCAGTAAAAACAAGAACAACATGCAAAACAACCAGAACAACACAACAACTGTTACTGCGCCCAGTATGCTATTAGTAAGGTATTAAAAAGCAATTAAGAGCATAATTAATCAAATGGATATTACAACAACAGTCCCTTGTCCAGACCAGTTCAGAACTCCTTCACCGTTCCTTGCACATCCAAACGCTTGTCCACGGCTGATATGCTACAAATGTAAATACATAGATCGATTTCGTGATGGCTGCTTGCTTCAATATATCGATATACTATATCCACCTATACATATCTAGCGCATATTCTATATATATATATATATGAATATTTATCCTCAAGTTAAACCTCATCATGATAATCTATTTATTTACATTCGCCAAAAGCCGTTGACTAGAGACACTCACACACAATTGAAATTTGTCTAAATACTCTTAACTTGCATTCTCTTACAGCCCTACTTATCCTACGCTTCATTTTCGCGAGATTCCGTTCTTGCCAGTGCAGTTTTTCTAAGCCACATTCAAATCTAACAGATACAATAACAGCAAATACAGCAACAAAATACAGCTAACAACAATAACAACAAATCAAGAGACAACATCACAAATACTTTGTACACTAAGAGGGAAGAATATTTACAAACGAAAAACTTAAGATATACATACTTATATATGTATATATATAAATATATATACTAAATACAAACATATACAATATATACATTAAAATATATATATACATATATATATATATATTTTTGAGTGCAAGGAAATCGTTGGATGACACAGCTGGATCTACAAATTGATATTTTACCTTGTGTTGGCTGGTGGACGATGGACAATTTATGCCAAGGATATATTGTCCGGTTTTTTAATCTATATTTACACAAAGAGCAAAACATCTTTAAGATACTCGTATTAAAAGTGCGTGCATAAATAACAAATTATCAAGAGATATAACCGTTAAATACTTAGATAAGCACAGCTTAAAGCTGGCTCTGATACTTTGACATATATAACAAGCGTAATACTAATATATATATATACATACATATATTTATTGCAAATCTGCTAAAAGAACAAAATGTAAACCTCTCAAATACATGCGCACACACTGCTCGATCTCCAGAACAGAACGCACATGTCTTTAAAAGAAGCCCAAGTTAATCAATTCGGTTACTAATTTGAGAATCGAGTCAAGTAACTACAAATTCCTGCTTAATTTTTTAATACCATAGCTTCAGACGATTTAGTTTATATTAAGACAATTCTCTTCTGGAGATAGAGGCTTGTGTGCTGAACGTGCTGTGGGTTTGCAAATCTATGAGATTAATTACGTGAAACTAAATAATTGGGCACACTTAAATTAAATATTAATATATATATATATATAAATAAATATATACAAATACAGAATTGAATATTTACATTCGAGCAAGAAATAAATAAATGATTGATCAAATAAAAGTAAAATGCTATTTATAAAATATTAATATGAATAAAATACTCATAACTTAATATACATACATATTTATATTAATCAGAGATTGTGGGATGAAGCCCATATGTGGATAATGCTGCAAATGATTACTTTATTGAAACAAACAAAAGAACACTAACACTAAAATATTGTAACAAATAATACTCAATGAATTTACTCAACTAAGCTCAGAATATTTATCCCAATTGTATTTTCTACTTTAGTAAGTCCACTTTTTCATTTTGATTTATACTTTTTTTTTTGTTAATTGACTAAAAAATTGTGTGATGAAAAGAAATTTCGAATGTGGCACGAGACTTGCTTGTGCCCTAAAAGTGAATATGAAATACATTGAGACAGAGAGAATGTTAGAGTTTGTGCCAAATGTAATAAACAATTGATGGAGAAGTCAAGTTTTCAGAAACACAATCTTCCAGTTCGATGATCCGTGACATTGTTTATGCGAGTCGGAATAAGTATTCTGCATTGACTATTTGTGAATTTCCTGCTGCATTGCAACACAGTCGAAATGTTTTTAAATTATTATTTTGTTTAACTTATAAGCTGAGCCAAGCGACATGAGCATAAAGAACATAAAGTCTAACCTATTGTTAGTAAAGTGCAAACATAATGAAATCAGATAAAAATAAATATCTTGTCCAAAAATGCAAATTGTTGCAACTAAAGCAAAAAACTTAAGAAATATTTACTTATAAACATGTGAAAGTTGAATTGTTAAAAACAATTAAAATCTAGATTGTATAACAATATCAGTAATAAAGTAATAAATTCATTTATTTCAAGTAAATATTGTTATTATTATGCTAATATAACTAATAAACATGCATACTTAAAAGCGGTTCGCGAAACCCAAATACAGAACTTAAATTATATATTAATAATACTTAAATGAATGGCAAAAAGTTAAAACACATTTACAATGCAAACTATAATAATCAATACTAAAAATTCCCCGCCCTAAAAACAATAAAAAAATATGAAAACGAGTTTGAAATCGAAACAATTAAAATATTGAGATATTCTCATTAATTATTTCATGTACAATTAAATAATAAAAATATTTAAAACTAACGCTCGGTCAGCTTTTCACTTTAAATTTGTTGCATCTATAATATTTAGAAATTGTTTTTTTAACTAAAGCTAATAACAATTTTATCTATTTTATTTTATAGCTGCCATATGAACTATTCGTCGGAAAGCAAAATCCTGTCAACATCGAACCACTATATCTTATAGATGCTATAGGGAAGATCTGTTGGAATAGTAGGATCTTAAAATATTATGTTTTCAGAAATATTTCAACAAACTCAGCATTTTCGTGCTGCAATTTTCTCAAGTATCTGCAAAATGGAAATGTCTACAAGGGTATTATATATTCGGTGTGACGAAGATAGCTTTACTAATAGTTTTATATTGAACTCGTTTTATAGATTATCTTGATCATGTTTTCCCAGTTTTCCTGTGGTAACAATATGATATAGTATTGGGAACCGGCCGGCGTCGACATGTGTATACCCTGCACTTAGCGGACGGACGTGGATGACTTGGATGAATCGGCTATCGATATCGTTCAAGAACTGATTTACTTTATTGAGACTTTTCTGGGTCTGTTTTAATGCAATACACACAGACAAATTGCAGGGACAATACAGTTGCATTATTTTGAATCTTATCAAATTTGCCAATTGAGTTCAATAATATTGGGATTCAAAAAGTAGGCGCATATTCGAGTGGCTACGTCCACGAGTCGAGTCAGAGGCGGGCTTGCAATGTAACACTTCAAGCAAACATAAAGTAGCACTAAATGTTTACTTGTTTGACTCTTAGCTATTTCATCAATATTTATGAGCCCGCGGTTATAAAGCTGAGGAATGAATTTATCGAATGGCCGGTATAAAAGGTTCTGTAAATAAGGAAAGCGTGTCATTTGAACGTCGGCTCTTTAACCTGATATCGGTTGGCTCTAAAATTCTACTGCGTGCGTAAAGTTGATATATATATTCAAAATGGAATCCGAAATTAGGAAATTTTATAAAAATAAAACGATTTTCTTAACCGGTGGCAGTGGATTCCTGGGCAAAGGTATAAAAACGTAAAAGTTAACTTCGGAGTATTTAAATAACACGAGAAAGTTAGGATATTTTCGGCACTACGAAGATTTAATACCCTTGTAGACATTTCTCTGAAAAGTGAAGCTCGCAAATGTTGAGTTCGGAAAAAATACTAATTTTTCGACCGGTTCTTCCTATAGAGCTATATAATAAACTACTGTGAACTTGATTGGATAAAAGCAGAAGAGTTTAAATGGAAAATGCCGGAGTTTTTCTTCAAAGAACTTAATTTTCCTCCGATCATTCCTATGGAAGCTGTAAGATTTAGTAATGCCTTGAGAAACAAAAAGTTAGTTTTCGATGGATCTTTTTTATTGCAGTTATAAGATATTGATAAAGAAGAACCCACTTTTTGACTGTTCTTTTTTATGGCAATTTTATGATATAGTGGTCCGATCCGGCCGGTTCAGCCATAATGTTTTATGGCGATATCTTAAAGAACTAGGAGACGGACATATCAACTCGGCTGCTGATGCTCAACTATAATATATATTTTATACAATAATATATATACTTTTATACTAGAATATATATACTTTATGGGTTTCGCAATGTCTCCTTCTATGCGTTACACATTTCATGACACAATTTTAATACCCTCTTCAAGCGTATAATGAGGCACGTGTAAAGTATCGGATTCTTTGGGGTTCAGAGTCTAAAATTCTGAAACATAAATACTTTCAGTGATTATTGAGAAGCTGCTGCGTGCAACAGATGTGAAGCGCATCTATTTACTGATCAGATCCAAACGGGGCAAGGACACAGAGGACCGCTTTGCCCAATGGAAAACCAGTTCCGTGAGTATCCATCCACTCCCTAGCCTTTTGAGTTGAGCAATGTAACCCGCAATCCATAGCTCTTTGATGTCCTGCTCAAATCCAAGCCGAACATATTCGATCGCGTGGTGATTATAACAGGTGATTGCAAGGAGCCGGATCTGGGCATCAGCCCAACGGACCGCGCCCTGCTGACGCAGGAGGTGGAGCTGGTCGTGCACAGCGCGGCAACGGTGAACTTTGCCGAGCCGCTGCACGTGGCATTGGATATAAACGCGCGTGCCACTCGCCATATGCTGCAGCTGGCCAAGGATATGCAGCGCCTGGTGGCATTTGTGCACGTCTCCACGGCCTTTTCCAACTGCGTGATCCATCACATCAAGGAACGCTTCTATCCGGAGCACTTAAGCTGCAGAGTGAACAAGGTATTGGAGCTGAGAGAGCTACTGAACACGGATCTGTTGGATCAGATGGCTCCAGCACTGCTGGACAGGTTTCCCAATACGTACACCTACACGAAGGCCTTGGCCGAGCAGCTGGTCCAGACGGAGGCGGGTGATTTGCCCGTGTGCATCTTTCGTCCGGGTTCCAGTAGGTAGCCCTAGCTCATCACATCGATTCATTTGTAAATAGTCCATTAATCATTCAGTTGTGGCGACCAGCAAGGAGCCCGTTCCCGGTTGGATAGACAACTTCTACGGGCCCATTGCGGTGATCTACGGCGCCGCACTTGGCGTCTTGCGTGTCGTCCCCCTCAATCGGCAGGCTATATCCAACATTGTGCCCGTGGACGGGTGTGCCAATCTGGTTTTGGCCTGCGCCTGGCGTACGGCCATGGAGGCCACGCAACGCAAACAGCAGGTTATCCCAGCGCCTGTGACCATCTACAACTATGTGCCCAGCAGCGAGAATATAATCTACTATTCGGATTTCACTGGCGCCGTGGAAGAGAAACGGGATGTTTTTCCCATGGCCCAGGCGATATGGTATCCGTTTCTGCACACCACCAGGATGCCCTGGCTCTTCAAATTGGCCACCATCTTCTATCATCTGCTGCCCGGCTACTTGGTTGATCTGCTGTTGCGCCTGCGCGGCCAGAAGCCGCGCCTGATTCCCATCTACAAGAAGATACACAAAAGTCTCGATGTGCTGCAAAAGTTCATGATCGAGAGCTGGAGCTTCGAGACGCCCAACACGGATCGCCTGTGGCAGAGCATGTCTGCAGCGGATCAGCAGCTGTTCGACTTCGATATGAAATCCTTGGACTGGCAGGGCTATTTCGATCGCGCCTTGTTCGGCATGCGCACCTACCTGGGCAAGGAGGACCCAAGCGAAGAGTCCATCAGGCTCGGTCTTCAGAAGGCAAATCGGTACGTTGACAACTACATATTTCAATTTGCCGATATATCCTATCTGGTATCTCAACTTTTTTCTACTTTCAGCTTTCTTATAATGCATCGACTCTTGCTATTCGGCCTTTTCTGCCTTGGCATTGCTATCCTGAGATGGCTGCTCTGCCTGTTCCTATAACTATAGCAAGCCAGGAAGACTCAATGCATATTTTAGAATCTTAAGTAGATTAGTAACATTAGGTTTCAGCGTTCTGCTAAGAACCTGGAACTTGATATTAATACCAATAGAAATAATGTTGCAAATGGAAGTGGTTCTTTTCCTCGAGCGTTCCTGACCCATTCAAAGGCCTTCTTGTTCCTGTTGTGGCCCAGTCAACAAACTAAGTTAATGCTGAATAAAAAACTCATTACTGATTTTGTAAAATGCAATTTTTTATGGTTATCTATTATAAAGAACCTTTCTCGAAATATGGTTAATAAGCGGAAAGGTTTTAAAGTCTCTGTGAAAATGTAACTTTTATTCAATATTCAATACTTTTCGCGCAATCCAACCCTCTTGCATGAAAAACGCGTGCCACAGGGGGAAGGAATAAACGTTTTATTATTCAGACTTAGACCTTTACTAATTGTATGCCAAATATTTCAATTGTTGACTCTAAGTTTGGCAATAAACTCATGTATATTCATTTTAGATAAATCGACGCTTCCGGGAGCATAAATCGAAAAAATTTAAATAAGTACGTTTCAGAATTTTTTTAGGAATGGCCAGTGTATTGTTAAAGGGTATAAAAATGTTCATATCTGACCGAATGGCTTTCATAGTTCAATTTCATTAATCCTGTCACTGTCAAAAGCTAAACGCTACATCACCTCGCAGCGATGACAAGAACCAAAAAGTATCCGATCCAATAAAATATCCCAGAGTTCGGCGCTGCTTTCGAACGGATAAATATATGTATACTGACCGTACTTGTATCCGAATCTCAACGGAAATTAAATTTGAATTTTCATTTCGAATATTTTTTGACAAAAAAAATGCATAAATTGTAAATATATATAGCATTTATTAATTACATAAAATATAGTTTAGTTTTAATATTGCTTCACAATAACTGACTAGAGTAAATCCCCTAAAAACTTAAGTTTGTATTAAATGTTGGAACTCTCCCTCGTCTTTAGGATCGTACTGGGAAACCTTTATCCAATGTCCTTGGCCCTCAGGCATCTACAATGTTCGTTTTAGGTACAATAAAATTGTACATTGAACTGACTAGAATGTCCCGAATAGGGATCGGTGGTGTCTCCTTTTAGGCATGTAAAAGTCCGTCACTTTGGCCTACCAGCTTGCCGAGCAGCGCCTTGTACAGCACGGACTCCGTAGAGACACCCTCGCTCTGCAGGAAGAGCAGCGTTTCGCGTGCGCACATGGCAAAGCCTAGAGCCTCCGCTTCACTGCGTCGGGCTGGCGCTGGAAAGTTGGCTGCCAGCTCGGCACCCTCGAGGACTTCTTCGTCGCTGTCGAACGCGCTGGCCTCGCGTTCGTCCAAATCCTGTTCAAACGAGTCCAGCTCTGACTGCAGCTCCATGATCTTTTGCAGTGCCTCGAGCAAAATGCTGTTGGGCGCATCTCCAATATCGTTTGCCGGGCTATGGGAGGGCTGAGCAGGTGGTGTATCCGATCTGGGCTCCAACTCCAAGCGATGGCGCTTCTCGCCAGTTGCCTCCTGGTCCAGCTCCTTGTCCTGCTGCTCCTCAGCCTGCTGGGTTCTTAGCTGATCCGCACGTTTGCGTTTCATAATCAGTTTCCCGGACATGGGAGAATCTTCTTCAGCTTTGGGTGTGTCCTGTATCCAGTTGGTTTTGTCCGCGGCACAACCTTCGTTCACCTGGTGATCACAACAACTGAACGTCGAATGCACCCCAGCGCAGCACGAACGGCTCGAACTGTTGCAGGGAGCGCGATCCTGAAAGCAACCCCAATAAGAGACAGCCGGGCATTAGGGGATGTGCCTGGCTCGAAATTAAAAGCGACCAAAAAAAAAAATTGTTGCAGCTGTTTAAATTTGTCGGCCGCTGCTGGCAGCTGAAGCGGGAGGGCAACAGGATACAGGCAGGATATTGTGCTGCAATCCAAAAGCAACCCCTGACAATCTGCTCTCTCCTGCTGCAGCGGCCTGCTATCTCGTCCTCGTCCCAGTGACCCTCGCCTCGTGTCCCTTCCGTTCTCGTCGCCGTTGCCGTTGTCTCGTGGCTGTTCCTGTGTGTCGGCTACCCTCACTGCGACATACCCTGCTCCCTTGTAAGTGCTGTGCACTGTAGCGCATTCGGGTATCGTTGCATTCCATGCCGAGCATTTGCAGCTGGCACGCTTCACAAGCATCTCTTCGCTGTCCCTCCCGAGTACGCTTTGACCTGTCAATGATAAGTGTACAACCTTTACACTGAAAATAAAAATTTGGCTGGTTCTTGTTGGTTGCACTTTGCATTTCATTTAATTTAATTTCGGGCGCTCGAGGGACAACCTTGAAATCTTATAGTATACATAAATCCTTATTGCTCAAGTTGTTATACATATGTTTTTTGTTCGGCACTTTAAACCTTTTATTGTGCCTCCTCTTTCGTTGGGCTCTCTTACAGCTAAATAATTAATAACAATAATAAAACAAATTTTTTTCAGTGTATATTATATCAAGCAACATCAAATATTTTAAACCAACTAAAACTATGATTATTCTAACAACAAATATGTTATAAATATATATATTTGTTGGATTGTCGCTGAATGAATGACTTTCCTATAACAAAACTAGCCTTTAGTAGGGTTTGAAAATTTGTTGCTTTCAAGATAACTTAACTTATATAAATATATATAATAAATATAGACAAATTATAAGAGGTAGTCCCCAATTTTCGTCTACACAGATTAGGAATATTTTACTATTCCCCACAAAGTTGTAAGAAATTAACTTTTGTAGGTATATAATAAAGGTCGCACAATGAACACTCTAGCTAATTACGCAGGAATTCCCCATAATGTGAAGCCAAGGAAGTGCCAAGAATATATATATAAAGAAGCTAGCATAATTGTAAGGCTAACTGGGCGCAGGGTAAAGGGTATCTCCCAGCAGGCACTCCCGACTACAGCCACATTTGTTGTGTGCTTAGCCCCTCGATAAGTATTAGAGTATAAACCTTTTTTTTGTATACAAAAATCCAAAGGTATTCGTTAGCCTACTTAGATTTTTTCCGTTACCTTCGGAAGAAAATAAAAATCGCAACTAAATTGTAGCCATGACTTATTGACAGATTGTTCATATATAGTATTAGCTAATGTCGCTATCAGATCGTTCTCTGTGCTACAAATAGAGGGAACACAGCCGCTGGCACCTGCTTGAAGAGAGAGTGCTTAATTTTAATTTTAATTTAAAAAGCTGTTTTCTAACGATTTGAGTCCAGTTTGTGCACAGATTGTGTGATGAGTGCATGTAAGCGCCCAGATTTCAGTTCAGTTCAGTTCAGTTCAGTTTTATTTCGAAAGTCAGGCAATATCTTCTAAAACTAATAGGGCTTGGATTAACTGCATATCAAAATGATAACCTCAAGTTACTTGACTGAGATAAGGCTCTAGACCTTAAAGTATTCGCATATATTTATATATTATTCAACCACAAATAACGTACTTAGTGTAAGTCGTATATTATGTAAATATTTTGCTATATATCCTACATCAATTGCATTTCCGACCCAAAATATGCCATGTGAGTTAGCCTTTAATTGATTCCAAATTCAAGTGAATAATTCTCCCTCTTATCACTAACATCGATTTATATTAAAGTCGAGCTCTAGTTCTCAATATAAAATTTTCGTACTCAAGTTCTCCCATAATGTGCTTAAAGGCAAATACGAATATATACTCTGCAGATTGTGTGCTGGGTATCTCATCGTCGGTTACCCGTGACAAGAACACTTCAACTTGTTTTGTGTGAGAGAAAATGTAATAACTACTAGGTCAATAATTTAGAATAGACGTAAAGATCTCAGGTTATAGAAATGATTATAATAGACGATTTAATATTATTGAAATTATGATTTAATCGTCAATTAACTTACATTAATTATAATCATATATTTATATAATTTTAATTATTAATTATAATTATTAATAACAATTATGTGTTTGAAATTGAGATTTCTCCATTTGTAAACTAGTCTAATTGCTTACTTTTTTATTGCACGGATTAGATTCCAAGATTATTGTAAGCAAACTTGAAGTGCACTTAGACTGGGTAGATTTTATCAAGATATCAAGATGTTACTGGACTAATTTTTATACAGATTTCACAGGTGCATTCAGCTATGCAATTAATCCCAATCAAACATTCCATTGACATTTCAGTCCCAAAAATGAGGCAGAAGTGGCTTTTAGTATTTTTAGTGGCATATGGGCACCTTATAGGTGCTAATCCCATCGTATCCGGAAACTCCACGCTTACTGAATTCATAATTATCCACAATAATGACATGCACGCGAGATTCGAGCAGGTGAATAAGAACGGAGGAGCTTGCACTCCGAAGGATGCCAACAGGGACAAATGTTTCGGCGGATTCGCACGTGTCGCCCATGTGTAAGTGCCATGGCTAAATTTTGGTCAATGGAAGTCAATTAATTTCCAATCTTGTAGAGTGCGAAAATATCGAGAGGAGGCAAAGAACGGAGGAATTGCCGCACTATATTTAAATGCAGGCGATACCTACAGCGGAACCGTGTGGTTCACGGTCTTCAAGGACCAAATTACCAGCACCATGCTCAATAAACTTCATCCGGATGCTATGGTAAGATCATATCGGAAACAATTCAGTACGAATCTTGCACTCCTAAAACCTGCTTGCAATTTGTGTAGTGTCTAGGGAATCACGAGTTCGATCAGAAGATTGAAGGACTTGTGCCGTTTCTGAATGATGTAAACTTTCCGGTGCTGGTCTCGAACGTGGACTTCTCAAAGGAGCCCGAATTGGTGGCCACCAATAAACTGAGCAATTCAACAATCCTTGAGGTTAATGGCACTAAAGTTGGCGTTATAGGATACCTCACGCCGAAAACGAAGGAGGACTACATTAACAAAGTGGAGTTCAGTGAAGAAATCGTGTCCATCAAGTAAGTTTGCATTATTTTTCGCTAATTCTCTCTCTAACTCTCATTAACTTTCTTTTAGCGCTGAAGCGCAGAGGCTTAAAGATCAAGGCGTCAATATAATAATTGCCTTGGGACATTCTGGTTACCAGAAGGATCAGGAGATTGCCAGAGATTGTCCGGATATTGATATAGTAATCGGGGGTCATTCGCACACACATCTAGACTCCAATCAACCCGTCGCTGACAAGGACGATACCAATCCTGAAGCGGTTCGAGGACCCTACCCCACCACGGTGGTTCAGCCAAGCGGCAAAAAGGTGCTCGTCGTGCAGGCCTACACCAGCACAAAGTATTTGGGAAAGCTGCGTGTACAGGTTAGGTCTTGATACATCCCCAATGACTTAATAATAACCCATATTTATATGGCAGTTCGATGCCAATGGCGATTTAATCAAGTTTGATGGCGAGCCCCTGCTCCTGGATGCTTCAGTTCCGCAGGAGCAAGATTTCTTGGATTTACTTGATGTATATCGCCCCAATATCACCGCCTTAGGAGAACAAATTATTGGTCACACTAAGGTCTACCTAGAGGGCGGAAATATGTGTCGATTAAGAGAATGCAATCTTGGTAATATGATTGCCGATTCCATGGTCCACACCCGCATGCTGGAGAACAAGGGCGGCGAATACTGGACGGATGCGGCGATTGCCTTGATCTCAGGAGGTGGTCAGTTCAATATTGGGTGAAAGCAATTGTTGTTCCACAATTTAATCTTTCCTCTGTTTGCAGGCATACGCACCTCAATTAGTAAGAATGCCGAAGGTTCTATTACTTTCAGGGACATGTCGGAAACCATTCCCTTTGAGAATCGTCTATTTGTGACGCGCATTACCGGAAAAACATTGCTCAACGCCCTGGAGCTCTCGGCCTCAATCAGGAATAGGGACTCGAACGGCGGCTTTCAGCAGCTCTCTGGCATTCGAGTCGAGTACAACTACGACATGGAAGAGGGACACCGAGTGACCTCCGCTCAGATTCGTTGTGCCGAATGCAGTGTGCCTTCCTATCTGAATCTCAATGAATCCGCCTACTACAAGGCTATTGTGCCGGAGTTTCTACTGAATGGAGGCGATGGCTTCCAACTGATTGAGTCTAACGATCCGTTTACTGAGCTCTTGGAACATGACGACAAAGGTGCCCTACAACAGTATCTACAGGGTACACATTTTGTTTATCCTGCAATAGAGGGTCGCATAGTTATAAAAAATTCCATTAAGTAACATAGTTCCTCAACAAAAAGAATGTATTCAAATACGTTCAAAGTTTTTTAGCATTTTTGCATAAGCTCTATCTTATTACCATAAGCTGGAAATACGCAATGAGAAAGTTGTTTCCACAGACCTTAAAAACACAATATATATATATAAAATATATCTCGTTTTTGCAAAAGTTTTGATCAATTTCGATACTAGATATAAAACATAAAATATTGCAACATTAATAAATTAATTGCCTAACAGCCTGAACATTATCAAATCGACAATTAATTGGACTGTCAATATTTATATATATATATGTACATATCATTATTATATACATATTTAATATAAATAGGTCAATTTATTGTATCTGACTGAAATGCTCTTAAGCAAATAAGAGTGTTGAGGTCGGGTGCAACAGAATGAGCTATACTCTGTTCATAATGTTTCAACAGATCAAAATGGCTAGAAAGGGTATATCAGAAACTCTAATACTCGAACATTGTTCAATAAATGGGGTGAGGATAATTATATTGCCTTTAGTTGAGTCCTACAACTGCAAGAGTTTGGAATCTCTAGCCTAGAGGTTCGAAAACTGTTCTGTCTTTTGCCCATTTCAGGAATATATCAGGCTTATCACATTTTAAAAATCACAATCGCAACTTTAGATTCATTATAATATTATATTTATTAGACGAAGTATATAGATAAGTAGACTTATAGGATAAGTAGACGGTCGGACAAGGAGGCAGACATTGCAAAATATATTCTTTTACTTTTTAATTTGAATAATTTAATTTGTATCTTGATCAGATGGCAAACTTAATTGATATAACTATGTATGTGTAAAATTGCTTCGATCTCAGAGATTTGAATAATTTGGTAAGGAAGTAATACGAATAATATAATATATAATATAGTTAGGACTTGGCAAAGTCATGCGGCTTGCCTTAATCTTGCCAAAGAAACTTTGATCTGAACTAGACAATAAAACTCTGTCCTAATGCATCCTAATATGCCAGGGAATAGTTGTTTGCAGAGCCTACCATCTGCATTATGGATAGGAGCTCTCTTGTGCAGGTGACATTTGTTTGTGTGTCAGGTAGGCGAATTAACTCACCTTAGCTTGTCAAAGTCCAATCAAGACAAAGCTAATCTGCTCTGTCTGGAATCTAAGACACTTTATATTAGTAATAATTCGATTTTTGGCAAAGTTTTGGACTTTGTTGTATAGTCATCGCAGATAAGGAAATGGTTTTTGGATACCTTATCTCACTGAACCGAAAGAAAACAAAAAACTATTCTTAATTTGTGTTGTCTGATCAAAGCTTTGAAAGTATTTGTTAATGCAACAACTGTTAAAATACAAATTTAATTTTAGTAACGTGATCATGTTAAATATATATATATATATAATGTATATTGCTTCTCAGGAACTTCACAGAGCTTCAAGATACTTCTAGTTGAATTACAAATTTGATAGTTAGCTGTAAATAACGAGTGTTAAGTTATCACGGAGCGGAAGCTGTCAGTTTTCTACGATCTGACGAAAATTAATTTTATTTATTTGGAACAGAGCCTAATAAATATGTTGTCAAAGTAAAAATCTAAATGTAGAAGATGTGCGTGAACATAATGTTTGCCATAATATATACCATATTATGCTAGAAAAAAAAACTGGATGATAAATTGACACATGGTCTAGATTGTTTTTGCTAAGAGTTCTTTGATTTACGATCGGGAAACAATACATGGCTTTGTTATCATTTTCATTTTCATTTTCATTATTTTTGAGTAAAATAAGTATATTGATAGCAGAAGAGTTTTATAATTCCCGGCCGCAAAATGAGATAATGTTTGTTCGAAAGATCTTTTGGCAACTTCTGCAGCTGTCTTTTCTGTTGACATTGACACATGAATGTGAATGTGAATATGAGCCGTGAATAAGTGTCTGAGTGTTTATGTATAGAATACATAAAAAGAAATATTTGAATACAGTCGTGTACTAGCACGAAAGTTACAGTAGCTAAATAAATACTTGAGTACATAAGTATCTGTGTGCTTATGTGTGCATGTATGTGTGCATTGTTGATATTTGCGTGGGAACATCGCGTTCTGTTTAAGCAGCTGTTCGACATATAAAACAAACCTGTAGAATGTAATATATGTACGTGTGAGGAATGGCAGTATCTTCTGCATGAAACACGCAAACAGTATGTATCTGCAGGTCTGCAAATTTCGATTATACCTAGAACTTGAGTTTTTATCAGTATCTGAACCCAATGACACCTATGGGCTAGAGATGCGCTGGGTGATAAGCGCCCCGCTGTGTTCTGCTGCTAATATCAGTTTGTCAAAAAAAAAAAAAAAACCAAGACAATATTGGAGAGATAATCACATCACAAATAGCAATTAGAGTCGTAGTGCTCGTATCTGTAAATAAATACAATAGAGCTATTAAAATCATTGCCTCCGACTGAAACACAGCCAAAAAAAAAAAAAAACAGAATAAAAAAAACAGCGACAGTCGCAACCACGCGCTGCTCGTATCGTAATCGGGCGCTCAGTGAGACAATATTCATGTATTTCGGTTATAGCCGCTGTTCCACGACGTTTTTGGGCCAGTTTGTTAGCGGATTGTGCGACGAGAGCATGTAAGTACCGACGGGCTCTGGCTGGGCACAGAGTTTCGAGCTACCTGCACAGGTGTTTCTTCTGTTGCACTACCTGTTGGCCAGCTGATATCGTGCAATTGTCAATTTGTATTATTCGTGTGTATATGGAATTACATGTAAATGGAGATTACCTTTGTTTTGCAATGTTCGAAGAACCACTTAAAAACAAGAGCGAGGAGAGAGAGCTAATTTATCTTGCAGTATTCGAATCGAATCCAATATTCATTCATTTCTTGTATCTACACAGCGCACACCGCAATCACCTGCTAATTAATAGGTATTATAGTCCATAACAATAACAAACGGGCTGTGCTTAGTTGTTGTCTTTGTATATACATACACAAATTTAAGTCCATGCGTAAGCACACACGTATACATATTCATTTTTTAAAGAGGCCACAAATCATTTAATGAACGAAAACCTGCGTCCGTCCATCGTTTCACGTAGCTCGTGCAGGTACATGTGTTAGATTAGATTTAGTGGCTACTATAATCTCGAATATTGATTTGCTTTGAAATTTTGCAACCAATACAGGCCATGTCCTCTGCTGATAAGCTGTTATTTATTAATGGATCGCCAAAAACAAAATTGATTTCTCTTACAACAAAATATATCAGGAACATATATTATAGATATCATAGATATAACGATTATTACGAAATTAATAAAAATCCCCCACTGACATTCGCAATTAAATTCGAGATCCAATTGCGTAAGCTTCGTGATCATATATTATGTACATATATAAGTATTACATGTAATATACATACACCTCTTCAGCTCGAGTATGGCTTATCAGTTGATTATCGTGGCGTGCATTTTGCTGCTCAGCCAGAGTACGGCCAATCCCATTGCTCCGAGAAGCGTTGCCACGGAGCTCATAATTCTCCACAATAATGACATGCACGCGAGATTTGAGCAGACGAACAAGAACGGGGGCACGTGCACCCAGGAGGACGCCAATACGGACAAGTGTTACGGCGGATTCGCCCGTGTTGCCAGCGAGTAAGTGGATCTGACTGAATGATCTAGGGGAAATTCTCAACAAAAACCAATTCTTTCAGAGTGCGAAAATATCGAGAAGAGGCTAAGAAAGGAGGAACTCCCGTGTTTTATCTGAATGCAGGTGACACCTACACCGGAACAGCCTGGTTCTCGGTCTTTAAGGATAATATTACCAGCGCTTTTCTCAACAAACTGCAGCCGGATGCTATTGTAAGAGCCGTTCAGTTCGTAGATATACTATATTAACTACTTTGCTTTTTGTAGTCACTTGGAAACCACGAGTTTGATAAGAATGTTAAGGGTCTGATACCATTCCTCAATGCCGTGGAGTTTCCCGTGTTGGCGTGCAATTTGGATTTGACAAATGAGCCCGAACTGGCGGCGACTAAGAAACTGGCTAATTCCACGGTGCTAGAGACAAACGGAGTTAAAATAGGTGTAATTGGTTATCTCACGCCGGATACCAAGAACCTTTCCTTTCAAAACAGTGTGGAATTTGCCGAGGAAATCGTTTCAATCAAGTAACAGCGCCCGATTCTCACATAAATCGTAATATCTGACCTCTTTGTACATATTTTCAGCGCTGAGGCACAGAAACTAAAGGATCAAGGCATCAATATAATAATTGCCTTGGGTCATTCTGGCTACCAGAAGGATCAGGAGATTGCCAGAGATTGTCCGGATATTGATATAGTAATCGGCGGCCATTCGCACACTTATCTGGACTCAAATCAACCTGTCGCCGACAAGGACGACACCAATCCTGAAGCAGTTCGTGGACCCTACCCCACCACGGTGGTGCAACCAAGCGGCAAAAAGGTGCCCGTCGTACAAGCTTATGCTTACACCAAATATCTGGGAAAACTGCATGTCCAGGTTAGTTCAGAATTAAGTGCCCATTAGTATGTGATCTAAGCCCTTCCCCTATTTATCCAGTTTGATGCAGAGGGCAATTTGATTGAGTTTGATGGATCGCCGATACTTCTGAACGCGTCAGTAACGCAAGAGCAGGACCTGTTGGATTTGCTTGAGGTATACCGTCCGAATATCACGAAGCTGGAACAAACAATTGTCGGTTACACCAAGGTCACTCTTGAGGGCGGCAATGTGTGTCGCCTGAGGGAATGCAATCTCGGCAATCTCATTGCGGATTCCATGGTGCACACCCGAGTGCTGGAAAACAAGGGTGGCGATTACTGGACAGATGCTCCTATAGCTCTGGTGCAAGGCGGCGGTAAGTCTGACAGCTTTGAGTCGGAGTCAATCTAAGTCCAAACTTTTATTTTGTAGGCATCCGCAGCTCCATTGACAAAAATGCGAACGGTTCCATTACGGGCAGCGACATTCTCACAGTGCTTCCTTTCGAGAATAGCCTCTATATAACGCGTATTACGGGAAAAACATTGCGAGCTGCCTTGGAACGTTCTGCCCTTGTTCGCAACACGGACTCGAATGGCGGCTTCCTCCAGTTTGCCGGCGTACGCGTCGAATACAACTACGACAGGGAGGAGGGACAACGTGTCGTCTCCGCCCTGGTGCGCTGTGCGGAGTGCAGTGTGCCCACCTACAGCAACCTTAACGTATCCGCCTACTATAAGGTGATTGTGTCCGAGTTTTTGTTAAACGGAGGCGACGGATACGTATTGACCGAGGAGCATGAACCGTATTCTGAGCTCTTGCAGAAGAACGATCAGTTCGCGTTCGGTCAGTATTTGGAGGCGCGTCATTATGTCTATCCCGAAATCGAGGATCGGATTGTGATCCGAGGTCCCACAGATGCTGCCGGTAGCATAATTGGCTCTGTAGCATTGATAATGCTGTCTTCCGTGCTCACGCGATTCTTTAACTAGTTCAACAAGTTGTAAATTGTTCCAACTATTCAACTGCCTAGGCTTGAATTTATAAGATTAAATGTACAATAAATATCTTAATGTCCCTATAGATCTCTAGCACAACCTACCATGCCTTAGCTTGTGATCTTAAGAAGAACATAAGTTTAGAATTTCTCAAATTTCACATCTATTTGTGGCATCACGTGCGCAAGTATGTGTCAAGTGCTTTTAAGTATATCTGTGCATGTGTAAATGCACAAAACAGTCGAGTCACTGAACACATTTCGTTTATATAGTAGAGATTATTGTGATCATAAACTCGAACTCAGCATAATGCGATAAGTCACAACCTTATCACAGGTAATGTAAATGATTTGCCATTTTTACACTACACTACATAAAACTGAAATCAGGCTGATTTACAAAACAACCCTCTGTTTATGTGCTTCCATCAGGCATTAGTATAAACATAAGTATTAAAACATTCTTCCTAACAATCTACCCAAACCTGAATAACTAATGGCCTATACTAACACTCCAGATTGTAAATTGCAGTAACAAAATGACAATAGTTATAAACTGAAAGATATTTGATATATATGAACTATTCAAACTACGTGTAACAACTTTTTTATTGGCGCTTCAACTATGTCTTAACTTTGAACTGACCGTTTTTCATGATACACCGCGCATAAACGAGGTATGCGTTGATTTTGTGTGTCTGGAAGACACTTTACTTTAATTTCCAAGTCAATGCATTTGAGTAATGTGACAATATACACTTTAATTTCAACATTGCGCCAGCGACAATGATAAAAACGGCAGATAAGCATCAGATACACATACATACAGACACTGTATGGCTGTTTATGCAAATGTATGTGTGTCCAGCTGCTAGTAGTATGCTGAGCATAATTCGCGATCGATGCTCAGGCCGCAGCTGATAAGACAGCCATGCAGACAACGGAGAGTATTTGCAACAGTAAACTGTCTCTCTTATGCTCGCTCTCTCTCTCCCTCTCTCTCTTTTGCGTGGGTGTTGTGCAGAACTGCAAATTTGTAACCAATTTCGATAAGTGACAGATGACAGATCGGCCGAGAACTGAACTAGCGCCGTTCGCGAAGTTTGTCTCTCCGTTTGCCTCTCTGCCGGGCATTCGCAATGTGTTTAATGACAGTGCGGCTGCGGACGTTGGTGGCAACGGTTGATTCGCTGCTAGCGCGAATAGGTTACATTTGTGATCTTCGCATGTGTTGTACGTACCTCGAAGGAGTTCGCGCGTGTATGTGTGTGTGTGTGCGTGTCGCATTAGCTTAGCCAATTTGGCTTGTTATGGCCCTGTTTCCAGGCAACATACACTTTAAGGTTTTTACAATCGATTTGAATCTGGCAATTGTAACTGCTCGCTTGTATCTACAGGTATATGTGTGCGAGTTTACACTTACCTTTTTACGGTACAACAAGTAGATTGTTTATTGTGGGTATACCATAAAAAATGCATCTGCGACACAAACATAGTTTATTTTAGTGGCCCGTACTATTCTGCTACACTTAAATTAATTGCTTGCCGTTTGCGGCTGTGGCTATTCCAAAGTCATTCCCGCTGTGATATATGAGAATTCATCTAAAAGTGATTATTTGCAATTATTGAAATTAGAGTTGAACTATAAAAAGGTTGCTAATGAGTTTAACAATTGTTCTACTTATATTATCAAGCTTTTAATCACAGCAATATATTATTTAACTTGTTTTTTTTAAGGCAAAGTTGAAGGTCTATAAACATTTTAATATTTTTAGGTACTGGACAATTAATTAGAGTCCATATTCACCCAGATTTATTTGAATAATGACGAATACTTTTGAAATATAAAACACTTTCCTCGCGGGCAAGCAAGATATATATATATTTGATGTTAAGGATTGACACGTAATTGTGTAATTGTGTGTTATTTTTCTTAAAGTCATTGACATCCGACAGAAACAGAAAATGCCAACATAAAATTGAACCTGTGCCCGTTGTCAAGTTGAGTATTTTCAAAAAAAAAAAAAAAACAAAAATTTGTTGTGTAAACAAATTAATTGGGCTAAAAATCAAGCTGGGCAAAACAACACTCTTGCTCTGAAACTCGTTTCTTAATATTTTATTCGTTTTTATATAAATTATCTGTTTGCTTTCGTAATGAAATGTCGAACCGACTATTTACCACGTAGATAACTTGTTTTATGTAAGCGGAAGCAATTAACTTAACTTACATGTGAATTTAGGTGACAAGCTAAAAAATGTACCCTAACTCATATTTAACAATAAGTAATTAAGTTCATATTGATAAACAACAACTTTTAAGAAACATTGTAAGCCAACAAATATTTGGGCACATGGAGAGGGTAACTACCAAGTCGTTCATAAAGTGTGTTAATAAGAGGTGTAGGGCATTCGGAAGGTGTAACAAAGGTGAAAAAATTCTTTGAAAATGGATTATAAAAACGGGATATGGGGGGATTCACATAGTAGTATTATTATGAGGGGACGTATTCGACGGTCTAAATAGATATATATTACTCAAACAGTTTGTCCAAATTGAATATAAAGCTTCAAGTTTTTGTTGGAATTTGTTATATTTTAACTTTAAATATTGCAATATTTATGAATCTATGAAAACTGGACATGAGTGTATTCATAAACAAGTATTTTATCGACTTCTGCGACGGTCTTAATCTATATATATTACTCAATCAGTCCGACAGTAAGCTAATTGCATATCAAGCTTCAAGTTTTTGTTTGAATTTGTTATATACTAACTTTAAATTATTTACAATATTTATGAACACAACTTTGTGTTGATCATATATATATATATAAAGTGAGTTACATTGAATTAAATATTACTAAACTATACTCTGGAATAACTTCGGTGTTTGTGGCTCGATCTATTATACGCATTTTTGCCTACTGGCACTGGGTATTAAAAGGGAACTTCCCAATTGTCTTGATTTTTGTATTAAAGCATATGAGTATATATACATATCCATATATTTTATAGGGGAATAAACCCAGGCCATGATCAAACTGCTTTACATATATTTGGAATGCATATATATAAGCACTTGTTGGTGTTTCAGCCTCTCCCGGCATAAGTTGTTATAATTAGCGAATAAAAAAGTAAAGTAAAAGTAAAAGTAGCCTACATATGTATATTTGCAAAATTATGGATTGGCTTAGGTTCAGCTATTATGTGTGAAATTGTTTCGGGTCATAGCAGCAAGAAATAATCAAACTTTTAGACTATTAGGGAAAGCTCGTTCCATTTTTGAAATATCGATAAGGATCGATTTAGAGTCTTACCTTTTGATTACTAATGTGTTGAATATAATTTGGCCAAGTGCTTAGACCCGTGTTTTAAGGTATTTAGTTGTGTGATAAGCTTGTCCTTTTTTTAATTCTTCAAACTCTAGTCTTAAAATGGCTCATCAGCATAGGCTTTTGGCCATCCTGCTGTTACTGGGCAACAGAATCTCAGCACATCCAATAGAAGTGAAGCCCGTCGCAGCCACAGAGTTTATTATACTCCACAACAATGACATGCATGCCAGGTTTGAGCAGACGAATGTCAACAGTGAGAGCTGTCCGCCGGAGGATGTTAAAAAGGACAAATGCTTTGGTGGTTTCGCTCGTGTGGCCAACGTGTAGGTGGTAGAAAAAAAAAAACATTTCTTAACTTGCCTTACAAACATCATTTAATTTCAGAGTTCGCAAATATCGGGCAGAGGCTAACAATGGAGGAACCCCCGTGTTCTATTTGAATGCCGGTGATTCATATACGGGCACCGCGTGGTTTACGGTCTTCAAACATAAAATCGCCAGCGATTTTCTCAACAGACTGCAGCCGGATGCCATTGTAAGAACAAATAATAGAAAGTGTTAAGAACATTTGACATTTATTTGGTGTACTTAACAAACGCCAGTCTCTAGGAAATCACGAGTTTGACGAGAAAGTTGAAGGACTCGTACCCTTTCTGAATGATGTCAACTTCCCAGTATTAGCCTGTAACCTGGATCTCACAAAGGAGCCTGCCATGGCTGCCTCTAAACATCTAGCCAATTCGACAATACTGGAGGCAAATGGTACGAAAATTGCCGTGATTGGATACGTTACGCCAGATACAAAATTGCTGTCCCTAAAAAACAACGTGGAATTCAGTGAAGAAATCATATCAATCAAGTGAGTATACAAATTCGAATTATATTAATATTGCATATTAATTTTAATTTTATTTTAATTTTATTAATTTTCTTCACTTGCAGCAAAGAGGCGGCTAAACTCAAGGCTCAAGGCTTTAAAATCATCATTGCCTTGGGACACTCTGGTTATCAAAAAGACCAGGACATAGCCAAAAATTGCCCCGAAGTTGACCTTGTTATTGGCGGACACACGAACACATTTCTGTTCAACGGAGAGAAGCCAAGTGTCGAAAGTATAGACGGTCCTTATCCCACCGTAGTTACACAGAAGAGTGGTAAAAGAGTTCCCGTGGTGCAGGCCTACGCCTACACGAAGTACTTGGGTAAACTTCACGTGAAGGTTGGTTGAGGCGCAAAATGTCACAAAATTCCTATTAATCATATATTTCTTGACAGTTCGATAAAGATGGAAATTTAATCGAGTTCGATGGTTTGCCCATCCTATTGGATTCTGGAGTTGCGCAAGACAAGGAATTGCTTAACCTGTTGGAAGTTTACCGCGAGAATGTCACGGCCCTGGAGAAGTCCATTGTGGGGCATAGCAAGGTGTACCTTGAGGGACGTAAGACCGTTTGTCGGTTGGTCGAGTGTAACATGGGAAATCTAATCACCGATGCAATGGTATTCAGTAGAGTTATGGAGGATCAGGGCGGAGATTACTGGACAGATGCGTCTATTGCCATTCATCAGGGTGGCGGTTAGTTTTCTCAAATGACAAACCGTATCGAATGTTCCATTTGGAAAGTAACCTGTCAATTTGCAGGCATACGCAGCTCAATCGAACGGAAGTCCGATGGCATCATCACTCAGAGCGATCTGTTGGCGGCTCTTCCCTTTGAAAATGATCTTTATGTCACAAGAATTACTGGCAAGACCTTAAGGAACGCTCTGGAACATGCGGCCGCGGTTAGATATAAGGATTCCGACGGAGCATTTCTTCAGGTATCCGGCGTACATGTGGTCTACAATCCGGATATGCCAGAAGGTCAACGTGTCACTTCTGTGCAGGTGCGTTGCGCCAGTTGCACGGTGCCAACCTACAGCAGTCTGAACGAGACCTCCTACTACAATGTGATTGTGCCGCAGTTTTTATTAGACGGAGGAGATGGCCACGTAATGATTGAACAAACGAGTCCTGTGTCGACACGTATGCAAAAAACTATTCTTGAAGCCGTTCAGCAGTACCTTCAGCAACGGGAATATGTCTATCCGGAGGAGGAAGGCCGCATTCTTTTCAGGGGACTAGGGGAAAGAAAATCTAATGGATCCACGATAAGCATTATGAGCTCCTTGACATTGATGCTATTTTCATTTGTTGTAAATCGCAGCTTTTAACTGATCTTAATGTGAATATGCATCTAATGATAAACACAGTGCAATACAATAATAACAAAAAAAGAATACAAATATTAATAATATTAAATGTTATGTTATTAACTATATATATATTTACTATCAGCCGACCCTTAAACCAAATAATTGGAAAGGAACAGTTGAACATAAACCTAATTGATCCATGCTTATATTTATTTATTGGGTTTCTGTATGAATTGTGTAAAAATGTAGTCAATCCAAACCTGGAATCAAATCATATATGTTGACCTTGGGCTGGGCTTGTTTCGAACTGTGAACCTAGCCTCCGAAAAATGTGGCAAATAGACTCGATTTAAAGCTGAAATTTGTGTTGTTGAAAACTGAGTAACAATTCGTTTAAAAATTATATCCAACTTATCTGAGCAAGTTTTCTTTTGCATTTATGTGAGAACAAAAATATAAAAGCAGACCTTAGGTTTCTATTGCAATTTCCATGGATTGGTTAATAGTGCTCTGGAATTTAATACTTCTCCCGCTGTTAACCACAGGAGTCCATAGTTTTAGATTCACAATTTTACACAACAACGATATGCACGCCAGATACGATCCAATATCGAGCAGCTGCGGCAAGTGCCCCAAAGGAGACGACGAGAAGGGCCTGTGCTTCGGAGGGTTTGCCAGAGTAGCCACTGTGTGAGTTAATGCTGAATTTGTACGAAGGATTACAGATAACAGATCGACTACTGATCTTAGTGTGACGCAGGCTCGGACCGAGGGTTCCACGCTTTATCTGAACGCAGGCGATACCTTTCACGGCACGAACTGGTACAGACTCTACAAGGGGGATCTGGCAGCCGACCTATTGAATATACTCAATCCCGATGCAGTGGTAGGTAAGAGCGAAACATACATCCATCTCGTAATCGTTGGATTACTTGGCAGTCCCTTGGCAACCACGAATTCGACGACAACTTTGAGGAATTTCTGCCTTTTCTCAAAAAGGTCAGGTTTCCCATTGTGTGCTGCAATTTGGACCTGCGTATGACCCCAGAGCTACACAATCTGGGGAATTTAGTTCGTTCAACGATTATTACAAAGTTGGACAAGAATATCGGCATAATTGGTTATCTTACGCCAAGCACGAAATATTACGTGCCCTATAATTCAATTGAGTACTTTCAAGAAATACCCTCTATTAAGTGAGTAGACTGTGAATACAACTATAATTGTCAAGTCTCTAATGACATTAACAAGCTTGGAGGCGAAGAGGCTGCGCAATAAGGGCATCAACATCATAATTGCCCTTGGACATTCTGGCTACGAAGTGGACAAGAAGGTTGCTCTGCACTGTCCAGACGTTGATGTCGTCATCGGTGGACATTCGCACACTTTTCTGTACACGGGCACTCCGCCAGAGAAAGAGAAACCGGAGGGAAAATATCCGACCGTGGTGACCAGACGAAATGGTCAACAAGTTCCTGTTCTTCAAGCGTATGCATTTACAAAATATATGGGTAAAATCGATTTGGTGGTGAGTATTTTACGGATATATTAGACTTCCTTAATAAAGGAAGGACCGTAAAGCTTGATTTAACCAATATCTTATATGGTTAGTAAATTATGTCGGTCTTTCCTTCCGTACGTATGTATGAACGCAGGGATCTCAGAACCTATATGAGGTAGAGACTTGGAACGTCGGTCCTCCTAGTGCTCGCGCTGTGCGAGCTCGTTTTAATTAATCGATAACTTGCTCTGTTTCCAAGAAATCGATCAAAATCGATATCGATTATTTAATTCTAATTCTTTTTTTGGCTGTTGACTTGACGCGTTGGCATGTTGTGTGGTCTGTTACGAGTTCGAGCCCTATCGAGGGAACCATTTTTATTCTTTATTTAAATTTATTTATATTACTGGTTTATTATTAATAATGGTATTATCATCATAATTTTTATTAAAAATTTATTTAAACTAACAAATCAAATCAATCACAACACATGTTAAATTAAATACAATTTCATATTTTGTTTATATTTTTAGTTTGACGATAATGGGAACTTGGTAAATTTCAGTGGCAGCCCCATTTTATTGGACTACTCGATTCCGCAGCAAGCCGATATAATGAGTCTACTGGCAGCGAAGAGACAGCGGGTCGATTACCTGGACGGCAAGGATGCCAAAAAGAAGACTTCGTTTTTGAAAATGATGTTTTCCGAATCTGCACTACAAAAATCCACAGGATACGCAGCAAGCATAGTAAACATTCTGGCCTTATTATTGTCATTGTTTGTGTTATTACGAAATAATCGATAATCTAAACATTTTTCAGTTTCATATTTTTACAGAGTATATATCCATAAAAGAAAATGGAAAGCAATAAAGTTGTGAAATATATTTAAGGAATTAACAAGAAGTGTAAATGCGTGTACGGCATTGGTGTTCATATATACTACACAAGAGGATATTACCCGGCCTTGCTCGTGAAAAGTGTGTTGCTTAGAATTTTTTAATATTACATTTTCACGACCGTGGATAATTAAAATCTACCCAAACCATCTAGATCTCATCTTCTATTAAATATGTTAATATGTTCAAAGTCCATCGAATAAGGAAGGCGACTGACCTTTGAAAATGTGTTGTTGGTAGAAGGGAGTTTAGGGTATCTCCTAGTCGGGAACTCCCGACTACAGCTTTTTTGTTGTCTCAATTTGGGGAAAGATGCATGGGCCAATATTCACTAAGATTCGTTTTAATAGAACAGATCAAAAATTGTCTGCAATTGTTGCACAATTACCTAATACCGCGTTTTTTGGCTTTGTTTTCACCCATTTGAATTGGGTAGAGGACATTAAAATGAATAACCGGAATGATTCTTATGTTCCGCACTAAATAATACCTGTTACCTGTTGCTGTCGTTATTGTTGTAGTTGTTGTTGTTGTTGTTGTTTTTGTTGCTGCATTTCAAAGTTGTACGTGAGGAATGTTTACCTTTTTGTGAGTCTGAGTTTGCCGTTTCAGCAAAGGAGAAACTTTTTTATATTCGTTCGTTGGACCCAGCTAAACATTTCAAGGTTGTCTTCAGAGCCGCCAGAATGCCTGTGTGTGCCTGTGTATACGATTGAGTATACATACATACATATGTGCAGGTGTAAAACTGTATAGACCCCTTTCATTAACCACTTTCCGGCATCAGTCAGAAAAACTTCAAACGAACCCAAAGTCAAAATCAGCCGCCCTCGTCTCCGTCTCCCTGTACGACAAAGTCTGTGCTTGAGGTGGAGTTGAGATGCTGGCCAAGTTAATGGCAAGGGCCGGGGCGGGGGCGATGGCACTCCCAGACTGACGTCTTTTAGTTATTGTTAATGTGTTCTGTCTACTGTGAACAGTCCAGTGTCTACTGTGAACAGTCCACTGTCCACTGTCCGTCACGACTTCATCTTCATCCTCATCCAGTTGTGAGTGACACCAACACCCTGGCACATAAAAGCTGATGTAATGCGTCTGCTTCAACTCTTTTAATCCTCTTTTAAATTAAGAAAAATGATTTGCACATTTGACTGCAAGCCATGCCCAATCCATGCCCTACGCTTGGCCATGTCAGGTAAACTTTAGAATTCACCAAGTAATTTATGGTTATTGGCTTTTGGCTAACTAAATGGGCATTAACTTGGCAGTATAATGCGCCTCATAAATATCCACGTCCATAATATTGCCAAAGGCTTATCAATTCTTTCTCTATTCTATTCTCTCTCCCTCCCAACTAATAGAATATCTTTTTTACATTTACCAAATTCGTTTTATTAATCGAAGAGTTTTGTCATACAATTAAAGCATATATTATAGTAAATAGTATATAAGTTTAATATCCACACTTTCAAACTGTCTAGGCGGCATGGAAAGGTGTTCATTAATTTCTACAGAGAGTATAAACTGTCGTGGGTCCGCAGAGAGAAGCGTCATTTTGCATGGTGATTGAAATGAACATTCCTCAGTGGAACCCACGTCAGGGCCCCAAAACCTAGCTCCTTACGCTCGACAAACTTATTATGTGTAAAACTAAAAGCTGTGCGGTTCTGGCAACACCTTGAACTTACGCGAATCGTCGTTGCCAACGACGGCGGAGGTCTTGCCCAGGACACGCATGGCGTTGGAGTAGTCCGAGTCGATCTGCGGTATGATTTGTTGCTCGTTGGGACGCAACGTGCGAATCAGATCGCTGAGCGAGAGCGACGTCTGGGGGCTGATCTCGTCCTTGCTGACGACGGCAGCGGCACGCTGCAACTCCTGGGAGCTGGTCATCTTCTCAAAGTCCTGGGCGATTTGCTTGAGACGCACCTCAATGGCCGGCGACTCCGTGGAGCTGGGCAGCGCAGCTGGTGGTGCATCGCTGACCCTGACAGACGACTCGAAATGCGAGTCCGTCTCAGACTCAGACTCGTGATCTGCGTTGCCGTTCTCGTCCGCATCTGGCACATCCTCCTCGTGCTCGGGCTGGTCGTCGTTGGCATGGGATTGCAGCTGCAGCTGCAGCTCCTCGATGGAGTGCATTTCGTTGTGCAGCTCATTGTCGTTTAGCGGAAAAACGTGCTCCTTAACGTCGTCGCCGTCGGTCAGCTCGCGTGCATGCTCATTGGAGGCATCGCCGCCTTCGTGCTCGTGCTCATCGAAATCAGTATCGCCGTCGGCATCGTCGTGCTCCTCAACGTCCGCCTCCAGGTCTGTCTCCACATCGGCGGCATCCGAGTCGACCAGCGACCGATCGTGATTCAGCTTGAACCACACCGTCGACGGCTGCTGAGCTGCATCTGCCGCACTGTCGACTGTTATTCCCGACGACGACTTGGGCTTGGCGAACAGACTGCCCCCGGCGCTGGTGGACATGATGAGCGGCAGTGGAGTTGTGCTGGGCAGGCCCAGCAGTGCGGCGGGTGTGCGTGGCGTGGTCGAGGTGATGGGGCGTCTATATAAAGGAGGAAGAGAAAGAGGAGAACAGCAACTTGATTAAACACACAGAGATCAACTGTGGATCGACTGGCAGCGAGCTTGGCAATGGGTTAGTGCGAAAGTGCGAGTCTGAAGCTAAAGTTAGTTAGTTGAGCACAAATCTCAGTGACAACAAGAACAACAACAACATCAACAACAACAACGACAACAACATCTATGGAAAAGCTAAGCCCCAAACCACCAATTCTCAGCAGGAGTCTCGAAAGTGGCGCTCAAATAGCCCCAGTTGCTGCAAGCCTCAAGGAAATCAATGAATTTTTAAATTTAAGTAAAACAAAATAAATAAAAACAAAAGGTTTTCATTCAACATGATTAAGTTACATTTTGTTGCTTAGCGTTGACATTCATTGTTTTCCTTGCTGATTGCACAATCAATTTTCTCAATTTTCTCAATTTGCATTTTTCTTGAATCTCGATTTGTTGTAAAAATAATTTGCATAGTGAACTTTTTAGTTAGTAATAGGCTGATAGCTGCGCATTAGTCTTTCTGTATTAGGTATATGACATAGATACAGATACATCCGGAGATCCTGAAGCGGATCCGGCATCTGTATATATGTGTGTTGTATGTGTGTAGTAATGGTATATTTTAACGATTTGGGGTTTAGCTCACCTATTTGATTTCGTTTTTGTATTGTATTACTTTTTGAACTGAACGCTTGGCAGCGTTCCATATAAGTTTCTTTTCTTTTGTTTTGTTTTTCTTTTGTTTTGTGGTCAACTAAATTAACTTTTATTAATCACGTATTTGATCGGTTGCTCAATGCGTTATGTGTTTATAAATATGTTTATTTTTTGTTTTGTTTTTTGTCGGTGTTTCGTTTATCTTAATTAAGGACATTCGCTTAAAGTGCAACTTAGCGATTTATTATACTTAGAGGGGGAATAGTTATTATTGCTTAGGCGTTTGTAATTCAGTTATATATATTTTTTTTTAATTTAGATTATATGATTTATGCTTGTTTATATATCGTTTAGTTGGTGCCCATGCTCTCTAGTTGTCCTTACCCCTGCGCAGACGACACCGGAATGCTGCCATAGTTGTAGTAATAGCAGCGGGTCTGCTCGCAAATGAAGTCCTTCACGGCCGAGCAGTCCTCGGGCATCCACTTGAGCGTCGGCTGCTTCAGTATGACGCAGCCCTTCTCGGCACCACTGCTGCTATAAAGACAAAGGGGCAAACAATACGTAAATCGTTAAAGTTAGCCTCAAGTAACCCCATGTATCCCCACGCTGGCCGAGGCCTGACTTACCTGTCACGTGCCGTGCGCTGCGGTGAGGTGTTGCTGTTGTGATCGACGGGATCGAGCAGGCCGGCCTGAATGGCATCGGCCGAGTTCTCGAAGAAGTCAAATGTGGCATTGAACGGTAGTCCGGTGCTCATCCATAGGAACATGCCCGTGCCCAAGCGATTTCCGGATGTCCAGAAATCATAGTTGCCGTAGCCGGCATTCTTCAGATACGTGGTCATCGACTCGGCCTTCTCCTTGGTCTCGAACGAGGCCAGCTGCAATCCCAGCGATCGACAGTACTGGTAGGCCAGGAAGTAGTTCAGCTCCGGCGAGTACGGATTCATACGGCTGATAAAGTACTGCACGCCATCCAGATGTATGGTGGTAATTCGTTGACCTAAACGCAAAGAACAAGGGAAAAATCAAATCAAATCAAAAAAACTGAATTAGCTAATGCTCAACTTGGAACGGGAATGGGATTTGGACTGGGGCCAATGAACCCGCAGACCGAGACAGTCCGCTCTGAATACTGAGTAATCGCAATAGGTAACCGTAACGGTTGCGTTTCGGCATCGAATGCGTAATCATAGAGCCGACAAAAGTCAAAAGATATCCAAAGTAAATATCATTAAATAGGATTACCAAAACGAGTCATACGAATGACAAAACACATTTTTCAGCGTATGAGCTTGGTGCCTATAAAAAGCCGAGTCCGACTTGGACTTGGACTGGAACTGGGAGTCGCAGTCGAAGTTGGATTCAAGTGCCTGATGATTCATTGCAATGTTGTTAATGATGATGATGACCAGAAGCATTTATCGGTCTATGACCCACAACACACAGAAAGATACACAGACAAACAGATACAGATACAGATACAGATACGGATGCAGATACAAAAGCTAATTACACAAAATCCGATGAAAAATAATGGCGCTGATGACATTAATTAGCTCAATGGTAAGAAGCGAGGCACCAAGAACGAAAGTTACTGCCTCATTTTCAGCTTTTTGGGGTTCTTTTACCTCTTATGTAATCGCTGCGCCTCAAACAAAACCCGATCTCAGAGATGACCATGACTTGACTGGGGCCTAGGGCTTGGTCAGGGGACAACAGGTAGCTGGCCGGTCGGCCAAAGACGAATCCCTCATTTTCTCAGCCCGGGCCAGGCACTCGGAGCGTGCTAAACAAATACAACTACGACGACAACAACAACTACAACCTGTCATGTTTGTATTGTTGGCCTTACCCAGCTGGAAAGTCAAACATCCATACACCCATGTCGAAGATATTTTCGTTTTCAACTCTGATTCGGAGCCTCTAGCCAAACGGAAGAGTGCCTCGGCGGACAGTTGCCTATTTATGGAACTTGTCTTGGATAGACAACGAGTATGCCTGGCATATACTAGCTCTATACGTCGTTCAGGGCCCAATGTTTGCCAGTCTGAAATATGTATGTATTTCTCTGTGCGTGTTTGTATATGAAATTATTTCCGGCGATTTAAATGCAAGACACACACGAAGTCAAAGTCTTCTGATTTCAATAAGTAAACGAAGGACTGTCAGACCCACGACACATTGTCATATCTTTCTTGACTTCTTGCCTTCTTTTGTCAACTGAAGTGAGGTGCCGAATAAATTGTTTTATTCGTTTTCTCTTATCTTGAGGTAATAAACCATCAAATTTAGCCAACAATTGTACCGAATGCTACTAGAAAATCCTGTCTTAATTATATATTGTAAATGTGTTTTTTTTTTTAAATTTAAATTAAATATTGTATTTATTAAATAGCTTTTTATAAGTCTATTCAGTAGTTAAATAATATCTGCAATCCTCATTCATATTTATTATTAAATAGTTTTTTATAAGTCTATTCATAATTTAAACTATTTTCCTGCACCTTCTGTGAAGAAGTTAAATAATATCTGCAACTTTCATTCATCCTCGTGAAATTGGAGCACACCAAATCGCAATTGGCTTCACTTGATTCCAGCTCTCATCGAGCTGGAGACCTAGGTAAATGGGCATTTTGCATTGCTGCTAATTTGACTTGGACTTCTGCATGAACTGCCATCGGGTAAGCCAATAATTGAGCTGCAGTTGCCCAGTTTGCCAGTTTCCCGTCTCCAAACCTAGTTGAGCACTATAATTCGAGGTAATTGCGTTCGCCTGGCCCCTTATTCACTTATTCTGGAGCGATCTGGAGTCCACGAATCTAGCACGTCTCTAATGATGCACTCAGAGTCAACTCTGGCGGTTCGCTGATCGCAAGACCCGCGGCGCAAACGTAATCAAATGACGGGACGGGTTAAGCCTAGTTATTTGTTGGCACCTAACTTCCCCTCCGTTTGGCGGGTAACTGATTACTATGCACGGGCAGCTCTAGATGCAGTCGGGATAAGAGCGAAATTGATAAAAAACAAAACAGCTTACGGCTAAGAGAAAAGCGCACAGAGCAATTGAAAAGCGGGAACAATCCAATCAAAGCTGGCAACTTCCCTCCCTCCACTCATATTCGATGAAAGAAAATGCATATTTAATGACTCAGAAATAATGTTGGGAATTCTTAATCCATTTTTTTGTGTCCCCTTGATTATTGGTGTGTATTTACGTAGTTCTCTCTTAAAAACTGTTTATTTATTTTAAATTTAAATAGATCTTACAAGATCTCTTCTAGATCTCTTGCTTAAATAAAAATAAATCAGCGCGAAGACTAATTCTGTGAGTTTATAAAACATTTGAATACCATGCATGTGTAATCTAATGTAATGTAGATTTTATTCAAAAAGATTATATATTTCTTGGTCAGTCAACCGAATCTCGAGGATCCCTGCTTAAGTCCCAGGCGAGTTAAGGAATGTAGTTCTAATTTGGTCAGTATTACGTTAAAAGTTACTTTGATTCCATATAAATAAATATGTGCTATGCTAATTATAATCATTTTTAGATATATTCTCGATGAAGTAATTCAAAAATACTTAAAAGATTTGAATATTTTTTCTAGTCTTAGTTTAGATTCAATAGAATTTTGTTAAGTGGTTCCTTCTTAGTTCTATTACTAACCTGCAGCGCATGCCAAAAGGCTGAGCACACAAAACAAAATGATTTTTGCCATATTTGAATCAAGAGGTTATAGCTCTCGAGGATCTTGGTGCACAGGCGATTGAATAACGAACGCGTTGATGCTGTTGAGATCGAGGAGGAGCCGTTGGCACTTTTCGTCGCGTTCACTGTAAGCCTTCGACTGAATTGACTGATATCCAGGCTATATCACGCAACCGCGAACCGTCAAGAAACTGAAGAAGAAACTTGCTGCTGCTGCTGCTGCTTCCAGAACGCCAACACTTCCAATTCCAGTTTCCAGTTCCCAGTTTCAATGAGAACTTCCTATTCCAATGCGCGCAGCACGATACGAATTGAGCCGATCGACGATGGCGATGACTCGCACTCAGCACACACACGCACACGCACACAAAAAATGACACGCACGTACACGTACACGTACACACACTCAAACACTGAGGCGTCGTCTTAAATCCTTGCACTAAATGAACACACAAATAGAACTTGAGGACTTTGGGCTGTTGCTGTTGCTGCTGTTGCTGTGAGCTCTGTTTGGATCGGTTGTTGCCTGGCCAAGTACACAATGGTAAATGTCGTGAAGATGGCCAGATTCTTAGCTTAAAAAGGAAATTGGCGGACAGGCCCAAAGGCCAATTCATATGGGCCTATGTACATGCATACATGCATATATACAGACATACACATATGCATGTGTGAGCATGAATGAACGCGATGAAACAACGAAAGCAGCAAAGAATACAAATACTAATACTAATACAAGTGTGACGTTGGCAGCAGAGAAAAGACAAGAGCCAGCCAGAAGCAGAAACAGAAACAGAAACAGAAACCGAACCCGAAACCGAACCTAAAACACAAACCCGAACCCGTACCCATTCCCGAAAGCCGAACAGCTATTTGCGCATTTCGTGCTTGTGTGCAGCGGGTGTGTGTGTGTCCGTGTGTCTGTGTGTGAGTGTGTATCTGTGTCTGCGTGCCTTTGTGTGCGTGCTTGCGATCGTGCGGCACTGGGACTTGATGACTTCTTGGTCTTGGTCGGGCCAAGGCCCGAACTCACTGGAAGACAAAGAGCGCAATAAAGCCGCGACGGTGGCGTCGGTGCAAAGGTACAGACAAGCGGGCCAAAACCGAAATACCAAACACTCACACACACACACACACACACACACACACACACAAATACGTACACACACATGCAAACGTGCCTGAGCTGCACGCTGCTGCCATCATTCCAATGGGAGTCGCAGTCCGCAGTCCGCTGTTCATTGTTAGTTTTATTCTTTCTCCCACAACGCCGCTTTGGTTTTAGGTTCTGCTGGTCCCACTTCTTACCTGGCTTGTGTCAGGGCCTCGGTCCCGTCCCGTGCCACGACTTCATCGCCATCGCCACCGTCAACGTCACCGCCGCCGCCGCCGCCGCCGCCTCTGGCCACAGTTAGCTCCAGCCCTGCGCGGTGGTTCCATTAATTTGGTACGCTATCGCAGTTACCGTCGACGTCGACGTCAACGTCGACGTTTCGACTGGTTTGTGGTTTCGGTTTTACGATCCCTGCCTGGAAGCGTGAAATGTAATAATGATCTTCTCTTTTGCATTTTGACAATAATTCTGCGGGTGCTCCGACCAAATATGCTTACCATATACCAAAAGGCCAACCAAAAGTTCCACAATAAAAAATTGTTATATTCGTTAAGTATTCATATATACATGCATACATACATATATGTAAATATATGCATATGTATTTATGGCAAAGTACATAAATTCTTGTTGACATATTTATACCAATTCGCTTAAGCCTTTAATATTCCCTATTTATTCATCTAAAAGCAATTTCATTTAAGGGGTTCTTTACTTTTTCCTTATTTCATAAGATCTAGAAAGCTGAACAAGAAAAGGCTCTAGTTGGAAGTTTCTGACTAGGAGATACCCTGTTCCTTCTTCTACCAGCACCAAATGCAGCGCGCAGCTAGGTGTTCAATTTTATGACTCTAGCCTTCAAGACCTAAGATTCCTGATCAAGAATATATATAATGTTGGAAAAGCTTCCGCCTGCCTGTTGCATACATTTGCACAAAAGCATTATACCCTTTTACCCATTTTCAATGGGTATAAAAATAGCCGAAAACGTTGTTATGAAACCTTACCTTTCGCTGGGTTCCAAAATCGTTTTTAACGATATTTCTGAAAATTAATTTGAGACGTGCTTCACACTTTAAGGAAATCCAAAACGACAACTAATCCATATTTCCTGTGTGGATAGAAATTGTTGGATGATAGATTAGTTTTGTCCGATCGGCTTCAAACTTATTATTAAGGTAAATGCGTTTTGAAGGATTGTTGGAAGTCCACTTCGCTATACTCTTATGGGGATTAAAGTAATACGGAAATATTTTAACTTTCTCAAGTGTTATTAGAAATATAGTTACTTAATTTTCCGATTTTGCCTTCGGCTAATAAGTACAAGCCTCTGATTTCGGTTCGTAGTTCCTATAAAATTGGGATTCAATGGAAGTTCACAATTCATTTATAAGATAAATAAATAACTGAGTGTTACTCCAATCCGACAAATTATATATATGTATGTAAACTAGTTACCTTAGTTAGCAGCCAAGTTATTCGATTCACTCGCTCTTGCTGCAGACATTTTCTGTGGCATCTGCCATGGTGTCCCACCCACCCCCCTTTGCAGGGCCTCTTCGTGGAGCAGCCTAATCAATAGTTAATCCAATTCGACACATGGCTGGATAAATAGGTGGATAGGTGGGTGTGGGGCATAATTATATACAAGTCCGCGAACGAGTAAATATAATAATAATGGCCTGGTGATTAAGAGTCATGGGAAATGGAATGCGTTCATTTTCCCAGTTGGCCAGGCCGGGGCCAGGCCAGGGACTAGCACTAAATAGGGCTGAGCCTGTGCCTCGAATCTAGGCGGTTGTTGACCAGCAAAAAGTTGGCACTGTGTCCGTGTCCATGGCTGGGACTGCGGCTGAAGCTGAGACTGGGACTGAGGCTGAGGCCGGGACTGAGGCTGAGGCTGGGACTGTGCGTGCGTATTGCAATCAAAATTCTATCGAGGAACGCACCGAGATTTTGGGCCGCCCTACGTGTAACTTTTATTAAGGTTGTTGTTCTTGTTCTTGAAGCTCGAACTGCCGCCGGGCCGACGCCGACGTCAACGACGACGCCGAAGCTGACGCGTGTCGACCCATTCAGTTTAATGTGACCGCCGCGTCGCGTCAGTTGGGCTCCTCGCTATCTGGATTTAGTTTGGCGTCTAAAGGCGGCCATTTGGATGGCCTTCGTCTTAACAGCATTCATCCATATCCATCCATACATGTTGCTCTTCCTCGCTGGCTTCTTTTACTGCTGCTGCTGCTGCTGCTGCTTCTTTTACTGCTGCCTCTGCCGCTGACTCTGCTGCTGACGCTGCTGCTGCTGCTGCTGCTGCGTCTAGTTGATCTTGTGATCTTCAGCATTTGTGTGCTTACTTTGTTGGCTCGTCTTCGTCTTGGCCTGCGTCCTCTTTGTTGCTGCTCCTCTTGTTGTTGTGTTTTTTTTTATCCCTTTTCTCTGGTTTATTTCATTGCTAGTTTTCGCAGCGACTTGTTCGGGGTCTAAAAATAAACTTGGCCCAAGATTGAGGAATTTAATTCGCCTTTTGGTAGAAAATCCTCGACTTTGCACAACCGACTTTGGCAACACGCAGACGGGCAACGCCGGCTTCGGTTTATTTTTGCTTCTACCCATACACACACACGCACACACACACACACACACACACACACACACATACATACATGCACACATACGTGTGTAAATAAATATTTGAATCTGTTTCTCAGGTGCGTGCATTGCTCCTGTATCCAGAAATTCGCAATCAACTTTAGCGTCAACTTCAGGTATGAGCTGGAGCTGATGATGATGATGATGACATGGTCATGGTATGTTGCCTATTGGCGAGCCAGCGGGAATGCTAAAAAACTAATATACAGGTAGATTTTTCGCATGGAATCAAAGGATTAAGCGCTCAACAGTGACATCCAGCTCATTATCTCAGCCAGCCTCAGATGCCAACATCTCATTGCAATTTTCTATGCGACTATGGAAGCTGCATTTGTACAATTTCATAGCCTGTGACCGCTCTGCTCTGGTTTTGTCCTTGATACGCGAAGGTCATCAGCATTTGCATCTCGTCCCTTACTGGCCGCCACGTGTCGTGAGGGCCAAGCCCAGAAAATCACATAAACAAACCAGTACCAGGCCCCTCCGGTTTGTTCATACATAAATTCATGTGCGGCAGTCCCATCGAATTTTGCAATAAGTTATTAAAATATGCGGAATCGCAGCCAGCATTTGCAATAAATGCTAAGCATAACAAACAAATTATAAGCTCGGACTCGGACCAAATTGCAGGCAACATCTGTAATACACAATTTATCAGCGATCTGATGGCGATTTAGATACCCTATATCAGGAAAATACTCCAATCATATCTCAGAAATCTTTTAGACTTAAATTCCCCAAATACGTCGCTGTGAAAGTCGATTTGCCCTAAAAAGCATGCTGCAAGAAATATCTACATAATGTCGGAAAGCCATCCTTATCCATTATCGATTTACACGTCCACTCACATAAATAGATGTAAGGGTTCATCTCCCAACGTAATATATCGATCAGCAATCGGAACAAACTCCTTTATCAATATGGATATACATCTATATCTATGTATTATATTTTGAGGCAGATTTCTTGAGTGTATATATGCGCCCACTCATGCGTTACAGGAATCGTGACACAGTTGTTATATGCTCATGCTAGGGTATAATATTTCAGATCTCGTTTTTTCTCGGTGTCTTGATGTCGAGCGAGCTCCTTGCCTTAACCCTAACCATAACCATATCAACGGTAAATAGTTTCGATCACAAAGCCAACCCAGAAGACATAAGCATACGAGGCAAATGAGCATTTGGCATGCCCGATCCCGAACCCGAACCCGATCCCGATCTGCCCGCTGCCCGATTCTCGGTGCCTGTTGCCTAATGGCCTATGGCTGCGGAGCGCTAGCTGGCAATCAAAGAGAATGAGGACGAGGCAAATTTGGCCCATGCCGATGATGTCCATGAAAGAGGAACAACAACAACAACAACAAGAGGAACATACAGTTTTGAGTTCTTCTTTGTGTGATTCACGTCATTTCGAATTCCATGTCAAAAGGTGAAGCCAATTCAACGTTTCTAGCGAACTGGGCAAAAAAATCACGACCAACAGGAAAAGAAGCCAACCAAATAACAAAGCCATGAAAAATAACAACAAATAACAAGCAACACGAAAATCGCGTTGAATGAAGATTATTTCGTCTAATTTGTTGCTCCGACTTTGTACTTCGCATAGAAGATCTTCCACGGGCACCCTCACGTGCCTCGAGTCCAGTTCCAATTGGATGTGGAGCACAGGCAAAGGGCCAACAGACGTGGTTAATGTCACTAATATGGCCATTAGAGTCCATCGTATGCAGAAGTTATTTCCAGCAGAGGAAGTCAGCGTCGAGTTCGAAGACGGAAGATGTCTTTTATAAGCACATTTACCGTTTAAATGGGGGAAAACAGTTGAGCTGATTATACTTATGCCCCATTCTCGTAGCCGACAGATGGCCCAGGTCTCCTCGCCCGGACCAGGGAGCAGCTCCGTGGCGAGTCTATTTGAGAAATTGAAATGCCACTGCCAAGCTCTCGACATTTAAGCAGGCATTCAATGTGAATGTGACTCTGACTGTGACTGTGAATGTGAATACAAATGCGGGTGTGGGTGAGTTCAAGAACCTTTTTTAACCATGACTAACCGAATGACTGATAGCTGAAAGCTGAAGCTGAAAGCTAAAGTGCCGTGCAAAATGCCCGATTCTGCACTTGACCGCCGCCGCCTAGCCAAAGAGCCCAAAGACCAGAGCCAAGAACCGCGTATCCAGGCCCAGCTGACATCAAGTGCCGAGACAGAGTCTAAGTATGAGCTGCGCGCTATAATTACATACGAGCACAGAAGAAGACTTCCCAGTTGCTGGGCTTAAGCCGCAGTCCAGGCTTCTGGCAAAGATGCCAAAGCCAACTGCCGCCAGCAGCAGCAGACGGTGATTGTGTCGCCTACGACCAAGTCATTTGCTGTCTTTACCTCCAGCTCAAAGCGCACAAGTATCTGTAGTTCTCACGACATCAGCAGCAGCAGCAGCAGCAGCAGAGCAACACGCCGGTAGCTACATTGAGACAAGGGCCAGGCCGAAGGTGAGGGCCAGGGCTGAGGCTGAGGCTGAAGCACGCATACGCGAATGCACACTGGAGTCAGCAGAGGCTCAGAGAGTTCAGTTCAGTCTGTTCATTAAAATGGTAAATGCTATAAACAGTCAGAATTCCTGATCTCCCCCTATTTGATATTTTGCACAGCTAACCGAAGTCAAATGGAAGATATGTGTTAAATATAAAAATTGTCAAATTGATAGTTGCAAGTCTAAATTAATTACATAATAACTTGTCATTTTAATTAATTAGAGTTCAACCCGTTCATTAAAATGGTAAATCTTATAAACAGTCGTAATTCCCTTTATTTCCCCTTATTTGATATATTGAACATCTAGCCGAAGACAAATGGAAGATATGTGCTAGGAGAAGAACATTGCCGTAATGAGAGTTTTGGGTCAATCTACAAGTCTAATTACATAATTACTTGTCATTTTAATTACTTGAAGTTCAGTTATAGACAGTTTTAATTCCCTTTATTTGATATTTTGAACATATAACCGAAGTCAAATGGAATAAATATGTGCTAGGAGTAAAACCTTGCCTGGAGAGTTTCAGGTAAATCTGAAAGTCTAAATTAATTGCATAATTATTTTTTAATTTTCGGGTAAATGTGCCAGTCTAAAATAATTACATAATTACTTCTAATTTAAATTATCTTTTAAATTATTAATTGTTAATACCTAAAAAGTGGTACGACAGCCCAATACTCGGTTGGAAAGAGCCTGAAAGGACTGATCCTATCTAATATTATATATTAAACTCTGCTCCAAATTGTTTTATTGTCAGAACCAAGAACTTCAGATTCAGATGGCAGTCTAACTTGATCACAGACATGCAAGAGGTCAGACCTAGTCGACGCGATTTATTTACAGAGGCCCAGTTTGACCAGAGGTGGTGTGAGTAGAGCATGTTTATTAGTGCGTGCCAGTTACAGGGGGGGCTTACACAAAAAAAAATAAGACAAACAAACGTCTTCAGCCAAGGGCGTCGTATAATAGTGGAGGGTCAATGCACAAGCTGGAGGTACGACGACCCCCGAGACTAAGAAATTAACAATAACAAAAACAAAAGATTCAGCTGACGAAACTCAACATTAGATCGCTAATGATCTCGTCGCTCGGACTGAGAAGATCATATTACATACTTACTTAGTTGTCGCCTCAGGTATTGGTGTCAATTAATGACAGCGATTAACGGTTTCTTGCAGTTTCTATATTAGTTGGGGCAACAGCAAGTGAGAACGTTGCAGTTTAAATATCCCGCATAGCGAGATACTCAGCTGGCAGATGTGGAAGGGAACATATTAAGAGAATACTCCAAGTTAGAGTGTATGTCATTTATTCTCAAAATCATGAATATTGAAGCCTATCTTATTAATCCTCTAAATCTTGTCTATTCCTCATTATACGTTTAACAAAATGTTAAACAATCCTTAAATTAGAACTGCAGCGAATATAGTTATTTAAAGGTTTTGTCGGAGTCCTGGACAGATCGAATGCCTTTAAGGTCGCCAACCTGGTTTTCCACATACATAATCCAAAGTTTTTCCTCAAATTTTACATATGCTGATGCGAGCTAAGATGATCTCCATTCAAAACTGCATTTATCAAAGCCCCAAGTTATTTATGCTTTGTGCCTGTGTTGCCCTTATATAAGTTTTCTATATTACACCCAACCATTTTCGGAAAAGTATATGGCTTGCTTCTGGTTCCGGCTTGACTGTTTTTTGGGCTTGTTTAGTTAAAGGCTCGACTCGTAGTAAAAAAATTGATCCGAAGCGATTCGGCTTAAAAGACTTTTAACTGAATTAAGTTATTACTTCCCCATAAAAAATCTTTACAGCTGCGGAATAATAGATCAAGATCTTTGTTTGAGCATTATTTTTTTATTAATTCAATAAAATTACTCATTTTGCTGCTTAACTTAAATTGAATACATTTTTTAATATAGGGTATTTTTCAAATGCGTTTTATTTTTTAGTAAAGAGAAATTACAACCCTTAGTTTTTCCCTAGGTCTCCATGGAAAACTGAAAAATGTTCTAACTCCGAATTAAAAAGAATTTATGTAATACGATTTTATGCTGTATTGTACAAAATATCATTAGGTATATATGAAAAGGTATAAAAAAGTAACTAGCGCAATCGGAACAAGTAGAGTTTGCGATCGGGTCGGCGCGCAGGATCTGCGTTTTTTCTCTATAATAGTTATGCGACTTTCAAGCATGGGATAAACAATTTTGTGCTCCTGATAGTATTTGGTTAATATTTCGCGATCAATCAGCTTTAGACGATGGAGTTCCGGTTCTATGGCATCCTTCAAATGTCTGTGACCATCGCCACCATTCAGAATGAAGCTTGGCACTATTACCGAGTAAAATTTGTCCCTCTCCAAGGGCTCATATTTGGGAATTCTGCAGTCGGCGCACAGCACATTAATTGATGTGACGCGTTTTCCTTTTGGTCGATTATAGTTGATGACCAGGCGCAATCCGGACACTTGCAGGAAGCCCCCATCCGAGTCTGTGTGCCGCAAGGCTGCCGAGTACTCCAAGGCTTTGACAAGATCATGGCCCTTGATGCGGGTGACCGACACGGTATTGCCATATGGTAAAGCTGTGGCTATATCCACGCCCGTAACAGTTCCATCTGGGCCCGGGTCGATGCTCGCGCGTATTCCTGTCAAAGATATTCCTTGAAAACGTGTATGACATGAACTTTAGGGACATACAACATACCTCCCGAATTCATTAGGGCTATCGCTGCATCCGTCCAATACAGACCGCCATAATCCTCAATAACTCGACCGTAGACCAAAGCGTCGCCAATAAAGTTGCCAAAATTGCATTCCGATTGACGACACGCTTCACGATCTCCATTCAGAACAACCTTACTTACGCCAACCACTTGGGTTTCCAGCTCATCTATAGTCGCCCTCTTACTGTCCAAGAGGGCCTTCACAGCGGAATCATGCGCTACTGTGTTATCCAACAGAATGGGAGAGCCACTATATTTGATCAAGCGACCTCCATTGTCAAACTATAAGAAATATAATGCTTATGGATTAACCCAATGCTTATGGATGATCAATGATCCCTACCTCCAAATCGATTTTCCCCAAATACTTGGTATACGCATACGCCTGAAGGACCAGCACCTGTTGCCCATTTGTTCGGGTCACCACAGTTGGGTAGTTGCCCACGGGGTTCTCCCTCTCCGGCGGAGTGCCCGTGAATAGGAACGTGTGCGAGTGTCCTCCGACGACAAGATCAATGTCCTGGCAACTCCTGGCGATATCTTGATCCATGCTGTAGCCGGAGTGTCCAAGTGCAATTATAATATCGACTCCTTTGTCAGTAAGTTTTTTGGCCTCGGCACTTGTGTGTTTTACAATTATAATTTCCAACTATATAGCTAAGCAAATCGAATACGTACTTAATGTAAGGTATTTCATTATGGATTTCAATATCGAGTGCTGAGACTAGTTTTCTTGTCACGGGCGTCAGATATCCAATAATCCCGATTTTCTTCTCAAACTTCGTGATGATGGTGGAGTGAACCAAATTCTTCATATTTTGCAAAACTGGAGCGTTTTTCAGGATTATATTGCAGCAGACAACGGGGAATTTGATCATTTGAAGAAAAGGCACCAATCCATTGACATTGTCATCGAGCTCATGATTGCCCAGCGACTATTAAATGAAGGGAATCCGTAAATACAGTACGATTGCATGTGCCGACCAAAGTACCCACCATTGCATCTGGATTCAGCATATTCATCAGTTCGCCCGCCAGCTCACTCCTGAATATTGTGAACCAGGGGGTTCCTTGAAAGGTATCGCCTGCGTTCAAAAAAAGTGTTGGACCCTCGGCACGGGCCTTTGCCACACTAAATGGATCACAGCGGAAAGTCGTAAAGCCAAACTGAAAACGGATCCAAACTTACGCCGTAGCTACTCTCGCAAAGCCCCCGAAGCACAGGCCCTTCTCATCGTCGCCCATGTCGCACTTTTCATTGCTATCTTTCATCGGGTCATATCTGGCGTGCATATCATTGGTGTGTACGACGGAGAACTTGAAGGCCGTGTCTTGTTTAACAAGCACTAGCAATATTATCAAAGTCCAGTGCAATTTTAACCATAGTTCCATTTGAATGCCATTCAAGTCCTTTTGCGTCTAGAACTTATTTGCCTTCAAATTATTAGGCTTTACTTATAAAAATGATTACATTTGATAAGTTAACTATGACAAGTAAAAGGATTTATTTAAGACTGCTTGCTAGGATATGCCTAAATTCCAGCTATCAAAAGAATTCATAGATTTCATTTACAAAAGAAGAGCTCGGCTTAACTTGAACCTCTGAACCCAATGCGGCCCTCTACTTCCGGAGTCACAAATTTATGGTATTCAAAGTACTGTCGAACAGCTTGAACAATAGTCTTTTGCATCCGTATTGTAACCGGGTTCGTTTCTTCCACCAAAATGAAACCCAAGCCGCCATTCAGTATAAACTGTGGCACAATCACATTGTAGTAGGAGGTCTCGTTCAGACTGCTGTAGGTTGGCACCGTGCAACTGGCGCAACGCACCTGCACAGAAGCAACCCGATTACCTTCTGGCATATCCGGATTGTAGACCACATGTATGCCGGATACCTGAAGAAATGCTCCGTCGGAATGCTTATATCTAGCCGCGGCCGAATTTTCGAGTGCATTTCGTAAGGTCTTTCCACTGATTCTTGTGACATACAGATCATTATCAAAAGAAAGGACCGCCAACAGATCGCTCTGAGTGATGATGCCATCGGACTTCCATTCGATTGAGCTGCGTATGCCTGGAAATTAAGAGGTTACTTTCCAATTGGAGCATTCGATATGTATTGGCAATTGAGAAAACTAACCGCCGCCCTGATGAATGGCAATAGACGCATCTGTCCAGTAATCACCGCCCTGATCTTCCATAACTCTGCTGAATACCATTGCATCGGTAATTAGATTTCCCATATTACACTCGACCAACCGACAAACGGTCTTACGTCCCTCAAGGTACACCTTGCTATGCCCCACAATGGACTTCTCTAGGGCCGTAACATTCTCGCGGTAAACTTCCAACAGGTTAAGCAATTCCTTGTCTTGCGCGACTCCAGAATCCAATAGGATGGGCAAACCATCGAACTCGATTAAATTTCCATCTTTATCGAACTGTCAAGAAATATATGATTAATAGGAATTTGGAACTTTTTGTACGTTAACCTACCTTCACGTGAAGTTTACCCAAGTACTTCGTGTAGGCGTAGGCCTGCACCACGGGAACTCTTTTACCACTCTTCTGTGTAACTACGGTGGGATAAGGACCGTCAATACTTTCGACACTTGGCTTCTCTCCGTTGAACAGAAATGTGTTCGTGTGTCCGCCAATAACAAGGTCAACTTCAGGGCAACTTCTGGCTATGTCCTGGTCTTTTTGATAACCAGAGTGTCCCAAGGCAATGATGATTTTAAAGCCTTGAGCCTTTAGTTTGGCCGCCTCTGTGCTGCAAGTGAACAAAAGGTCCGCATGAAACTGGTATGTGGTTATGCAAAATATAAAAAATAGACGTTTTCTTACTTAATTGAATCGATTTCTTCATTGAATTCCATGCTGTCTTTTACTGACAGCAATCTTGTTTCCGGCGTGACGTACCCAATCACAGCAACTTTTGTGCCATTTGCATCGAGAATAGTCGAATTGACTAGTTGCTTAGAGGCAGCCAGTTCAGGTTCCCTCGCAAGATTCAGGTTACAGGCCACCACGGGGAAACTTACATCATTTAGAAATGTTACGAGACCCTCTACTTTCTCATCAAATTCGTGGTTACCTAGGGACTAGATTTTGTTGAAGAAACTTAATTTTGCAGATATTTAAGGATATCATTTTTAAGCCATTTATCACCCGTTTTGAAAGTCAAATATTTAGATATATATAGATATAGACTATATATATAATAGAACAAAATTGTCATTTAAAATTTACTTTTTCTTAGCTGATCAGGCTGGTAAGGTATATGTTTACAGATATTGTTATAATATCTAGTAATTATTTTGTCTATTTTAACATTGACAAATAATCTTCATAAAATGTAGGATATATGATACTCGGGTCGGAATTTTCGAATGGAGAACCTTTACTTTCTGGCACTTACCATTGCATCTGGCTGCAGTTTATTAAGAAAATCGCTGGCAATTTTGTCTTTAAAAAGTGTAAACCACGCTGTGCCAGCATATGTGTCGCCGGCATTCAAGTAAAATACTGGGGTGCCTCCATTTTTAGCCTCGGCTCGATATTTTTGAACTCTAAAAAAAGAAGATATGCGTTAGGCAAGTTCAAAGACTTTTTGTAGCACTTACACGTTGGCTATACGGGCAAAGCCGCCGTAGCATTTGTCCCTTTCGACATCCTCCGGCGAACAAGTTTCACTGTGGACATTCGTCTGCTCAAACCTGGCATGTATGTCATTGTTGTGGAGTATAATAAACTCTGTGGCCACGGCAGGCTTCAGTTCTATAGGATTTGCAGTGATCCTGTTACCAAGCAACAGCACGATTGCGATGAGTTTCCATAGATTAATCATTTTGCTTTGTGGCTAAAAGAATGAGAGCACATAAGAGTTACTTAGTCAAGCTTAGAAGACATTCTGCATTCGATTCATATATATACAAATTCCCACTTCGAGTAGCTATCTTGTATCTACGACTCATACAGACAAACTTAAGTTTGTTGCCTTAAACAAGGACAGATATACTTTGTGTACTCCGATTGTACTACCGATTTACCAGTTGCACGTAAAGCACTCATGCTTATTATAAAACCCGTTTTATTTTACTTTTTACACAATAACTCGGTACTTAAAAGCGTATTTTGGGTTACGATCAAGAACTTAATGCCCCATCGAATGCACAGGAAAGGGACCAAAGCAGGCGAATTTAAATGCTTTTGACTAACGCACCATGTGAAGATAGGCAACTGTCCCTTGTGATCGATCGGTAATCAAGAGTCCAACGACGTCTACAGCTGCACTGCCTCTGTGGATTTCAAGTCCGGCTATATAAATGGAATGGCAAATCAGAAGCATTATCACCTTGACACGCCAGCTGCCTTATCTACAACAAAAGTCAGTTTTCCTATGATGGCTTATCACAAAAATGGTTTTCCTGGAAGCTGGCTCTGACAACTACATTTACATAAATTGATATGAAAATGATTAATTTAATTTAGTTTATTGATTGTGTTAAAAAAAAGGAAAGAACGAATCCACACAAGCTATATGAACAGAAAAGTCTTGAAATATATATAGGTCTAGTATGTGGATTATTAATAGACTAAAACTGAGAGACAAGGGAGAGAGGGGGATTAGTACTAGGCAGTCAGATCGACAGATTAGCCAGCGTATATAAGTTGATGGGCATGGAGATACCTCATCTGCCTGCCTTATTCATTTGCATTTCAATGGATATAAAAATACAAAACATCCGCTTGCATTATGTATCACGTCATTAAAGCAACGGAAGTATCTCATAATTATAATATTTAAAACAAATCAAAATTTTTACGTGCACTTTAGCTGCATCCGTTTGCAAAGAGAAAGGTGTTTGTATAAAAGCAAAGTCCTTGACATTGCAGAATCATTCCAAACACAGCATCCGAAGCTTGAGAATATCCCCAATTAAGTAACCTTAACAACTTTATCCATTCAATATGAAAGTTATCATTGTGGCTGTCATTGCTTGCCTGACATTTGTGTCGGCTCTTCCCCAGGTTGAGCGGGGCTCAATATATGCACCCAGTGGAGTAAGTGCTATCATAATACATTAGATCAATTGGATGACTACTCAACAATAACTTTGTTACTATCCGCAGAGGTTTGCCTTGACCGAGAACTGGGCAGCTCCACCAGTTGATCTGAGCCAACCCATTGTAATCCTGCCCGTGGCAACACCCATCACTGAAGAACCCCAAGAACCCAAACTCACAGCCCGGCATTTGACTGGTTGTCCTAATATTTAAATGAAAATTACATTATTATCTATGTGTTAAATAATTATTATATCTAAGATTTCACCAAACATAATATATATAATATATATTATAATATATTATAACAACTTTTAAGCAAAACATTAATTTTTGAATTTTTAAATCAAGGTTTGTTTCAAAATTTCTTTTGGTTGAGCCAATATAACATACAAAACCTTTAAGCATTGAAAATGGTGTTAAAAAGGGTTTAAAAGATTGTATCAATTGCAATTGTATCAAACCGATATATTGTAAAGTTTTGGCTGCGGACATGTTGATCTAACCATATTCGTCTGTCTGTTGAAAAGTTTGTCCGGCTGTCCGTCTATTTGTCTGCAGCATCTCATCAATTTCAAAAACTTATAGAGTTTGTTGTCTTATTGCTTAAAATAAAATATTTTTTTATAGAAAAATAATCATGGAGGTATAATGGCACATTTTCCGATCTCTGTGGCCATCGTTCTTGAACTTTGTTTATCCATTATAAGGTTTTCAATATCCTTTACAATATATTCCATATCTACAATCTACATCTTTAATCCTCATTAGCATTTCGTAGTGTATTCAGTGTATTCGTATTCAGTGTCGTCCATGATCAAGCGAAAAACTTGAAAGTTGCATTCCTGATTTATCAGAATTTGAAGACTTTCATGATCCTAAAAATACCCCCGACGATGCACTTCTCTCTTGGCTGATAATTCCAATTGGAACGCAGGTTGAAGGTCACTGTTTACTTCTGGTTAGAAGCCGTATATTTGAATAAATAATTGTAAATAAAATGTTTAAAAAATAATAACCAAAATATTTATTTTGTTGTTGTAAATGTTTAATTGAGTTGTTTTATCGAATTAAAATCCATTTGAGATTGCGATCAAGGCTCGATCTGAGGCAAATATATATATTTTGTGTTTCCTGCAAGCTCAGCATAAAAAATACTTAATACTCTTTTTATATATATCTAAAAAATAAAATTTGTAAATACTTATGAATAAAATAAATATATAGACTTTTTACCATTACGGACTCTCAAGCTGTCGACAGTTTTTGAAACAAATAAACACTTCTAAAATTCTTCTTTTTATTCAAATGTTACTCCTATTTTTGTGCAAATTAAAATGTTGTTTTTTAAGCTGAGCCTAATCGAAAACCTCTTATCTAAAGGATAACAAAAACAAGAAAACTACTTGTCGTATTTGTTCTAATCGCAAGGAGTTGCCTGCCCATTAAAACTCTTCCACAAATGGTTTCTGAAGTTAAGACCGAGTTCATTCTTGACCATTTTACGAGCGAGATCAATTCTGCTCTGGGTCTCAGTAAGCAATAGTCGAAAGAGTATAACGATCCGGGCACGAAATATAACTTCTTTAAACAATTGTAAAGCGAATTATTGAGATCTGGAAACTTCTCTGACCTAATAAAAGTATATTATTATATTCAAAATCATCTACTGGAACCAGTCTCTCATTGTTGAAGCTTTCTGTTTTCTGCAATAGGACGTTCTTTCTTGTCATATCTATTGTTCGATTCCTCTTGAATTTGGCTCTATTTTTTCCAATATATTGATACTTCATCGTATTGAATTTCATGTTCCAAACTATCTAGCAAGTAGAGAGCAAGAGAGTCTTGATTCGTTTCTGAAGTTATACTCCTCGGCAGATGGGCAGATAAAGTTAGTAGATCGTAATAAAAAAACGTACTATAACTATCTTGTGATATGAGAAAAGTTTGTTTGTCAACTTGTCAAAAATGCCGATTAGTTACATAAAAAAATAATGAATGTAAGCCGAAAACAATTGAATTGCAAGAGAGATTCATGTGACTCACGACACGGAAGCTCAGATTTGGAAGATTAAAATAAACATTTTATGCTTGCACTTTTGCTGCATCAGTTTGCAAAGAGAAAGGTGCTTGTATAAAAGCAAAGTCCTCGGCATTGCAGAATCATTCCAAACACAGCACCCGAAGCTTGAGAATATCCCTGATTAAGTAACCTTAACAACTTTATCTATTCAATATGAAAGTTATCATCGTGGCTCTCATTGCATGCCTGGCATTTGTGTCGGCTCTTCCTCAGATTGAGCGGGGCTCAATATATGCACCCAGTGGAGTAAGTGCTATCATAATACATTAGATCAATTGGATGACTACTCAACAATAACTTTGTTACTATCCGCAGAGGTTTGCCTTGACCGAGAACTGGGCAGCTCCACCAGTTGATCTGAGACAACCCATTGTAGTCCTGCCCGTGGCAACACCCATTACTGAAGCACCTCAAGAACCTAAACTCACAGCCCGTCGCCTGATTGGCTAAATTACCTACATATTATTATTATTCTGTATGCCCCCTAAATATTACTTAGGAATATGTATTTATGCATTCATATATTCGCATCAGGCCGAATGAAAGACTCACAATAAGAAACAAAACAGTAATTTTTCATAAGCATAAATTAAAATCTAAGCCATAAATTAATATTTTTATTTTAAATACATTTTTCACCAAGTGAGGAAATGAATTAACAAATTCCAAAATGAAATTATATATATGTTTTACAGCACGCATTAACTGGGCTTTTGAACGTCAGCCCAGGCTAACTGGTAAGACAACATAAAAATACGTGAAATATTTAAAAATATGGAAACTTCAATTAACATTCAAGGGATTGGCCAAATGTGGAGCCAACATATAAAAATAAGCCATCGGAAATGGTAAATTTGACACGTTAAACCATAAATTATTCATATTTCGACGACCTAATTTGAGGAAATGTTTGTTGTTGTTTTTTTCTACTTGCCCTGAGCCTTGCCTTGCAAGCATATGGGGATTCCCCTTGAATTGTTTTTCGGTGGCTGTCAATGATTTATATGTTCACAATTAAATTAAATAATTAGCCGAATATTCTTGTATTTCAAATCAAATTTATTTGCTCGACTCTCAGAAACAAGTTCCAACCGTTTCAAGAAATAGATAAAATGGAAGCTCTCAGTCAATACATATCTATACATACACACATGTTTATCTTTATTTTTATATATATCTTAGGGTAGAAAGACATCCATTTGGTTGTTTTGCGTTGTTATACATGGCGCTAATTAGTGATTATAAATCCCCAAACCAGTCGACATTTCATACGATTCACGTAGCTAAGTCGAACATTTATAAACATCCAGTTTCGTATGACTTACATATGCATATTTCGAGACGATCTGTGTGAGACGATGCGAGACGAGGCGAGACTAGCTTGTGAAGCGCGTCTTAAACATTTCTAATTTAATTTGCATGATAACGCAGAATCGACGTCGACGATCGACGCTTTAAAAGCACAGCCTCCGACATCTGAGCCTCGCATTGATACTGACGGATCAGCCCAGAAAGGTTACTCGATAGAGCTAATTGTGCGAATATTCAATGTGATAAGAAATAAAGTGAAATGTTTCAGAAAGTGGCCGATTTCTCGTACATATATATTTATGAAATAACCAGAAAACTATTTTATGCAAACTACGGGCCTTTTCAGGATTTCGATTCCGTTTAAAGTTATTTTTCGAGTTAGTCCGAATCGACTCCGAATCGACTCCGAATCGACTTCGAATCGACTCCGAATCCACTCCGAATCGTTTTCTCTCCGCCTCCATATCAATTGCCAAAACAGCTGTTTTTCCAAATAGTGTTTGACCTAAAAAGAAATAAAAAAATACTCTATATGTGAGACAAAAGTTTGGCCAAAGAGAAACCTGTACCGGCTGCCCAATATAATGACAAAAAAGAAGATTTGATCATAACCAAATTAAATGCCATCAATTCACTTTGATTTCGAAAAGCTTGATCGGAATTGAAATCTAGAACAGGCCCGCGAATTAATTGCGTAATCTCCGCCAACTCAGCTACTGCCTGTCAATAATGTGGCTTTATTTAATTTCATTTAATCGGCTTAATCTTGTGAGGTGCAAGGTTTTCTGGTTTTTACCGCCGCGCCGGCTAATCGTTGCTCAAGTGAAAATTATAAAACGAATGACATGAGAATATAAAACGTTAATGTTAAAAGGCAACTGCAACAAAGTGTTATTAAAAATAAACCCGGCGACGGAGATTTACTGTTAATTTGATTTGTTCATAAATAATTTTTTTTACTGCTCACCTGGCCCCCAAACCAGGCCCCATCTAATTAACTGGCGAAACCTGAATTCAAGGTTTAAAAATAATGTTAATAAACTCGCAACAAGGGCTTTAAATTCCCCATTTGAATGGGCGAGTACCTATGATTGATAAATCTCAATGAATTTTGCCGCTTAATGATGGGAATTATAAAAACCAGAAATGATTAGTTTTGTGCTTGCAACTGCCTTACAGATAACAATGAGATTGGCGATTGCACTTCTCCCATTCGTGGCACTGGCCTCTGCCCAGTTTGGCGGCTTTGGCGGCAACTTTGGTGGAAACATTGGCGGCAACTTGGGCAATGCCGCAAATAGGCTGCAGCAAAGGGTTTCCAATATTGCCAGCCGCTTGCCATCGCCCCCCGTACTCTCAAATGTGCAAGACTTTGGCGACTTTTTGGTGAGTACGCACTGTTATCGGGAAATAGTTGCACGATTTCAACCTTGCCACATGTCCTTAGGCGCAATCGGGCAAATCCTATCTCTCTGCGGCGGACCGGCAACTGCGCGAGGGCATCTTCAGTGCTCGCAAGACCCTGGTGGAGGCCAAGAACGCAGCCTTCAAGAGCGGCGCCTCCACCTACGAGCTGGCCGTGAATGCCTTTGCGGATCTAACGAACGCAGAGTTCCTCAAACAGCTTACGGGCCTGAGGAAGTCATCATCCGGCGAGTAAGTGAACCCAAGTCAATATATTAGCTAATTATCTGATCGTTGGTATGTCATCTTTGGCTTTTAGGCAAAACGCGAAGGCCCATCGTCTTGCACCCAAGTTGGCAACGAATGTGCCACTGCCCGACTCCTTTGATTGGCGTGAGAAGGGCGGGGTTACGCCCGTCAAGTTCCAGGGAGAGTGTGGCTCCTGCTGGTCGTTTGCCGCAACGGGCGCCATCGAGGGTCATGTGTTCCGGAAAACGGGCAAATTGCCGAACCTGTCTGAACAGAATCTGGTCGATTGTGGTACTGTGGATCTGGGTCTCGCCGGCTGCGATGGCGGCTTCCAGGAGTACGCCTTCAATTTCATCGCGGAGCAGAACGGCATCGCCGCTGGCGAGAAGTATCCCTACGTGGACAAGAAGGACACATGCAAATATAAAAATGATATATCTGGTGCCCAAATCACCGGATTTGCTGCCATTCCACCAAAGGACGAGCAGGCCATGAAAACCGTCGTGGCCACTCAGGGTCCCTTGGCCTGCTCCGTGAACGGGCTGGAGAGTTTGCTGCTCTACAAGCGTGGCATTTACGCAGATGAGGAATGCAACAAGGGCGAGGTGAATCATTCCATTCTGGTCGTTGGCTATGGCACTGAAGACGGACAGGACTACTGGATTGTCAAGAACTCGTGGGACAAGGCCTGGGGCGAAGACGGCTACTTCCGTTTGCCTCGAGGCAAGAATTTCTGCGGAATTGCCTCCGAGTGCAGTTATCCCGTTGTTTAGTACCTAAACTAGCTAAATATCCCTGTCATTTTCGTACCACGATGTTTTAAAATTCCCACTAATAAATTGTAAACTAATTATACTCGGAAACTGCTTGACGAAAAGAGAGAGAGCAAGAGTTTGGTTCACTCTACAGGTAAGCCCTTTGTCTCAAGCTCATCCTAAATTATCACGTATAATTGTAAATTATAATTTTCTTTAAATAAGGCCGAAACATTATACGAAATTTGAGGCCTTAATAAGCCGTATTACCATCCAATATTAAAGTTCAAATTTGAAGATTAGTTTGAAGCCCATCGAATTAATAAGCAAAAGTTAAAATCAACATTTTGCGCTCTTGTAACTCCCGTGACCTTTAAGCCAATCCGGTGAGCTTCCAAAATCACTGAAAGACGTAGTTATAAGGTTTAATGTACAGGTACGAAAACAGAAAAACTGTTAATCAAATTTGAATGGCCAAGCAAAGTTTGGCGCCAAATTATCCATTGGAGAGTACAGGGTGTATAGGATGCAAAATAAGATTTTATTATATATATTAGAGTTGGAAGAGAATATGAATTAAAGTTATATCTCATTAGCGTTAGCTACTTTCTGACGAAGTGAGAAAATCAATTGCAATTCAGTTGAGCGTGAAGCGAATAATGCGAATAATACGTCGTGTGCGTTGTAAGCAGTGTTGGAAAATTTGTTCGTTAAGTGAACTAGTTCCATGTTCTCTTGTTCTACTGTTCGACTGTGCGAACAACCCAACACTGCTGGAGTGGGAAATAAATAAATAAATATAAATAGTCGCCAAGTAAACTGTCTATTTAGCAAAGGAAACAAGCAATCGATGTGCATTGAAATGCGATTGCCATAAAAAATGACGATTGTGCGTCGATCGGAACGCAAATACCCCATGCTGTTCCTGCAGGTGTGTAGCTAAAATTCTAACCAGACACAGACCCAGGCCCAGCCCACTTTTTGGGTAAGTGGTGGGCGTTGTCACCCCGTCTGCCTGTCACAAGGCTGAGCTCGTACTCGTACTCGTTCTCTGCGCTAACAATTCCATAGTGCGGCATTTGTCATTAACAATAACAATGGTCTTTATGTACATATGTGTTGCCTAATCGCATAATTCGAATTCCTTATTGCAGAAATGTGCTTGTTAGTCTAGTGCATTGATATTAATCCAAAGAACCCCCCGGGTCATATGCATTTTACCAACACAAAGTCAACATCACCAACTAATTGTCATACCCTCTTGACTAACTGATCAATCCAAAATGGACGAAGACATTATGAACGCAGTAGAATCTCTTTTCGGCAAGGATGTTAAAATTGTGGACTGCGAGACATCGTCCTCTGTGCAGCAAGAAGAGGTGCTGCTGATTAACGGTGTGCCGGTCAAATTGGACGGCCTGCCGGCAGATGATGCAAGTGCCATTAAGAGCGCTCTGCTCGACGGCCAGATGCCGGCAGTGGAGCACTTGAATCAGCTGCTGTTTCGTGCTGGGCTGGCGCAACAGCCCATAGAAGTGGAGACATCGCTGACGGTGAAGTCCTCGCTGACCACCACCGAGGAGGTGTTGGTTTCACGCAACGGGCAGGTGCTTGACGAGAGAACCGTCGAGACCAAAGAGCACTTTAACCATCAGTCGCACCAGAAGGAAATCTGGCAGCCAGTCAGGCAGCAGAACGCTTTGGCGCGTGCGACGCCAGAGAACGCGCTCAAGTATCGAACAAATTCGAATTCCACGTTTTCTTCACAGGCAACAGGCGATGGGGAACCCAATAGATCTGGCGACGAGCTGGGTCGTCAGCTAAATCAAACATTTTCGAATGCCTCACTCATGTCGAGCAGCTCTGCCCTAAGCGGTTCGGATCAAGTGATTGGCTCCACCTCCAATATGTCTACGGCAACGACGCTGGGCGAGAAGAGTTCGAATATAAGCAGCTGCGACTCGGGCCACGACGGCCTCTTTCACAGTGTCTCGATGAGTGCGCCCTACACAAAAGCCAACGCCCGCGATCCGCAAACCGATTCCATGTACTGTGACATTCCCAGCTCGACAGACGAAGCTGATGCGGTGTCAGTCGCCTTGCTGGTAAGGTCCTGAGAACAGCTTAGAATAATTAGCCAGCAATTTTAATCGCATTTCTTTCACAGAGCACGCACTTGCAGATCACAGAGTCATGTGACTCAGTCAACGATTGCCAAACGCCGCCAGCTTATGCCAAAGACTTGCCAGCCGCTGGTGATCTCGGCACACTAGTAACGCTCCTGGTCAGCTGCAGGAATGAGGACGTAGAGTTTGCGTTTCTACTATGCGCACGTTTGCTTGTCACAGTTCAAGAGCTGCTGTCGAAGATTATTCAAGAGTGCCACGGACAAGAGGAGGAGCTGCTGCGTCTGCTTGTGCACTGGCTGCGCATATGTCCTAACGACTTCCGCAATGAGACACTGCTTCAAGAGCTGCGCAAGCACAGCGCCAGCAAGGCATTAAGTGCTTTTCTCGATCGCATTACCGACTCAATAGACCGGCTGGATGCAAGTCAGCGCTCACAGTTGCAGTATTTGCTGGTAAAACAGGCCTCGGCCAGTTCCTTAGGGCGACAGAGCAGTATTAAATCGCTCAAACGATTCGCTGCGAATGTTTACAAAACGGATAATGTGCTGAGCAAGTGCAGCAGCGCCTTCGAACTGGCCCATCAGCTGTACGCCATTGAGTATGCGTACCTCTCGCAGATACGTCTAGAGGAGTTTATCGAACTGATTGACACTGGAGTGTTTAAGACTTGCATGTTGCAAACCAAGGCAAGTACGCTAGGCTCCAGCTGCACCTCCGCAAAGCAACCCGAGGTTAGCATCGCAGCCTATGTGCAGTGGTTCAACCAACTCTGCAATTTGACTGCCACGGAAATACTTAAGGTGAGTGTGTCGAGTATCACAAGCCCAGTCTACTTTATTAACGCACATCACTTTAAAGGCTGGCAAAAAGTCTCAGCGCGTGCAGATGGTTGAGTTCTGGATTGAAACCGCTTTGGAATGCTTCAACACGGGCAACTTTAACAGTCTGATGGCTATTTTGACGGCTCTCAATATGACTGCCATATCGCGACTCAAAAAAACTGTAAGGCTAACTTTGAAACATTTCAACTTGTTAATAAACTATTGCTCTTGCAGTGGTCAAAGGTGCAGACAACCAAATTCGAGGGCTTGGAACATCAAATGGATCCCAGCTCCAATTTTCACAATTACCGATCGACCATGAAAGCTGCCATTTGGCGCTCCGAACGCGAAGCGGCTAATAAAATCGAGCGTGCCATTATTCCGTTTTTCTCGCTCTTTCTAAAGGATTTCTACGCCATTCACGAGACACACAATACCAGGCAAGCATTTTACCAACAATTTATTGGTATTTAGCTCTTAATAATAATTCTTTTTTAGACTCGCCAACGGATCCTTCAACTTTGAGAAGTGCACACTTCTTGGCACACAGCTGCGCAACTTCTATAAATGCCAACAGCTGGATTGTCCGTATGAGCAGCTGTCCCATGTCGTGGCCTATTTGCAGAAGGCAGAAGTTTTCACCGAGGAGGTTCTTATAAGAACTTCCTATGAATGCGAGTCGCCGACTGGCGTCGGAGAGAAAGATCACTATAAAGCGCTAAAAGCTGCTAAATAATCGAACACATTAATTTGAATTATTCAATAAGACGACAATTTTTGGCGATAATCGAATCTAGCCTCGCACAAACTTCCATTGAGTTTGTACACATTTTTTTGTTGATACTTCCATGTTTATATTTGCATTTGCATCGCAATGACGATAATAACTTTACACTAAAATCGCAATCGTATTTGTTAATTTGTACTTAAGTCTGTAGCGTACTTTCATACATATTCAACTGATCATAAGCAATTGGTTGGCATGTAATTTGCAGCTCCAATAAATTTACATACAATCTTACCATTTTTTCATCCCATTTTTCGGGACTTGATATATCCCTTTTTAATAAAGTAGGGAAATAATCCAAGAGAATAAATTTACGTACAATCTAAAACAATTGCTTTATGCCTAAATGCAGTTTTAGGGATTTGAAATGTCCCTTTTTATTGAAGAAGGGAAATAATCCAAGAGAATAAATTTACATACAATCTAAAAGAGCTGTTTTATGCCTAAAGGGATTTTTCGGGACTTGATATATCCCTTTTTATTGAAGTAGGGAAATAATCCAAGGGAATTTAAGAAATCCAAATATAAATACTTACAACAACTACTGTATAGATCATTTTAAGTCTCTGAGTATTGGTTTTTTTTTATTAACGTATGGTAGCAAACTTTTGAAAGTCAACCGTTCCGAACTTGCCAAACAGCTCCAGAGGATAGTGTTTGCCCTCGCCTCCGCAGGGGGCGTGGACTCGAATCTGGCGCATGTGAGTGTCGCGGCCATTTTGATGATTGGATATTACGGCGATTTGCAGCATAAAGGTGCGCAGCGACTTGACGTTGCCATCCTTAATGGGTATTTGCACCCAGCCATTTGGCTCGGTCAGATCGATGACCTGAAGCTCCTGCAGATCATTGAAATTGGTGCCGGAGCGTATGGAGATCCGCGATGGCGTATAGCTCTCGTCCAACTTGTAATCGGTATATATGTAGATCTGGCTGATGTTGGTGCGCTTGTGGAATTGTATATTGACCAGGTGCGGCAGTTGGCCATCGGATTGCCAGTAAGTGTCCATTATATTGTCCCGCAAACGTTCTACACCGAAGCCTGTTCAGTAGGAGTTTTGTTTGAGTGGAGCTCTTGTTGGTTTTCTCTGCGAGATCCTACCTGGTTTGCAGGAGGACAAGCTCCAAACAGCCTGCGAGCCTACTTCACGCACATAGCCCAGTCGCTCTTCCGCAAGTGGATCCTCTTCGCTAGTAGCAGCTGGCTTGGCTGTGGACTCTTCATCTATAGTAGCCGCCATATTTCAAGCCGAATAATTTAACATAAGTAAACAATATCGCAAAAATAATATTCAACTTATTATGCTTGACATTTTCTCAGCCAGTTCTTGTTGTTTCAGTTTCCAACACTGACTGGCAAAACAAACACAGCTGTTAAGAGTCGCAGTCAATAAACGACTCGCAAACGTTTTCCAACACTCGCACAACAACGCACATGTGCACTGCCGTGTAGCATAAGGAAAACAAACTTAATTATGGTGCGTAAACTGAAATATCATGAGCAAAAGTTGCTCAAGAAGGTGGATTTCATCACATGGAAAGTCGACAACAGCAGCAAAGAGAACAAAATCCTACGCCGCTACCATATACAAAAGCGTGAGGACTACACAAAGTTTGTATCCAGCACGGCGTTGCCTGCATAATATTGATATTAAAATAGCAATTTCTTTTCTAAACAGGTATAACAAATTGTCGCGCGAAGTAAGAGAACTCTGTGAGAGAATAGCAAGACTCGATGGAACGGATCCTTTCAAGGGAGAGGCTACGGCCATGCTTATGAACAAACTGCATGCGCTGGGTGTTGCCAACGATCATATTACCTTGGAGACCGCCAGCAAAATGTCCGCTAGCAACTTTTGTCGTCGCCGCTTGCCCGTGGTGATGGTCAGACGTGAGCACAGATTCCGTTTTATGCTGCTGCTTGATTTAAACTTATCAATAATGTTCTTTCAGTGAGAATGTCGGAGAGTCTTAAGCATGCCACCGACCTCGTCGAGCAGGGTCATGTTCGTGTGGGTCCAGAAATGGTTAAGGATCCAGCCTTTCTGGTTTCCCGCAACTTGGAAGATTTTGTCACCTGGGTAGATGGCTCCAAAATTAAAGAGCATGTACTTCGTTACAATGACATGCGCGATGATTTCCAAATGTAGAGGACGATTCTGTTTCAAGTATAATCTATTTTAAGCAAATTAAATATATGGCTGTTCATTTTTGTACAGAAGTAGAGCTGCGGGTTTGACGTCTTCCGTTAAGATTCATTATAGAATTCTTTGATTTGTATAATGTAGTTGCAATATATGTCCACGTGTGATTGATCCCTTAAACATTTGAAAGCTCAATCAAACTCAATTGAGCAAGGCTATCGAGAAAACCTAGCCTTGCGCTTACACAGATGGTCATGACTAGAACGAGTCGGGAATTACATTATGGAACCGAGGATGCTTCCTTCGACCAGGAGCATAAAATCGCATAAAACCAATATTCCATTTTTTAACTATTTTCCATGTCAATTATTTCGAATGTCAAACAACAAAGAAAAACATTTTTGGCCGTAATTTGTTAAATTATCATTTTTAATAACTTTATTACATTTCATATAATAATGTTTAGATCGCATTAATATAATTCATTATATTGGAGCCTTTCACGCCAAGGGCGCAACAGCGCCGACACTGATAAATACATATATAGTACATACATATATAAACTTGTTTATCAATCAACCCTCGTATTCTGACCATGCTACATGCCCGAGGCCGCATAAAATCCTTCTAATTATGGCGGTACACAGCATATGCCTTATTAGTTTCTTCACTTACATAGTTGAATAGTTCGATTATCGATACAAATTATGAAAGAGCCATTCGAAAATATTAAAAAGAAATACAAGAAAACCAAATCAAAACATAATTAAGAAACGAGTGTAAAAAACTTGCTTTTTATTTATGTTTGCAAATGTCAATAAAAAAACAGGATGAGTGTCATTAGGGACTAAGGTGCACGGTTGAGCGGTCTAAATAGTGTGTAGGTTTTTTAAACAGAGGCTAGACAATAATTTCTATAGTTATGTTGATGGCAGTTATACGCTAACAATTTGATATATCCTTTTACAGGGCCCGACCGCTGCGGACAAGTTGAAAAAAGCGTGAAAAGCCAATCGAAAAGATATTTAAAATACATTTAAGAAACGACTTAAATAGAGACTTTGCAGATAATCGATTTGTGTAATACAATTCACGAATTTTAGAGTCCGACTGCGTTGCCATTGGAGCATTTGACTTTTGTAATGAAATACATAAGTGTGTGCATTTATTTATGTAAATTCAACACGATTAGCATTTCCATTGAGTTTGTACAACAAAGACAGCTTAAGGTGTCAGCCAGTTAAGTCTTTTTTTTTTTCATTTTGTTGCATAGGTATATGTATGTATGGTAGGTATCCTTTAAATATTAGTTGTATTATTCCTTTTTAAATTTGCATAAAAAGTAAATATTAGTTAGTCTTAAAATAAATAGCTAGTGGCGTTAAAATTAGTGTCGACTGGCGAAATTGTTCAGAGCCCTTGACAGGGGCAACACAATAGCCCGCATTTGCCAAAGGACAACAAAAATTTCGCATAAAAAAACTTCATAACAATTTAAAACAAATTAATAAAATAAAGAGTTTCTACAATATCTGTGTTGTTCATTATCTTCAAATTTTCTGCTCATATCTGTGTGTGTGTGTGTGTGTGTGTGTGTGTGTATTTGTTGTGTGCCTGTGTGTTTTCTATATGTGATAAAAAAATCGTTAAATTATCCGCTGGATTTTATTTTGGCTTTTGTATCGGGAGTTTTCCTATTGAATTTTTTTCTTGCTTTTATGCTGTATACATTAAAATGAAATATTTTTATCGCATTGTATTAATAAATACAATATTTTAGTAAATTCCAATTTGTTGCTGTCGCTCAAACATGTGCAATTAGTTATTAAGCCATAATATGCCGTACCCTGCCCCAGAGTCCCGAGCCCAAAACCCAAGCACTGCAATCGCTCGGTGCCGTAGTAAAACTTTGAATTCTCTTTGCTTTCGCAGTTGATTTAAGTTGAGGAGGTTGCAGAATAGTTAGCCGTGGGCCAAGTTGCTCCACACTCGGCTTAAATCACAAGCGCCATGTCCTTTTTGCTGGGCAACTGCACCCGCTTGCCCTGCCACAGCGAGTTGTGTATTGTGAAGGCGTCTATCGTGACGGTCAGATGCTTTGTGTGCACCTGTGAGAAGCATTTCCCACCTGAGTTGTATCTGAAGGGCAGACAAATTAGCGTCTCACTCAAAATACTCATGCGTATATATACAACTGGACAAGACTCACTTGAAGAATTTATCGAACATGACTTCGTCGACTTGACTAGGTCCCGTGCCGTACAGCTTCGTCACTTGATCCGTCTCCGGCACGTAACTGTAGAGGGCGCGGAATTGGCAGCCCGCATCCCGGAAGAGTACGAGAAAGTGTTTGGCCTCCGAGCGTGCGATCTTCTCGAGCACTTTCTGTTTGGCTTCACGGTTAACGGCGCCAGGAAAAACGCAGTACTCAACGGCATTTAGTATAATGCCGCGATTTGATTTGGCCGCTGGTTGTTTGTACAATTTTGGACCTGTGGATCAACAAAGCATATCAGTAACGCGCAACTGCAAATGCAGCAGTAATTTACGTGGTTTTCTACTCGGTGTTAATGGCAAGCTTCTCATTAAAAAAAATAAATAAACTTCTACAATTATTTGCTTCTTATGCAGGCAACGTGCGAACTGATCATACAAAACATTAACTCATATTTAAACTGGGCCCTCAGATCACACTCTGGATTACTTTTGCTGAGCTCATCTGAGGACCTGACGCAGTCGTGGGTCCTTCACGGCGTGAATATATAAAATATATTACGCTATAAAAGACCCTTTTTCAGCGTACTTTCCAAAAGTTTTGTACTTACATTTGAGCTAGCTATTCTAATTGGTTACAAAATGTGAAACATTCCAAAAATAAAATAAATATTACAAATATGCAACAAAATCATATAAATCTTAAAATAATAATTGCTTGCATTTTTGCCTTTGATATCAATAATTTTAGTAATCTTTTTTCTTTTTGTTTTTTTTTTTTTTTTTTAGTTTGCAAATGTGAAGCGGTTAATTCGGGATTATATTGGATTTTTTCATTTGTGGCATTATTTAATACTAAAGACACAACTCGGTTTGACTATCGAATTCGTGGATTTGACGACGCAACGGAAGAACGAATGGAATTGGAGGACTTGCATCCGGAAACGCGCGCACATTCAATTTGTGACAGTCCCTAGGCACAAGTATACGGCGTATATTTGTATACGGAAAACTGAATTGTATGTAGTAGAGATGTCGTAAAATCATAAATGTATGTTGTTGATCAAAAAAAATGTAAATAAGAAGAATACCAATTGGTATGGTTTCAACAGAACTGAACAATGAATTGAACTAAAAAACTAAGAAAAATCAACGAATAAGTGAATATTCTATGAGGCGTTCCAAAGATGTACAAATGATGTATGAAGAACCAATATGTATGGTGTATGTACGATTATGATGGTTGTTTTGAGTGGATGTATAACTGAGAATTCTTTGAGACTAAGTACAAACCCGAGTATTCCATGATTAAAGACGTATCGCTTGATCCATCATCAAATCCGCGACGCTTCGATATCAAACCTGGCGGCAAAGAGCCTGGTCCAGAGGGAGATGGCATATGCCTACCTGATGCCGCCATTCCTGGTGACGGTGCTCGCCGCGGCGGAGTGGCCCGTCCCAGTCCCGAATCTGTGTCTAACCGGTAAGCGAGCAGATCGAGCGTTCATCAATCATCAGTCAGGCATGCATTGATGCACAAAACACAGCCACGCCGCAAGCACCAACAACCACAGCCATAGAGACAGAGGGGTGGATAGAGAGAGAGAGAGACAGAGCGGGGCAACAGTTTCAGAGTTGCCATCCATGCAGTATATTCATTCGGTTGATGCATTTCGATTTTGTTATTGGTTTGGTTATTCGCCACAGGATGATGTCGATGGAAGCGATCGAGCGATGAATGTTAAGGCATTGATCGATTGAGTTAATAGATATTTAGTTTCGTTTTTCATTCACATTTCATTTGTTGTTATTTCAATCAAGAGTTCGGGTTTTGTACACAAGTTTTTTTTTGAATTGAAAGAAACGAGAAATAAAAGAGAAGGTGTGCATTCAATTTAGTTAAACAATTTTGTAGATCGTTCAATGTAGTATATACACTTAAGGCCTAAATATGATCTGTCTGAGAGTGCTTGAGTGCTTGAGTGTGTGTTTATGTATGTGTGTGCGTGTGTGTGTGTATCTGTGTGTTGATGTGCAGGCGTGTTTGGGTGCGGGTATGTTCATGTGTGAGTTAATTCACAATTTCGGGAGAATACAAAATGACAACCCTGTTCCCCAAAAAGCGGACAGTACAAGTCGAAAGCAAACCAGAACCACTTGCGAATTATAAAACGCTTGCAACTGGCAACTGGCTGTTGTCTCAGTAAACAAATATTGAAATAGAAAAAATGCCGCCACCGCTTTCTTTTTCCACTCATAGAAAAACAAATTATTCAGCAAATTAAATCAAATTACAAACTTCATAAAAAATCAAAATATCTTCAATTTTCTATAAAAAAAGTATGAAAATATATAAGTATATGTAGCAATTTCTTTAAAAAGGTAAAGGAACTTTATGTACTTTTATATATTGAATTCAAAATATATAATCAGAAACCAAAATACTTGTCGAATGAGTAATGCAGGTCAGACGGGGATACTTCTATGAATACAAATAATTTTATACTAATATCAGGATTTACTATTTTGAAAGCTTGTTACTCGAGAATTTTGCGTTTAATCCTGCATTACTTGCAAACAGTAAACCAAAAACCAAAAAGTAATAAAAATACAAAACAAATTTTATGTTTAAAAACAATGAAATGATACACAAAAAGTACAGATGAAAATTTGATCTATCACCTGCAACCGACGATTGTTCAGAAAAGATATTAAATTCACATTGCGTAAATCAGACTAATTAATAGTGAAGGACATAGAAAAAAGAAAAGAACTGCCACCAAATACAGTAAAGACAAAGAACCAAAAAGTAAAAGTATATTCATGATTTAAGCTACAACACAAATTAAATATGAAAAAAAGGCAAGAGATAACGTTAGGTAGAAATAGAGTAAAAGTAAAAGGCAAGCAGCTGTTTTTTAAATATTTTTTTTTTGTTTTTTTTTTTTTGTAGCTGTGAAACGCTTCTTACCGCACAAATTCATTAGCGAATTGGATTTTCGGCCACGGAAATTAAGCGTGCTCCCCTTAGCAACTGATATACGCGACAGGGTGCGGCCCCTTTCGACGGCTGGCTCTGTAAAAAGTGGCACCACGGAGGCACGGGGAGAGCCGAGTGCATAATACGAATATGGATCAAGTTCAGTTTTCTTACAGTTTATCACAACACAAAATATGAGAATGCAATTGGTAAAGTAAACTTAAGCGACTTGTCAATTTTGACCTCTGACCCAAACCAAAAGTGTTAAAAAAGAAAAAATAATATCAATTAAAATATCCAGAAAAACCTTCTGTCACCCACAGCGATCTTCGAGGCAGGCTGTGTGAATTTTCCCCAGTGCAT